AGTGGTGGTTACGGTGAGGTTTTGTTGAGAATGAGGATTACAGGTAGGCCAGTCATCATATCCCAGTCATGGCAGCAGTAGACCGAACATGCCTGGCCTTGGGCTCCCAGTTGGTGTATGCAGTCACCAGGGTTAGTGGGCTGAAACAGGCCAATACTTGGGCCTCCAGGTGGCTCTGGTGCTGCAGTGGTAGTGGTGGGTCAGTCAGGTGAGTGGGTTCTTGATCCCTGGATAGCCAGTGTAATGGCAGTAATAATGGAAAGACAATCCTTGGGCTCTGAAGTGACACACATTGGTTTTAGTGATATCTACAATGAGCTGGGTAGGTTATTCCCTCGTTCCCCAGGTAGCATGTGCAGTGGGTGCTGCTGTGGTGGTGGAAGCCCCAGGAGGACTGCACAGATTCCAGTGATTGTGGACAGGGTGAGGCAAGCCCCTAGACAGTGTTCTAGGGCACTGGAGTCGGGGGAATGCCAGGCCAGGTAGGCTTGTTTCCAGGGACCCCAGGAATGTAATCATGCCCTGGCTATGGTGGGCAGAGTGGAGTGACCCTCAGGCTCCCAGTGGAGAGCTTGGGAGGCTACAACAACAGGGGTGATGTGCAGGGAAAGCCTGCCATTAGGGCATGTCCAAGTATGCTGCAGTCCTGCTGTTGGGGTAGAGGCAGAGTTTCTGACAGTAACTGTAGCCACAGGCAGGCAGTTCTTAGGCTGTGCGGGAGGAGGGATGCTTTAGTCCCCAGTGGCAGTGGCAGTGGTATACCAGCAGTAGTAGCAGCAGGGAAAACTAGTTCTCAGGAAATGTGCAAATGTGTGATGGCAGCCCTGCTGCTTGGTAGATGGAGTCGCGACCAGCTGCATGTGTTTTGGCTTCTGGTGGCAGCAATAGTGGCTGTGGCTGGTGATAAGAGAATCTGTCCTCAGAGTGTGATTGCAGCAGCCCTGCTGCTGGGACCAGGGTCATTATATGTAGTAGCTGTCCTAGGTAGGTGTTTCTCTGGCCATAGAGAGTATGTGCTTTGGCTTTCTTTGTCCTGGGAGAGCCTCCCTAGGGTGCTACACCACCCTTTACCTGGCATACAGGGTACTGTGTGCGCTGGAGTGCTGGGGACCCTGCCACTCTGCTGGATCTGACTGGTGTTATTGCTGCTACAGCTCTCTGGGTGGACACAGAAGGGTGTCAGTGGGGCTCCAGGGATGTGAAGGTGCAGGAGCTGTTGGGCCCCAGGGCAGGATGCAGCCCCGCAGCGGGGTCTAGGCTCTCAAAATGGTGAATCTGCTTAGGACTTGGTGGTGTGTTGGACCATTATGAACTCCTTCTCTAGAGCAATGCCTTTGTGTCACCTCCGGGCAGGTCCCTATGTTATTCTCAGAGCCTGTGATGGGGTCCCCCATGGCTAAGGTCTCAGGAGTCCATGGTGGGAATATGGACAGGTGGGAATCTCCTCCTTACAGCTTCCCTGAACTAGGGAGGCTCTATGAGCTCCCAGCTGATCCCAGATGAGCTGACTCCCTCCCTTCCTGCTCCTTCCATGCCTCAGGTGCTTCCTGTTCCTTCTCTGTTGAATTCCAGTATTCCCTCTAAGATGCTCTATTTGAAGTTTGATTATGTACTTGCTATTTTGGTTCTTGTCTGTGGAAGAGGTAAGTGTCAGATGCCTCCAGTCAGCCTTCTTGAAGTTCCTCTCACATTAAGTCTTTATGTCCTTCATGACAATCTTACTATCCCAATGAGTGAATGACTATATGACAAAATAATCTCATTATAGGTAGACATCATAGTGTCACAGTGGATACTATGGTAGGCACCATGACCCTGTTCAAAATCAAGATACTCATTTTCCTAGATGCCAGGAGTATTGACTACTAATGGCTCATAGCTAAACCTCTCTCCAAGCACTGGCCTTGGGTTAAGACTATATTTCCTCCTGAAGAGAGAGTGAGGCAGCCTGTATACAATGCAGGCCAGGAATAGGGTGAAAAACTGGCCTTGAGTGCTAAATTTAAGCAGATGCCAAAAACTCAGTAATCAAAATAAACAATATTTTAATATTTTAAAAATAAAAAATGCAAAGATTCTGTAATTATCAAAATATCACAATTTTAAATAAAGATATAATCAATATGACTGATTTTTCTCTTTGCTTGAGGCTCCAGTATGGCTCCCCAAAACAGTCTATATTAAAGCATTATTTAAAAAATACAAACCAATGCAAAAGTTCACCCTGAATGAAATACTGAAATTTTAAAATAAAGACTGACTTTTGCATTGATTTAGGTTTAAATAACAGTAATGTATTAAAATGTTATTTATCTTGGCTACTGAGCTTTTTGACACCCTCTAAATTTTGTTCTCAAGGCAAGTGTCTCACTCTTCTTATGTAGTCCCAACCCTGGCAGATTGACTCAGGGGAAACCAATGTCTGTCTCCTTTGCCTTAAAGGGAGGCCATCCCATCAACATAGTTCCTTTGGGATCAGCTGAAGCCTTCCTTGTGACTTTATTGCAGTCCAATCCTGCTTTTCTCACTCCCTTACCAGTGTTATTCCCAAGAGTATCCTGCAGGTAATTCTCTGAGTCTGTTTCCTCTAAGACCTCCCCAGAGAAGAGAGGTGAAAACTGAAGTTCACAGAAGTTGAGGAAATTGCCCAAGCTCTCAGGGTTCCTATGAGATGAAAATCCAGGTGAGACTAGGCATGGTGGCTCATGAGGGTAATCCCAGCACTGGGAGGCTGGGGTGGGATGATTGTTGGAGCCCAGGAGTTCAAGACCAGCCAGGGCAACATAGCTGAGACCCTATCTCTTCAAACAATAAAAAAATTAGCTGGGTGGGGTGGGTGCACACCTGTAGTCCCAGCTACCTGTGAGGCTGAGGTGTGGGGATCACTTGAGCCTGGGAGGTTGAGGCTGCAGTGAGTCATGATTTGCACCCCACCCTGGGTGACAGAGCAAGACACTGTCTAAAACAAATAAACAAACAAACAAACAAACAAAAAATCCCAGTCAAGTTAGTATGACTTTAAAGCCAGTGCTTCTCATCATAACATTTTATAGGCTGGGGCCAGAATTCATGGCTACAGTCTAATAAGTCAAAGGTAAAACAGAGATACCAACAATCCCTATGCACCCTAATTGAATGTCCTAATTGCGGACTAGAAATCAGGTTCACTGATTTCTAGGAAGTGGGCCTCTGATTATATCAGACTCTGTGGTCAGCAAATAATACCCCCACCCCCACTGAAGATGTCCACATCCTAATCCCTAAAACCTGTGAATGTGTTAACTTACATGGCAAAAGGAACTTTGCAGATGTGATTAAGTTAGGGATCTTGAGCATATGCTGCATTATCCAGGTAGGCCCAAATATAATCACAAAGGTCCTTTTTAGGGAGAGAGGGAGGCAGGAAAGTTAGAGAAGGAAACATGATGACAGAAGTAGAGGTCACAGTGATGTGATCATGAGACAAAGAATGCAGCTGGCCTTAGAAGCCGGAAAAGTCAAGGAACAGAGCCTTCCCTAGAGCTTGCAGAAGGAAGGGAGCTCTGTTGCCCCTTGGTCTTAGTTCTAAGACCCATTTTGGACATCTGACCTCCAGAAGTGTAAGAAAATAAATTTGTGATGTTTGAAGCCACACAGTTTGTGGTAATTTTTAATAGCAGCAATAGGAAAGTAACAGACCCCTAAAGCCGTGTTTCAATCCTGCATTATGAGATCACCCATGTGACTCTGAGATGTAATGGATCCCTAACAGAAAACAGGACTACCAGAGCAATTTAATGAAGACTTCTCAGTTGTATTATATTTTTAAAAATTTAAAATGAACTTGTATATGTGGAAGGATTGATGATCTGTACTGACTCCAGATGGTCATGTTCTCCTGATGACAGATGGAAGTCCAGGAGAGGCGGGGCCATCTACAGGAAAGCAGGAGAGAAATGATTGATATAAGAAGCCAGCACAATCCAGGAACTCTTTATACAAGCAGAATTTTTACTTTTCTGATTCTTCAGTAGTATTTTTTGAATTATGGAAGGAGATGAACTTTCCTATTATTTTAATATGGAACCAGCTGTATTGTTTCTCTTTCCTTGCTGTGCTAGAAGAGTCTGGAGTTTAAGTTCTTGTATTTGAGCAACAGTTAACGTTTTCAAATTCTTTTTGTTGATTAGACATTTGAGTCTGATGGATCACTAAGGTTTATTATAAAAAAGGTTGAAGTTCAAGGATTTTTCTTTTTTTTACATTAGTTGTAAGGAAGAGGACAAAATGCCTTGGCTAGAAGCCAGAACAAGAGAATTTGAAGCATCAACAAAATATGTTGAACATAAACAAGAGAGTAGGGTTTCACTCTAAGCAAGAAAGCGGTTCTCCCAGGAGGATGAACTAGAAAAAGGGAGAGGAAAGTACTATGTGTATATGAACAGGAAGATGTAGGAAATAGGGAAGGGGGAGGTAGTCATAGTTAAGTGGATTGGATCTTAAGCAAATTTGCCAATGATATTTTTACCCCAAGTGTATGCCAGCAATACATGGTTCTACTGCTAGTGACCTCATAGAAGCAGAGTCATCGCGGGAGAAAGCCATAGCTCTCATCCCGATGGGCATCTCCTGCCTCTGAGGCCTCAGTTAGCTGCACTTGCCTTCTGCATCTCCTGGGGATTTCCCTCCATCAGTTAGCATCTTGTTTCCTGACTTCCCTAAAGAAGCATTATGTATTAATATTAGTCTGTTATAATGTTGCTATACAGATACAGTGAAAAGAGGTTTAATTCACTGAAAGTTCTGCATGGCCAGGGGGTTTCAAAATGTACAATTATGGTGGAAGGCAAAGGAGAAGCAAGCTACCTCCTTCACAAGGCAGCAGGAGAGAGAGCAAGCAAGCAGGGGAAATGCCAGACACTTGTCAAACAACCAGATATTGTGAGAACTCCCTCACTATCACAAGAACAGCCTGGGGGAAACCATCCCCATGATTCAATCACCTCCCAACAGGTCCCTCTCTCCATATGTGGGGATTACAATTTGAGATGAGATTTGGGTGGGGACACAGAGCCAAACCATATCGTGATGCCTATCCATTTCTTTGAATTTTGTTTGGTTCCTGACTGACTTATTCTTACCTCACAATGCCCCAGGATATATGTGAGCCCCCCAAAAATGGGATTAAAGTCTGAGAGACTTAGTAGCGTGGCCTAACAAAGAATCCTTGGGGCTAACTGGACCCAAACTGATTTGATACCTTCCCAGCATCTCTTCATCTTTTACATGAGCTTGGACAATGGTTAATGGCTCCTTTTAGAGAATAATTTAAAAACGTGTCAATATAAGGGCCACCTAGAAAATAAAGAAGGAATATAAAGGTCAAAGGTCTTGTTATATATCAACATGGTCTTTGAGAATTGCTTATACTCAATTTTGATGATCCCAGCTCTTTATGGCTGCTGCTTCTATGTTTTGGAAAAGTGCAAGCCTGGGCAACTCACTGATACTCTCAGCAGCATAGATCCAACTAAACTCCTAGTTTAGTCGTGGTAGTACCCTGTGGTGGTACCATTATGGTGGTGCAGCCCTTAGTACTGTCCTGGTTTGGGTTTCTTGGACATTTGGAGAAATAAAACAGATGGGAGAATTATGATTTTGAACAAATAACTTACCATGTTGCAAATTTCTTTATCAATGAAAGTTCAGTAATTTTCTACATTGTTTAACTAAAAGTTGTGGGTTTTTAAATGTAGGTGTTTAAGCTAGCACTTGAGTGAATTTTAAAAAATGGACTAAATACTGTGGAGGGAGAAGTGCAAAAGGATCGGATAACACACTGCAGTGGAGCCTCCAGGGTGTCTGCCCAGCAACCTTCTGATCCATAGATGTGGGCCTGGGTAACCTGTGTCACCTCCTGGCCTTCCTCCTTGCCAGAGTGGTGGTGGGGTTAGGGACTAAGAAACTACACATCATTCTCTGCATGTGGCCAAACTTACAACATGGGAGTAGTGAAACGTCTGTGAGAACTAGTGTATTAGTCCATTTTCATGCTGCTAATAAAGATACCCAAGATTGGCTAAGTTATAAAGAAAAAGAGGTTTAATGGACTCACAGTTTCACATGGCTGGGGAGGCCTCACAATCATGGTGGAAGCCAAGGAAGAGCAAGCAATGTCTTACATGGATGGCAGCAGGCAAACAGAGCTTGCACAGAGAAACTCCCCCTTATAAAAACCATCAGATCTTGTGAGATGTATTCACTATCACGAGAACATCATGGGAAACACCTGCCCCCATGATTCAATTATCTCCCATGAGATCCCTTCCAGAACAGTGGGAATTCAAGATGATATGTGAGTGGAGACACAGCCAAATCATATCAATCTCTCCCTTGCCCCCCCCCAATCTCATGTCCTTACATGTCAAAAACAATCATGCCTTCCCAACAGTCTCCCAAAGTCTTAACTCATTTCAGCACTCTCTCTTTTAAATGTCTATAGTCCAAAGTCTCATCAGAGACAAAGCAAGTTCCTTCTGCCTATGAGCCTATAAAACTAACAGCAAGTTAGTTACTTCCTAGATACAATGGAGGTACAGGCATTGGGTAAATATAGCAATTCCAAATAGGAGAAATTGGGCAAAACGAAGGGGCTACATGCCCCATGCAAGTCCAAAATCCAGCAGGCCAGTTAAATCGTAAAGCTCCAAAATGATCTGCTTTGACTCCTTATCTCACATCCCGGTTATGCTGATGCAAGAAGTGGGTTCCCATGGTCTTGGGCAGCTCTGCCAGTGTGGCTGCTTTCATGGGCTGGCGATGGAGTGTCTGTGAGTTTTCCAGGTGCACGGTGCAAGCTGTCAGTAGATCTTCCATTCTGGGGTCTGGAGGATGGAGACCCTTTTCTCACAGCTCCACTAGACAGCACCCTAATGGGAACTCTGTGTGGGGGCTTCCACCCAACATTTGCCTTCCATACTACCCCAGCAGAGGTTCTCCGTGAGGTCTGCCCCTGAAGCAAAGCTTGTTCCTAGACATCCAGGCATTTCCATACATCCTCAATTTTCACGGTAGAGGTTCCCAAAACCCAGTTCTTGACTCTGTGCACTCACAGGCTCAACACCACATGAAAGCTGCCAAGGCTTGGGGCTTGCATCCTCTGAATCAAGAGCCTGAGCTCTACTTTGGCCCCTTCCAGTCATGGCTGAAGCGGCTGGGATACAGAGCACTAAGTCCTTAGACTGCACACAGCAGAGGGACACTGGGCCCAGCCAGTGAAACCATTTTTCCCTCCTAGGCCTCCAGGCCTGTGATGGGAAGGGCTACCTTGAAGACTTCTGACATGCACTAGAGACATTTTCCCCATTGTCTTGGTGATGATTCACATTCAGCTCCTCATTACTTATGTAAACTTCTGCAGCCAGCTTAAATTTCTCCTCAGAAAATGGGATTTTCTTTTCTATCACATTGTCAGGCTCCAAATTTCTGAACTTTTATACTCTGCTTTCTTTATAAAACTGAATGCCTTTAACAGCACCCAAGTCACCTCTTGAATGCTTTGCTGCTTAGAAATTTCTTCCACCAGATACCCTAAATCATCTCTCTCAAGTTCAAAGTTCCACAAATCTCTAGGGCAGGGGCAAATTATTGCCAGCCACTTTGCTAAAATATAACAAGAGTCACCTTTGTTCCAGTTCCCAACAAGTTCCTCATCTCCATTTGAGACCACCTCAGCCTGGACTTTATTGTCCATATTGCTATCAGCATTTTGGGCAAAGCCATTCAACAAGTCTCTAGGGAGTTCCAAACTTTCCCACATTGATCTGGCTTCTTTTGAGCCCTCTAAACTGTTCCAACCTCTGCCTGTTACTCAGTTCCAAAGTTGTTTCCATGTTTTTACATATCTTTTCAGCAGCGTCCCACTCTATTGGTTCCAATTTACTATATTAGGCTGTATTCCTGCTGCTGATAAAGACATACCTGAGACTGGGAAGAAAAAGACGTGATATGGTTTGGCTGTGTTCCCACCCAAATCTCATCTTGAATTCCCACGTTATAGGAGGAACTCAGTAGGAGGTAATTGAATCAAGGGGGCAGGTGCTGTTCTTGTGATAGAGAATAAGTCTCATAATATCTGTGCTGTTCTTGTGATAGCAAATAGGTCTCATAATATCTGACGGTATTATAAGGAGGAATTTCCTGCACAAGCTCTCTCTTTTTGCCTACTGCCATCCACGTAAGAGTTGACTTGCTTCTCCTTGGCTTTCACCATGATTGTGAGGCCTTCCCAGGCATGTGGAACTGTAAGTCCCATTAAACTTCTTTTTTCTGTAAATTATCCAGTCTCAGGTATATGTCTTTTATCACCAGCGTGAAAATAGACTAATACAAGAGGTTTAATAAATTCATAGTTCCACATGGTTGGGGAGGCCTCATAATCATAGTGGAAGGCAAAAGCTACTACTTACATGGCAGTGGCAAGAGAGAATGAGAGCCAATAAGTCTCACAAGATCTACTGGAGAAGACCAGCTCTGCCCGATATGAGGGCTTTCCCTCTGCCTGGCACAGTGCTTGGCATAGAATAGGTCTTCAGTGAATATCTGTCAAATGGCTTGGATTCCTAAACAGATGGATAGGTGAGTGAACACCAACATGCAGAAAATATCAGAGGAAAGGCATAAAGTCCTGCCCACATTCCAGTCCCTGATTCCAGTTGCTTCCCACCTTTCAGCTCCAGTGCCAACTTGAAGACTTACATATAACTCAGGCCAACCTAAGCTGGTTTCTGCGACTTGCAAATTATAGAGCAATCAATGATAATAATGGTCTCTAGTTTGGGGGAACTTGGAGTATACTTTTAGATAATTTGAAAAAAAATTATGTATTGTATAACTGATGCCTTCTATTTATATATGTGTATATTTATACATGAATGTGTGTGTAGGTAAATGTATATATTCATATGGTATTATTTTGGGGTGTGTATATATATATAAATACATATATAAAAATTAATTGGGCAATTTAATCAATGTGCTAAGTTCCCTTTTAATCTCTAAAATAAAAGGTTTAGATTCAATGATCTAAAATTTTAAAAGTATATGCTTCCCAGGAATTATGTAATTGCTTTGTTAGAAAGTCACCAGAAGGTATACTGTTGCTAGAAAAGAATGCCCAGGGAAGGCACTTTGGGAATTCACTTACGTTCTATGTTTTGCCATTGCTGGAAATAGTTTGGCAGCTCCTTCAGGAAGTATATTCGGAGGTATTCACATATTCTCCACGGAGACAGACGTCCAGTCTAATGATTGTGATGACTGAGGGTGCTGGTAATGACAGTTCAGGTAGAAAAGCAAAATTTAGTTATGAAACAGCAGTAAGAGTTTTCCCTACGAACTGGCCATGGAGGTAGACCCACAAGGAGTATCATATCATTGTCACTATGGATAGAACATTGGTGAGGATGACATACCAAACCTTTCTGAAGCATCGGAAAGGTAGACAACCTGCAGTTGCAGTCCCCAAACTTGGCTGCCCTCTTTTTGGCTGGGACCTCAGTACTCTTCTCACATCAAGCATGGGCATGTACCCAGGTGCTCAATCAGCACTGAGTGGTCAGTTAAGCAAAACTGATTATAACAGTCATCAGTGTTTCAGTCAGGTACTTTATGTATATTTTCTCACTTCACACTGGCAACAATACTTTTTTAGTTTCTTTGTAAAAATTAGAAAAGTGAGACCTAGATAGCTTATGGAACTTGCCCCAAGTCACACTGTTAAGTGGCAGAGGAGGTCAACCTCCTCTCTATTCTCAGCCATAATTAGAGGCAAATGAGAATAGCACAAAGCATTTTTCCTTATACTTGTTTTAACTTACAATAACCCTCCATAAAGCATTATCCATTGGAACCACAATATTCTTCTGAATAACATCATCTGCCTGGAAAATAATGTGGTAGGATTATAAATGTTTCAAAAAATGTACCTAAGTATTTTCACAATCTGGAAAATACATGTGGTACTCTGTATTCTCAGAGACATCTGAAAGGGCAGTGCATCTTCTCTGCACTGTTCGCCAGCTCTCTCAGCTGTTTGTGTGGGTTTCACTGGCATGCATCATTGCTCCCCTTTCTCCTATATGCCTAAGGTAGGGCACTTCTACCACCCACTGAAGTTTGGTTCTAAAAAGGTAACAGCTTTAAGGGAATAGCAGAGGGGTTAGTTATTTTTTCAAATGAGTGTGGAGAAAAAGCAACTGAGCAGGCTCTTCCCAGATGCCTGATTTCTAGTCAGCAGGCTGCTTGAATCCCCTGGTCGAACACATTTCAGTCATCCTGTGCCTAAGGAGAAAAACACCACTCCTGGCTTTCGTCGCTATGGTAACTGATGCTCAGCAGGCAGTTGCGGTTTCATTTAACGTAACTGGCTTTTAGAACTTGAGGGGCAACTATGCTTTCATAGAAGGGAAAAGGGAAGACGAGTGGTTTAATTAATGTGTCTCAATTTAACATGAAGATACAGGTCACTTCCACTGTTTGACCATATAGTGTCTAGCTCTGCTTTATATCTGTATCAGATCTAAAGCATAAAAGGAAGTAATATTTCTCTCATCATATGTGAAGTGTACAAAGTGGGCAGAGGAGGAGAAGCAGGGGTTGTGTTAGACCCTTTGCGAAAGGTTTTTCACTTTATAAAAATCATCTCGGCTTGAGAGTGTATAGAAGAATCGCTTTCTCTTCTCTCATCCACAAAGGAGGCCTGAGAGATGGGTTGCTAGGCAACCTCACACCGAAGACTGGGGCACTGTGGAATTAACATAGCTGACCTCCCCATCAGCTCTGCAGCTCTGCTATTCAAAATGATTTTATGAGGCTGTAGGACTCAAGAAAATAGATATAAAATGTAAATATAAAAATAAAGAATAGAGGATATAAATCTAACTTTTTCAAGCAAAGACCAGGATTCACTCAATAAGAAAAGGAAGCAGTTGGAAATGGCAGGTTGAGGGGAAAAAATAGTATTAGTTGCTATAAACCAGAAACTTGTATTTTGAATAATATAGGAAGAGAATTTTCCTATTTCTTTAGAAATGTTTATGGCTGACAGTTAACCTATCACAGTAAAAGTGTTGAAAATACTTAAGGTCAAACAGAAAAATCAGTTTATAATAATGTAGATCTGCAACATATTTTTAACAAAAGCTCAATTCTCAATCCTTACCATGTGATGGTTTGTTTAAGCTCCAGAGCCCCCTACTCTCCTTCCTGCCACTACATCATCAATATGGTTGGCGTGGGAAGGGATGGCATTTATTTTGCAAGTAGATGAATATTTGGAAGGAAATTGCAAAGCGGGTCCATGAGACAGAACACATACTCTTATCAGCAATAACTAATTTAGTTTTTGTTTTGTTTTGTTTTGTTTTTTTTTAAGACAAGTTTTGCTTTTGTTGCCCAGGCTGGAGTGCAGTGGCGCGATCTCGGCTCACTGCAACCTCCACCTCCTGGTTTCAAGCAATGATTCTCCTGCCTCAGCCTCCTGAGTAGCTGGGATTACAGGCACCCACCATGATGCCCAGCTAATTTTTGTAATTTTAGTAGAGATGAGTTTTGCCATGTTAGCCAGTCTGGTCTCAAACTCCTGACCTCAGGTGATCCACCTGCCTCGGCCTCCCAAAATGCTGGGATTACAGGTGTGAGCCATTGTGCCTGGCCTAGTTTGATTTTTAAAACACATCATACTATTGGGAAATGGTTCTGGTAACATTTTAAGAGAGATTGTTAAATTTATCAACAATAAATTAAAAATTGACCAAAGCTGGTGGCATTGTGGGAGGTGGGAGACTAAAAACAAACTCTGAACTCGTTTTTGTAGATTTTGTAGGCTTGCTTTTGTTATAAGTGTTTGGGTGAAGCAATTCTGAAACCATTTTAGGTAGATTATAAGGCTGAAGAAATGGACAAATAGGTTGAGGTTGTTAGGATCACACTCTGGAAAAGGGTTATACAAATAAGAACTAGAGGTCAGTGTGTGTGGGACTGTGTGTATGCACAGTATTCATGCAAACACCTGTGTGTCTACGAGTATATTTCTGTATATGCATATGTATGTATGCACGCATATGTTTTCCATCTGCTGAAAGGATCTAGAAGCAATTACACCCTATCAGCAATGAACAGACTTAGCACTCGGATCTTCATCTCTAACACCATTCTCAATCAAAGGAACCAGGGCTCCTCAGAGAAACGGCTGATTCCAAGATTGAGGCAGGCAAATCAGAAGTTGAGCCTGAGATACCTTGTTAGGACAGAAAGTAAGAAGGTGCTCAAAAAAAGAAAAATGAACAATGAGAGCATGTCACAAGGACACAGGAATAAGCCTGAAGAGGCTCCTGCTGGACAAATCTGAAACAATTTGAACACCAAAATAATTAAAGACATTAATGGATGATGAAATATTGAAAAAATAGAATTTCACAAGACTGTATGATGTTAAATATTTTTAACAACAACAAAAAGCTCAAATCTGAATCTTTGCCATGTGCTAGTTTGTTTAAGCTCCATAGTCCCCTATTCTCCTTCCATATTAAACAAATAATATAGAATAGAATAGAATAGAGTAGAATAGAATAGAATAATATAGAATAAAATTATTTTCTCCAGGAGGAAAAAAAAAAAAAAAGCTCAACTCTCAGTCCTCACTATGTGATGGTTTAAGCTCCAGAGTCCCCTACTGTACTTCTATATTAAATAATGGATAAAAATTAAAAGCAAAAACAATAATAAATAAGCAAAGGTGGGGCTCCTTACTGCTTACGGTAAAACACTGAGTACTGACTGCTGGGTACATGTGGAGCCTTTATTACCATCACAGTAAAGATGGGACTAGGTAAGACTCATGATCAATCTAGTGGAAAGTTTTGAAGAGGAGCAGGATACTTGATTTACAAGTGTCTCCTCATAGATTGCTTATTAGTTGCAAGAAAAAAAAACTATGTATTGGAGACATTTGAAGGAGTAATCAAAATTAATTCGCAAGTGAGGGCAGATAAGTATGTGTGTATCCATATGTGATACCCTGAGGACACATTATTTACATAGCATTATGGCCAGGGATGTTTAGCTCAAATTGAATCATGATGAAATATCAGACGAACCCTAAATGAAAAACATTCTACTACAAAAAAAGAGGGTGAGGGACATTTTCTTAAAAAAGTGTCTATATTGTAGAAGACAGAAAGGTTGTGGATATGCTCCAGATTAAGCAACAATAAAAAGACATGACAAGTAAACACAATATCTGATTCCAGAGTGGATCTTTGACTGGAGGAAAAAAAGGACTTTATTGGATCAATTGGTGGTACATGATATAGATTAAAGTATGGTATCCGTGTTAAATTTACTGAAGTTGATAACCACGGTTAGATTATATAGGAGTGTATCCATATTCTTAGGAAATATCACTGAAGTACTTAGGGATACAGGGATGTGTATGATGCTTGCGACTTTCAGAATCTTCAGAAAAAAAATCATATGTATATATGTGTGTATACATCTGTGTGACTGTAAATGTATATATAAAATTCATATACTCACATAGCACAAATGATAAAGCAGATGGTCTAAAATATTAGCAATATTGTAATGTTTACCTTAGTATATATGGTCTTTGCAATCTTATTCATGCAATTTTCTGTAAGTTTAATTTTTTTCCAAATAAAAAATTTAAAAAGTGTTTCCTTTTTGTAGAAACAAAATCATTTTTATTGAAACTTTAAGAGTGCACATTAGGCATTTTTAAAAATCTACGAAAACAACCACCCAGCACATACATTTTATAAGAGGCAGTAGATTTATGTGTTTAACACAAGTAAGTGACATCAGGATCTAGACACGTCGTTTGTCCCATTTCCTCACCTTGATTCTTCACATGGTATGTATTCAATCATTTTAACTTTGCATTTGCGATTTCTCAATGTCCTGCGCTTGCCCCCACCCAGAGTCCCCCTTAATCTAGCCTCTGCAATTTGTAACTTAAGTCAATGTGAAAAATTGGACAAAAAATTCTTCAGGAAACTATGTAAGGGAGGAGTTTTTATTTATTTACTAGAGCAACTTCATATATTAAGCTTAAACTATATGAAAAGAGCATTTTTGTAACTGCTTACCATTTTAGTGCATTCTTTTTCCTCAAAGTTCTTAAGTGTGTTTTTCAAAGAAAGTTGAATCTGTAACTATGAAAAAGGACCTATTGCCCTGACCCAAAATAAGGAAGGACACTACTGAACACTTTGCAGCTCTGTCCTCTGTGTTGCAAGTGGTTTTTTAAAGTTCTTACATCACTTACCCATTAAAAATAAAACTAGGCTGCTTTTGGTGAAAATGGAAATAGTAATTACCTTCTTAAAATACCCCCTTAAAAAAAAAAAAACAAAAAAAAAAACAAACAGAGTTTCTTTTACATTGCCAAAAGAATTTGTTTGAAGGAAGATAAAAATAACATACATACTATTTGAAAGCAGCCTGGTTTAAGGATTGCCATCGAGTGTCATGTTATAACACTCAGAAGTAAGACATTTAGAACCTGCTCATTACTTTGCATCCTTCATTTATGGGATCAGATTGCTTTTATGGGCATTGTGCCAGATTCACTGATGTGCACTGTAAGGCAGATTGCAGAGTGAAACATTTTTCTAGAAAACATCTGGTTCTTAAGAAAAGTATTAGAAGGAGGGTAGCACATTTTTGCTCATAACTGGGACTTATCATGTTACAGTAACTCCCCTCTAATCTGGCAGGCAGACTTCCAACAACCACAACCAGGAACCTAGATATAAGTGAAAAATACCTTAAGAGTTCAAAGAAAACAGAGGTCCAAGATCCTATGCATATGAAGCAGTGGTACTGCCCTTAGCTCAAAGACTATTTTATTCATTATAAAACTACTGGAGCCAATTAGCATAAGGGCTCCTGAAGTCACCTTTATATCAGTGACTCTTTCTGCAGTTCATTTGTTCCTTCACTGCCCTTGCAAAAATTGTGCACCCCCTGGATGCCACCATTTTTCTACTCAGGTTTTCCCCTCCTCTCTTTCTCGTACCTTCAATATTTACTGGCTTTTTTTTTTTTTTTCTCCATAGATGCCCAAGTAGCTCTTATCTTAAAAGACAGACTTCTCACACCCTTATGGACACATCACTCTTCACCCTCAGCCTTATTTCTAAAATCTTTTCTATCCCGACTCGAGTTCCTCGCCTTCCATTCGCAGGGCTTCCACTAGCCTATGAGAAAGTTGTATTCAAATTAGAAAAGGGAGTCCTCCTGCATGCAGATGCAGTTGTAGAGTGGTAAGACTTGAAGGATTTCTGCCTCCATCTCCTGCGCCCTTGGCTGGGTCACCCTCTGCAGTGCACACACCGCATGACCACACGTGGAGGCTCAGCAGGATTTCAGATATTTCCACTGGCTTCTAATTTATTATATTTGGTAGAATCATCATTAAAACTCTGTTACTGGAATAATGGACTAAAATTACAGAGTACTGGGTTTGCTCTCAATTCTTTATGTAATTGCAGGACTGTGCTCTTACACATCCCCTCTGGAACTCTTAAGTTCTAGTACCACTTCTGTTACCACTCCTACTACTACTTTCTCGCTGTCTTTTTTTCTATCTTCCACTTTCTGAATCTCTATCGCTGGCCATTGAAGTAATATAGATTACATTTTGCATTAACAATTAATAGTAAAGTGTGGTATTGAGAGTTGAAATGTCAGCTTTTGTTTAGCTTTTTCTCTTCGTCTGTGTTCAGAAAAATAACTTTAAACAGCAAAAAGCAAGTTTGAGAAGGCTGTTCTCTAAAAAACAACAAAAACCTTTTTTTTTAGTGTAGAATATATGTTAATTCCAGTTAACTTTTACAATGGTAAATAAATATTTCATCACTCAGATATAACTATGTTAACAATTGGGTTACTTTCATCTAGTTTCGTATATTCTTATATGCATCTATATTTTTGGCAAATGGATATATTATTATTTGAATAGTTACATTTTCCTCTTTTTCACTTATTTTGTGAGCATTTTAGCAGTTAAAATCTTTCAAAAAAAATTTTTTTTTTGAGAAGGAGTCTCGCTGTTGCTCAGGCTGGAGTGCAGTGGCGCAGTCTCGGTTCACTGCAACCTCCACCTCCCAGGTTCAAGCAATTCTCCTGCCGCAGCCTCCCAAGTAGCTGGCATTACACGCACACACCACCATGCCCAGCTAATTTTTTGTATTTTAGTAGAGATGAGGTTTCACCGTGTCGCCCAGGCTGGTTGCAAACTCCTGACTCAGGCAAACCACCCGCCTCGGCCTCCCAAAGTGTTGAGATTACAGGCATGAGCCAAAAAAATTAAATACATAAATAAACCCTTGAAATAGTTTTCAATAACTACCTAGTACTATATTATTGGTCAAATCTTACATATTTGACAACCTCATGTTGGATGTTTTGATAACCAAAAGCAGCAAAAAATTCATTGTTACAATTTTTAAAACTGGAAACCTTTGAGAAAACTTCGGAATATTTCCTGTGATAAATTTCTCTACATGGGATCACTTGGTTAAACGACAGATTCTTATTTTGTGCTGCCAAATTCCCTTCAGGAAGGCTGTGCTACACTGCGACGAGCAGCGTCCGAATGTGGTGGTTTCCTTGCACCTTTGCCAACCTTGCATTTAAAAAAAATCTATCAGCATGAATGCTGTTATATGATCCTATTTTAAAGCTATTCACTTGTCATCTCCAGTCACAAACTAGGATTGCTCCTGTCAGATTCTTAATTGGTCTTTTGGTTTCCATAGTGATTCCATTATCTACTTCTACTCTAGTGCAAAGTTCAACCCGCTTCCTCGGCTGTCCATGCATAAAAGCCTTCCAGATTCCAGATTTGCTCTAGGTTCTTGACTTCTGGGGAAGAAAGCTATTTCCTCTTGGGACCCAGTTCACCATACTAGTTGAATTAAGGTCAAAAGTACATTAAATTTACAACTGCGTACTTACCATGAGGGGGGCAGGTGTCCAGATCTCAGATCCACAAAAAATTCTTTCATTTCTGCTGTGTCCCCCTGCTTCCATCCTGAGTGTAAGTCCCCAAACTTCCATTTAACATGTCATGGGCATTAGTTCCTTGAAATACTAGTTTAGAGGAGTCTGGAATCAAGACCGCCTAGTTTGAGCTCCAGCTGTCACAGATCTTGGGCTTGTCACATGAGGCAATCAAATCCTTAAAGAAGACAAACATCAGAGGTAGTAAGTGCTGCATAGAGTTTAAAAAGGATAATATGATACAGAATCACAGGATGGCTACTTGAGATTGTGGGCCTGGACATGAACATGGCCTCTTTGAGGAGGTGGTGATAAAGTGATAGCTGATGGAAAGAAGGAGCAAACCTGGAGAAGGAAGCTCAGAGTAGGAAGCGGGGGTGGAAGCTCAGAAGTAGGAAGGAGGGACAGGAGGAAGAGAATTCCACAGCGAGAAGAGCAGGGCAAGAGCAAGCTCAAGGTGGATAAAATGACATGCTGCATGTGGAGTCTAGCATAATATTTGGTGGGGGGAGAGAGAGGAAAAGAGGGAAGTAGTTGAAGAAGAAAAATGGGGAGGGAAGGAGAGAGGGTATGAAAGAATGAGAATCTCAAATCCTGTAGGGCTGAGCTCTCTAAGGGACTTTACTCACCTTTTTCATCTTGCTTTGAACAGCATTTTCTCTTCTCAGTTGTAATTACTACTTGGCCCTGTTCTGCTTATAAGAGGAACTACTATTTATTAAGAGCCTAGTGAGTAAGATTCATTATAGGTTTTATATAAGTTCCCTTTAATCCTTACAACCTGAGGCAGGTTATTATCCTTATATGCTTGTTTATGGGTGAAAAAACTGAGGCTGAGAGTGTGTAACTTGGAGAAAGATGAAACATCTGGGTAATGGTAGAGCCAAAACTTAAATCCAGGCTGGTCTGATTTCAGATCCGTGCTCTTGACTGCTACACTACACTGCTCCTCAATTACACTGCTCTTTGATAGTTTCTCCATTTGTAACAGCTGTTCATTCCACTCAGTTCATCTTGTTCTTCATTACTTAGCTATCTCTGTGATACACCAGTCAGTTTCTTCTGCTAGCCAGAGGTAGACAAGATCACTTTTTCTTACAGAAACATTATCTCTTAGTTATAGAAGGCATCTTAACATAATAAATAAGGCAGAGGCTTTGAAGTTGACTGGGCCAGTATGGAATTCAGGTTCTGATACTTTTCTCTGTGACTCTGGGCAAATCATTTAGTCCAGGTCTTATCTTTCTTATCTGAAAAGTGGGAATATTATTTCTCTTAATAGCTGACTGAAAATTAAAAGACATAAAGTAAGGAAAGTCCCTAAAATAGCATCTAACAAATGGCAGGTGCAAAATAAATGGCTGCTTAAAAAACAAACAAAACCTTCCTCTCCTCTTACAGATAGGAAAACTGATTTGGAAATGTCTTGCTGAGAGAACAGATGCTCTATTTCTCTATCCAATTTCCATGATTCTAGCATCCCATGATGCAAGTTCATTGGAACTACTAAAGGCATTCTGTTATGCGATTTCTGCCCAAGTCAGCTCCGGCTGCAATAATATCACAAACTGGTGGGCTTATCAAGAAAACAAATCTATTTCTCACAGTTCTGGAGGCTGGAAGTCTGAGATCACGGTTCCAGCACCACCAGGTTCTCGTGAGGACCCTCTTTTGGTTGCAAATAGTTGACTTCTTACTGTGTCCTCACATGGTAGAAAGATAGCTAGAGTACTCTCTGGGGTCCCCTTTGTAAGGGCACTAATCCCACTCACACGGGCTTCAGCCTTATGACATAATTATTTCCTAAAGCTTCACCTCCCAATACTGTCACACTAAAGATTAGGATGTCAACATATGAAGTTTGGGGGGACACAAACATTCAGTCCATAGCATTGTCCTTAAAAATGTCCACTCAGAGGCCGGGCGCGGTGGCTCACGCCTGTAATCCCAGCACTTTGGGAGGCCAAGGTGGGCGGATCACAAGGTCAGGAGATCGAGACCATCCTGGCTAACGCGGTGAAACCCCGTGTCTACTAAAAATACAAAAATTAGCCAGGCGTGGTGGCGGGCGCCTGTAATCCCAGCTACTCGGAAGGCAGATGCAGGAGAATGGTGTGAACCCAGGAGGTGGAGATTGCAGTGAGTGCCACTCACTGCACTCCAGCCTGGGGGACAGTGCAGTGAAATCGCGCCACCGAACTCCAGCCTGGGGACAGAGCAAGACTCCGTCTCAAAAAAAACAAAAAAAAGTCCACTCAGGCCGAAAGATATTTCTCCACCTGAATTAAAGAAAAAGAGGTAATGTTTCATGATTCCAGATTTGTAAAACAGGGATAATAATTCTGGCATTATAGGTTTGTGAAGATCAAATGTAAGAAATATAAAAGCATTTCAACATATATGAAGTGCCTTATAAATGCTCTTATTATTAAACATTTCTATGAAATGCCATAAATAAAAGCTAGGTGACAAGGCACCCAGATCACTTGAGGCCAGAAGTTCGAGACCAGCCTGGCCAACACGGTGAAACCCCATCTCTACTAAAAATACAAAAATTTGTCAGGCGTGCGCCTGTAGTCCCAGCTACTCAGAAAGCTGAGGCAGGAGAATTGCTTGAATCCAGGAGGTAGAGGTTGCAGTGGGGAGGATCACACCACTGCACTCCAGCCTGGGTGACAGTGAGACTCTTTCTCAAAAAAAAGAAAACAAAAAACAAAAAACAAAACACACACACACACACAACTGTTTTGCTAAGTGAAAAGAGGAATATTTGGAATTTTATAACATAATTGAAATGAAAAGGATTTTGAAAAATGGGAGAAATGATTAGAAACAAGAGAATGTCGTTCAAAACAAATGCAGGACATTTAATAAAAAGCAGTAAATGACTTACAAATACTGTTTATTGTAAATGCAAATAAAATTGAGGACTGTGTTTACTACAATTTTAAGGAAAATTGAAAAAGATGTAGATGAGAAATTAAAAATAATGCTAAGGATTAAGTCTAGATTAGGTTAAATTTAGTGTAAGAGTGAAAGCTTCTATGCCAGGGTGCTATTAGACAGAGCTGGGGAAACTGTTGCCTTCACATGGTGTGCTTTGTGACTCCCTGCTGACCAAAAGTATTTGGTCAGCCTTTACCATCAAATGTTACAGTGTCTGAAATTACACCTGCAGACCAAGTTTTCTAGGCTAGGGTTAAATATCCCTAATAAGGGACCTATTTAAATTGAGATTTCAGGTCCTGGTTATTTCTTAAGACCACAGCAGCCTTGAAAGCAGGAAGAATGAGCTGAAGAAAGGAAAGGGAAACACACACTCTTTATCCTCTTCCAAAAAAGATTTTTTAATGAAACTTACATTTTCTGCAATATAGCACCACACATTAACATTACAGAATGCAGGGGGAGCTTACCTTGATTTTGCAAAACTTACCACGTCTTTTGAGTTCCAAGAGGAATATAAACCATACATTTATAAAACCTTTATTAAAATATATATTTAAAATATATATATTGTCTTTTTCATGAGTTATTTGCAGGCAGATTTATTCCAATCTTTGAAACAACACAGAATACAACAAAAACAGGCTGGGAGCATGGGCTTGCGCCTGTAATCCCAGCACTCTGGGAGGCCAAGGCAGGCAGATCACGAGGTCAGGAGATCAAAACCATCCCGGTTAACATGGTGAAATCCCGTCTCTACTAAAAATACAAAAAATTAGCTGGGCGTGATGGCACATGCCTTTAGTCCCAGCTACTCGCGAGGCTGAGGCAGGAGAATTGCGTGAACCCAGGAGGTGGAGGTTGCAGTGAGCCAACATCGTGCCACTGCACTCCAGCCTGGGTGGCTGATCAAGACTCCGTCTTAAAAAAAGAAAAAAAAAAAAAAAGAATATAACAAAACCACTTTAAAAGAGAACAACGTATTTTAAATATATTTCCTGAAATAATATTCCTTAGAAAAGATACAGGGTATTTAATTACCTAGATTTTAACAAAATATTCTTTATAGAAATAATTATAGTCTTTACCACAGAGTCACCACATCTGGTACCTAATCAAAACAGAGTCAAATAGAGCAGCTCTCATTCAACTCCATTAGGAAACACCAATTTCACATAGTGCCACAGTACTTCTCTTGATGTACAGCAGCAACCTCTGCTGGACAAAAAAGGGGATTCTTCTAATAACAAAGCACTGAGCTCAAACCTGTTTTGAACAGGAAGAACTGAAAGTTAGATTTCTTTCATTTCCTGTTGAACCAACATCTAAGTTAAAATTATTTTCAAGGTCTTAAAGATGCACGGGCCTTATCAAGTATATCCTTTCTGATTTTTGGATAAGTTGGATGTGCTTCAAGAACCTGCAAAACAAATAAAGAACCCACAAAAACTTGTAACTAATGATCAAAAACTACGGAGCTACAAAACTTACCAGAAATGAGAATTACAGTTAAGATTTCCTTGTGCTAATACTACAACGGCTATAACACTTTTTAATGGTGGCATTTTAAATGTAACATGATGATTCCTTTCTATTAACAGTAGTTAGATGAGAACAATAGAATGTGAATATCAAATGTAGAAAATATAACAAATATAATTGCTTAGCTAATAGATGAGTTGTATAAAACAATTATGTATCAATGATTTAAAAGTTTTGTAATTTAGCTTTTCATTCATAATATTTGATAAACCCTTAGAAACTGACTTTTATACAGCAGTACCCATTAGCTTTACCTGAAATGATCTTGAGATATAAATATTTCTAGATCTACTGAGTCTAAGAGTGGGGAGATACTTGTTTTTTTTTTTAAAATAACTCCAAAAATGATCCTAATATATAGCCTTACGTTAGCATACAACCCTAACCTGACTGAAATACTGCTTTACAGAGACTCAGTAACTAACCGCAGTTACTAAGGCCAAGTATTTACTGTAATGATGCTAACAGATAGCTCTGTGGGATAAGGAGTATTACAAAATTCTTTTCTAAGGAACTTTTCTTGGAGGTCCTTACAGTGTTTAATAGAATGTCTTTCATGGAATATCAATGGAACAATGTATATATAAAGAGACTCTGCAAATTCTAAAACCATAATTTAAATATTTGTCATTTTAGTAGGTGATCATTTCGTAGGAGATGAATTACAGAATGTAACTGAATGAATTCTAATAGAATTCCTTTTTATCTCAAATTGATCAATCTGAATTCTCTAATAACCAGATTCAGACACATTCACAAGAACTTCTAATCAGAACAATGATCTGAAGAATCTATACTGTCTTCAAATATCTGCTAACTTAAAGACTAAATTTTATTTAACATGTTTCTCCCACTGGTCCTTTTTATTTATTTATTTTTAAAGTAAAAGTCTCTTTTACTCCACCTCTTTAATCCTACTCCTTTCCATACATGTAAATATTCTATGGTTTATTGTTTAATATGTACCCTTCAGTGGTCTTTGTCTTTAAATTGACATAAGCATTTTATTATTTGATCTCAAAGTAAAAACATATTTTTTATTTACGTGAACATCATTTTCTAAATTTTGAACATAGATAATCTTCCTAAACATACTTGATAAATTATTTAACTAAAATTATATATCCTCTACTTCTACTCACATACATCTGGAGATCTTAAAAAGTAGGAAATTGTACATCTGAAAAATTTTAAGGAATCTAAAATTAAGTGTTTACCTGGTGACATATGTCAATTGAATCCACATATCTTTTTGCTTTTAAGTAATTAAATGCCAGTTTGTATCCTGTTAAGACAAAAATCATAAAACAGAATGATGGAGTACACTGCTACTATTACTTTTCCTTACCTCCTCCTCTCTTTGCTTACTCACTAGAGAATCTGTAAGGGAGGCTGGTGAATGAACAACTAAACTACACTATATAGAGAAGTTGTGTGATAATAGAAGGCAGAGTGACACAAAAGAAGTGTAAGAAGAAAAGAAAGTGGAGTTGGAAAAAAGGATAACAGTGAATACATTGATCAGTCAGAAAGCTGCCATCCCACAACTGTGGTTTCTATAACTTACTAGAAAAGTCTCATTTATTTCAGGTTATAGTAAAAACTCATCATAAGGCAGTAAATGACAACACAGCCATTCATTTATACAGTACAGATTTATTTAGCACTTACACAGGCAAACTGATGCCTACAGTTATGAGGTTTGCATTCTATTAGGAGAAAAAATACATTTTAAAATAGTTTCTTGATTAAATGAGTAATTTCAAAACTGAGATAAATGTTATGAAAGAAAGATCCAGGCCAAGTGAGTTACCATAAAGAACATGAATCGGGGAAGAAGAGGGTATCAAGAGATGTCTGAAATCTGAAGAATGAGGCATAAACTAGTCTAAGGTGGGAATCAAGGACACTCTCAGACAGAGGAAACTGTGTGGATTAAGGCCAGTGGTAGGACACATAGGGAGTTGATGAACTTGGAGTATGGCGAAAAGACAAAGCACGTAGGAGGGCGACACGGAGGAAGGCAGATTAGTCATCAATGACTGGTAAGAATTATCACAATTACTGATAGTGAAATGCCACATTTCTACTATCAACAATTAGAAGAATGTTTAAGACATTCCTTTTAATGGATGTTGTTCTCCTGTAACATGCTATAAAAATGAGAAAAGAAGACAAGAAAAGTAACAGCAGCTGTGCACTCAGTAAACAAGATATAATGCAATGTAAAATAATGTGTAATAATAAATATCTCACTCTACCTCTTAAAAATATGAAATAAGAAATGTGAATAGTGCTCTTAGGCTCTAATAAAAGTACCAAAACAAATGTTTAAAATTTTAAGTGTTTGAAAAGAATTACTGGCTAACATTATCAAATGGTAGTAAAAAGAAAGAAATAGAAATGATCTAAAATTCATACTATTTTATATAGTCAGGCACTGTATGATGATGTTTCATTAACAACAGATCACATACATCATGGTGGTCCCAAAGATTTTAATACTGTATTTTTGCTGTACCTTTTATATGTTTACATACACACACTGCTTATAGCATTCAGGATAGTAACATGCTGTACAGGCGTGCAGCCTAGGAGCAATAGGCTATACCAGATAGCCCGGGTGTGTAGTAGGACCTACCACCCAGGTTTGTGTAAGTATACTCTTAAGATGTTCACACAATAATGAAATTGTTTAACGATGCATATCTCAGAATATTTCCACTGTTAAGCAACATATGCCTGTATATATACATATCTACACACACACACATGCACACAGGCACACGTGCGCAGGGCCTATGACAGAAATTCACAGCTCAGATTTTAGACAAAAATACGATGTTCCAGAGAGGTAAACTTGATGTCATTACCAACAAATTCTAAAATGAACTAAAATGGTTTGTGACATTCAAAAAGAAAAGCAATTTTTAAGATGTCATGCCAAACATACTTACATGGAAACTAGTCAAGATGTCAGTTTTGGTTTGTGGCTTCCTGACTAGCTTTGGGATCTTACGCAACTGGCTTGAGCTGTCATTTTCAGGTTTCCTCATTGCTAAACCAGGAATAACAACTCCTCCCTCTAACTCTTAGTATAATTTTAAAAATCACATAAAATACTTGTGAAATGGTTTTTAAAACCTTAGAATACCACAAAATATTAGCATTTTTTATATGTAAACATTCAATATATTATCATCACAGAATTTTAACACTGGAAGAAACTTGATACATGACCTAGTACAAAAATTTCAGAGAAAATAAAGAGCTCAAAAGGGGAAAGAAAATGTGCACTGCAGCTGCGCTGTACCTGCCACACTTACTAGAACTCAACCACATGCAATCAGGAGAGAGAGAGAGAACGCAAACATTGTACACAGTCTAATGACTGTCACGTAACCTGAGAATGGGTATGAAGGGGGCAACATGAATAGTTTCTTCTCTCATTGGATCTCAGTTGTTCCTAGTGTGTTTCTTTTTTTCCTCGTATATATTTAAGCTGTACAAAATAATGTGGGTGTGTATATATGTGTGTGTGTATATATATATTTATTTATAAATAAATTTTTGCAATTTACTGCAGTCAAGCAAATTATCCATTCATCATTCATCCTGGTGCCTCTCATAATGACAATATTCAACCCTAAAATCTATAGAAAGAGCATGAGCATGATTTTTTTTTTTTTTTTTGAGACAGAGTTTCACTCTGTCAACTGAGCTGTAGTACAGTGGTGCGATCTCGGCTCACTGCAAACTCCGCCTCCCGGGTTCAAGCAATTCTCCTGCCTCAGCCTCCCGAGTTGCTGGGATTACAGGTGGTCGCCACCATGCCCTGCTAATTTTTGTATTTTTAGTAGAGACAGTGTTTCACCATATTGGCCAGGCTGGTCTCGAACTCCTGACCTCAGGTGATTCGCCCACCTTGGCCTCCCAAAGTGTTGGGATTACAGGCGTGAGCCATGGTGCCTGACCATGAGCATGATTTTAAGGGTTTTCTGACAACTGAAAAAGTGAAATGCATTGTTTATTTGGCAGGCAGGTTGAGGAAGTGAGATGCAATGACAATCTTAAGGATGAAATTGAGGAATTAATGGAGAGCCTTAGAAAGAAATGTTTACCAAAGCAAAGTTGGAGGAACTGATAAAATAATCTATAAAATACAATGATGACACAATGAAAGAACTAGTCATTTGGAATCTCTTTATTTGTTGAGGTCTTCCAAGGAATGGAATATATAAATAATTTAACTTCTATGCATTCCTTCTATGGAATAAAGTGTCAAAATTAGTATTTTAAGGATATTTAAGGACTTTTTATTTTATGAGGTGACTTTATTCTGAAAGATACATCACATCTTAGAATAAAAATACTATAAAATCATTAGTTCTTGTGCTTTGTACAAGTCTAGTATAGTATAAGAACAGACTCCAGGAAACTAAAAGATGAGGGAAGACCTAAGCTGACAGCAGTTAGTGTGAGGGTGACACATTTGACTGCAAATCAAAATTGAATTCACACTGTGACATGGCTACTGAAAAGACTGATGTCATCTTAGGCTGAATTAACAACGACAAAATGCCTAATCAAAAGAAAAAAATAGCTTAATTATAACTAGCCAAATAATAGTTAACAGGTTTTTCATTTATGGTACAACAGGTCAGAGGGGCATGGAAAAATAAAGCAGCACTTTCCAAACTTACATGGCCATGGCATCTACCACCTTCATACTCCATTCTTTTTAATTAAAAAAATAATAATTATTAAAATCTCCCCAAGTGTTCCAAAGCACAGTTTGGGAAACACTATTTTAGAGCTTCCAGGAGACAGCAACAAGGAAGATGAGAGACTCAGACAGAATTCAATCTTAGGAAGAATGGACAAGTAACTGCAGATGGCTTGAAAAGAAGCCCTAGGACACAGGACAGAAGATTGCAGTTTAAAGGGTCATGATCTGTAAGAGGGAAGCATTCTGTAGGTTGCTCCGGAAAACAGACTTGGGCAGTTTCAAGGAGGCATATTTCAACCCAACACAAAGGAAGAGTACACAAACACGAGGATGAGCTCCCTGGCATGAGGGGAGAGGTTGGTCATGACATATATGCTGATGCCACCTCTGTTAGGGACACTGTAGACTAGCATTACTCAAACTAACAGCCTATAAAACACTGGGAGTAGATGATGTTTCTAGATGCTCAGGAGAAAAAAAAATGGCCCATGGTCAAATAATTGTGGGAAACATGGCCCCTCTGTGATATCCATCGCAATATAGTGTTTAACAGCTTTGAGAAGTAAAGAAATCTGTGTAATTAAATTTAATGCCGTATTTTCCTAACTTACATGGCAATGGAAACATCTTTTTCCATGGCATTCCCAATTTCAAAATAGCACCTCCTTTTAGAAGGAAGAGAAGGGGGCAAAATTAGACTAGATGTACACTGAGGTGACTGAGGACAAGTTTGGAACTCAGGAAATTGAACTATTAGTAGCTAATAATATATTATAAATATAAAATTTATTCTCCTTTCAGAAAGCTTGACAATGAAAATGGACTCAATGTTTATCGTTTTGAAAAACATCAAATGCATTTAAATGAAAAGTAATAAATAAAACATAATTTCTGCGAAAAATCTAGGTGATTGCCAAACTCACCTACTGCTGGATTTGTCCGATTACTGTATTTCCATGCCATCTCATAGTTCAAGGCAGCATCTGTATACGCTTGCTCTTTTTCCATAATGTATCCCATGTATTCATAAGCTTTGCAGCAAGACTGAAGAAAAATGGGTGACATCAATAGATTAAACCTGATATCACTAAGATTTTATGGGATGTTCGTGACTATAGAGGTCAATCATATTAACTCATTTAAATGACAAATCAAATAATGGTTTTCAACCTTGGCTAGGCAATCAAATTTTTTACTGAACTTAATAAATGATTCTGATGGCAAGTCTCCATTACAAATCTGCAGAATCAGGGTTTTCTTTACAGAATCAGAAATACACAACAGGGCATTTGTATTTTACACAAGCACATGTACACTATTATGAGTAATTTCAACACATACAAAAATGGAGATAAGAGCATAATGAACTCCACGAACCCTTATCTTCAACAATTATTTCGTGACTAATACTGTTTCACCTCTATCTCACAAACCTACTCTTCTGTATTAACAGAAAAAATCCTCAGATATATCAACTAAGTCTAAATGTGTTATTGTGCATCTCTAAAGATGTTATTTAAACAGAAACAATTTTATCACACCTAAAATGTTTACGACTCCTTAATAGCACCAAATATCCAGTACTGTCCGAATTTTTATTGTCTCAATATAATTTGTTTTTGTTAGAATGAGGACTGAGTAAGGATCAAACGTTGTAAGTGGTCAATGTTTTGATCTAGTCTTTTTTTATCTAGAGGTTTCCCTGTAGTATGTCTGTCTGTCTCTCTGTGTCTCTTTTCTTGAAATGAAATGCAATAGAAACGAATATTTATCCCCAAATTTCTCACAACGCAGGTTTAGTTGACTGCATCTTTGTGGTGTTTATATAACATATTCCTATGTCACTGACATTTTCTGAAAATTGTAATTAGAGGCTGGGATTCCATTTTGATTCTGGAGGGGAGGGGTGAATCTACTTCTAACATCAGTGCCATGATAAGCCACACTGGAGCCTGAGGCATAAAAACATGGATGCGTGTTTTTGTATATTTCTTAATTGTATTTTTTTTTCCGGAATATGAGTTTAAAAATATTGAAGAATCTGAAAGTATATATTAAAAATCACTACATTTAAGACTGAACATTTTATTTATACCTAAACTTAATTTCTTATCATTTTACTTTTCTCACTTTAATGGAAGAAATCTCACCAGCAATATTTTCATTAAAACCATCACCAATTACCTATTTTTTAAAAAACATAAAAATATGAATATAGGAATGCACATATTCCCTTTTGACTCAGGCTCCAATAAAGTTCAGCACAGCTGCATTAAATTATTATTTATCTTGATTACTGAGTGTTTCCCTTGTCTCATCCCAACCCTAGCCCTGCCATTGATGTATGTTCTTCTATTGGGAAGCACAAAATGTCTGATTCTCCATCTTTTTGTGATGTTATATCCATATATAAATTTATCAGGGTTGAAAAATGGGGACAGTCTATCAGTCTTTCTTCATTTGTTAGCTGGAAAATGTCTATGATGAGAAACGTCTCATTGACTATTTGGTTAACCAATTTTGTATAGAAAAGGCAGGATATTTATTTGCAAGCTTTAGAAATAGCAGTCAGTTCACTAGCATACTGTAGTGGTCACCAATTAGGTTTTTTATTTGTTTTGTTTGTTCTATTTTGGATCTTTGAGAAGTCATGGATTTAAACATATTTTATGTGTTTCAATATATTGCAGTTATCATACTTATTGATACTTAAAGTATCCCAACTTCGCCTGCTGGAGGTGTGTTCAAGTTGGCCTCTAGATCTTTGACACAAACTCTAATCATCATGGATAGCTTCCTTCATCATCTGGTACAGCAAGACAGTCTAGTTTCATCTTGTACATTTCCTGCCCCAGATATGGATGACTTCCATTTTTTAAATTATGTAATTCAAGGTTCCTAAGCTTTAGTTCTTAAATGTCATGCTTTCAATATCAACATATTCAACCAGCAGGGCTGAATGAAGCTTCTAAAGCAGCCATCATGTTCAACCATGCAATGTATTGTTATCAGCGTTCTGGCAAACTGAAATTCTGTGTGCACTGAAATTCCCATGCAATCTTGGTTAATCCTAGACTAGATATGAAAGGGTAAACTATTCAGCAATTTAGATTTTCAAAGCCTATTAATGAGCATTCTGCTTTTCAAAGCCAATTTAATATAAAATTTATGTAACTAATCATCTAGAATAGTTTATAAATTGATAAATGCTTGGATCATTCAGGTTCTTAAGTTCCTAGGAAAGAATCTTAATAGTACTAGATAATCACAATTCCTCTTTAAAAAATAAATGGTCCATTTGTAATCTAATTCACTCAAGGAGAATAAAACAGATTTACTGTGATTAAGATTTTGAAGTAATTGATATGAATATATGAAGATAAATATCATTTCTAAGTTGTGTACAATTATTTCTCAACAAAAAAAATCTTAACTCTAAAGAACTGCTATAATGACATCTTTTGTAATTAAACATCAAAATGTTAGTAAAAAGTCTTAAATTCTAAGGACTTTATAATATTCAATTTTATACCTAAAGATAAGGAATTTTTATTAAATGAAATTAAAAGCTGAAAAGACTTTCTCCCACAAAATATATTATGCATAATAGATTCTAATAATGAGAAAATGACATGCAGCTGCAGTAAATTCATCAAGAGTATTTCTTAATGGGAGGGACAGACGTCCGCAATTAATGTTCTTCTGCAATTTTCATTAGTTCTGGGATGAGATGGATAATCACAGGCAAATGTTTGACATTCCAAAAACACTTTCCGTTAAGTAGGGCATCACTAGAGCTGAAACTTGAAATTGCATAAATCTTTTTTTTTTTTTTAAACTTTAAAGGACAAATGGCTTTTTTCTTATTATTAATGCTTGTTTCCTGATTGTGGTAAGAATAAACATTTAATTTTCAAAAATCACACAAGAATCCTTGGAAATGGACTAACACTCAATGATATCTACATGGAAAGCTTATGCAGCAAAGGTCAATAATTATTTTTTACTCTTCAATCACCTACTCTATTATGACGCAGGCACCGTTTTAATAGTTCTTCTGCCATGTCATATTTTGCTGATTGAATGTAAATATCAGCAAGTAGCAGCCAACTCTTCTCAAACTCTTCGGCATCAATAGCATTCCAATTCATTTTTGCAATACGTTTCAGCTGGTTTCTGGCTCGTGGAGTCTGTTTCAAGATCATATAAGCCGTTGCCATTCCCAAGAGTGCTGGGATATGATCCTTCTATAAGAAAATAAACTTTTAGACCACAAGATAGATGCACAAACATAAATGTCTCAAAAACATACAGAAAGCAGAAAATGCTACATGAGAACTAGTTTGTGGATTCTATTTCTAGCTCCATTATGGATAACTGTGATTACAGGTCATTATTTAACACATCAAGTACCGTCAAGCTGCTATGAAGAAACTTGGTCAAGCACTGTGTGGTCAAGATAATTCAAGATAATGACAACTATTCAGATGCCATATGCACACAATTACAATAATTAGTGAGACTTTATCTTTAATGGGGTTCAAATAGTCATGTTTTAGTTTTGTATAGAAACAGAAAAAATAAAACTATTTCAGTAAAATCCTTATTGAGCAGTTTGTATTTCAGATTTAACATTTAGCCTCCTTACTTCTTTCACCTGTCAAAGACAAGTAACAATAATTTACCTGACGATGGTCCTTACCCATTTTGACTTCTATTGCTTTATTCTCCTCCCTTCTCCTTTTATCCAAAAACCTCTTCTCCCAATAAAGTTTGAACAACGAAATGTTAAAAATGAGGCACATAATTGATTCACCACTTGGAAAGTACATGAAATAAACACATGCCTTAAATTATGCTTTTAGATTTGGAGTCTGCAGCTTCCTAAAACAATCTATATGATATTCTTTTGGATAGAGTTTGAAGTCAGAGAATGTCACTCTATGAAACCAATAGGTTAATGAGAATTCATATAAAATGGAGGCCATTAGTGATCTATCCAGACAACTAACTTTCATAAGCAATAATGTGTATGTTCTTGATAAAGGTAGGATGCTTCTTAAATTTCAGCAGAGGGATTGCGAGGCATTTATAAAGAAAGAAGCCTCAGCTTGACATACAAATAAAGGGGCCAGGTGGGCAGCTCATATCTGTAATCGAAGCACTTCGGGAGGCTGAGGCTAGTACGTAACAGACCTCGCCTCTACTAAAAATAACAAAGAAAAACTAGCTGAGTGTGGTGGCCGGCCCCTGTAGTCCCAGGTACGCAGGAGGCTGAAGTGGGAGGATCTCTTGAGCCTGGGAGTTCAAGGCCACAGTGAGTTATGATCATGCCAGTGCACTCCAGCATAGAAGACAGAATGAGACCCTGTCTCAAAATAAAAACAAAAACAAAGGGTAAGAAATTGTGACTGAGGACTGATGATATCATTACTATAATAGAAGTATACTATAAGACAGCAAATTTGGGTAACTGATAAGGAATATTGTAAAAGGAGAGTGGTAAAACGTTCAATGTCCAACTGATCATGGTTAGAAGAAAGAAATAACTCTGGAATAGAGAAGGGCAGTACATCAGGGTTTTATAAAAACAGCTTTTAGAAATATAAAAACTTCCTTACCTCAAATTCTATGTCTATCAATAAACTTCCAAGATGTAATCTGTTCCTCTAGGTAAGGGGTGGCAAAATGGTTTGAGTGTTAAATCCAACCAATTGGTTGTAGATTATGAAGACGTGTTGGATGTTACCAATAACAGAGTCTCACCCTCTCCCCAACCCAGCCCACCTCAGGTGGGCCAGGAGACGAGAGAAAATAGAGGCCTGCTATGTATTTTCAGCGAGGTCCTAGGACAGCCTAACAGGAGGAGGGTCCTATTAAAAGGTCCCACATTCCCCCTACACTACACAATTAAAAATAGCCTCTCTGACTTACACTTTGAGTTTGATTAGAATCTACCGGTTCTTCACAACTTGATCACTCCTGAGTGAACTGAAGAACAGTTTCTAAAAGCAAACCTGAGTTCTAATCCCTGCATTAGGTATTTCTTCCTGGTGCAGACATCCTAAGACCTAGAGCCAGTTTCTCTCTCTGTCTCTCAATAACTCTAAATTGCAGTAACTTTAGATTGCAAAGGACAAGACTCGGATGTGGACAATATAGCTGTATTACAAACATCTCATCTTTATGGTTTGAGGTGATGCAATGAAAGCAAGTGGAAACACTTTAGCTTGGGTTTAATGTATCTTCCAGCATTTCCTCCATTATTTCCTGTCACATACCTCTTTTTCAGTCCCTCTGAATGACGCACAGGATTGTGAACATACCCTATGTTTTTCTGCCTCCCTGACTTCGTTCACATTTTCCTCTTCCTCTGGAACACACTGTCTTCATTTCTGCCTGTTAAAATGCAATTTATCCTGGTTCTTCAATCATACCTGTTTCTTTTCTTTTTTTTTTAAAAATTATACTTTAAGTTCTAGGGTACATGTACATAGCGTGCAGGTTTGTTACATATGTATAGTTGTGCCATGTTGGTGTGCTGCACCCATCAACTCGTCAGCACCCATCAATTCATCATTTACATCAGGTATAACTCCCAATGCAATCCCTCCCCCCTCCCCCCTCCCCATGATAGGCCCCTGTGTGTGATGTTCCCCTTCCCGAGTCCAAGTGATCTCATTGTTCAGTTCCCACCTATGAGTGAGAACATGCGGTGCTTGGTTTTCTGTTCTTGTGATAGTTTGCTAAGAATGATGGTTTCCAGCTGCATCCATGTCCCTACAAAGGACACAAACTCATCCTTTTTTATGGCTGCATAGTATTCCATGGTGTATATGTGCCACATTTTCTTAATCCAGTCTGTCACTGATGGACATTTGGGTTGATTCCAAGCTACCAATGAGTTTCTTCACAGAATTGGAAAAAACTGCTTTAAAGTTCATATGGAACCAAAAAAGAGCCCGCATCTCCAAGACAATCCTAAGTCAAAAGAACAAAGCCGGAGGCATCACGCTACCTGACTTCAAACTATACTACAAGGCTACAGTAACCAAAACAGCATGGTACTGGTACCAAAACAGAGATATAGACCAATGGAACAGAACAGAGTCCTCAGAAATCATACCACACATCTACAGCCATCTGATCTTTGACAAACCTGAGAGAAACAAGAAATGGGGAAAAGATTCCCTATTTAATAAATGGTGCTGGGAAAATTGGCTAGCCATAAGTAGAAAGCTGAAACTGGATCCTTTCCTTACTCCTTATACGAAAATTAATTCAAGATGGATTAGAGACTTAAATGTTAGACCTAATACCATAAAAACCCTAGAGGAAACCCTAGGTAGTACCATTCAGGACATAGGCATGGGAAAAGACTTCATGTCTAAAACACCAAAAGCAACGGCAGCAAAAACCAAAATTGACAAATGGGATCTCATTAAACTAAAGAGCTTCTGCACAGCAAAAGAAACTACCATCAGAGTGAACAGGCAACCTACAGAATGGGAGAAAAGTTTTGCAGTCTACTCATCTGACAAAGAGCTAATATCCAGAACCTACAAAGAACTCAAACAAATTTACAAGAAAAAAACAAACAACCCTATCAAAAAGTGGGCAAAGGATATGAACAGACATTTCTCAAAAGACATTCATACAGCCAACAGACACATGAAAAAATGCTCATCATCACTGGCCATCAGAGAAATGCAAATCAAAACCACAATGAGATACCATCTCACACCAGTTAGAATGGCGATCATTAAAAAGTCAGGAAACAACAGGTGCTGGAGAGGATGTGGAGAAATAGGAACTCTTTTACACTGTTGGTGGGATTGTAAACTAGTTCAACCATTATGGAAAACAGTATGGCGATTCCTCAAGGATCTAGAACTAGAAGTACCATATGACCCAGCCATCCCATTACTGGGTATATACCCAAAGGATTATAAATCATGCTGCTATAAAGACACATGCACACGTATGTTTATTGTGGCACTATTCACAATAGCAAAGACTTGGAATCAATACCTGTTTCTTAAATCCTATTTTTTCTTAAATCATACCTTCTTTACAAAAGGGTCCCTCAACTCTCCTTATACTGTCTCCTACAGCATTTTTATTTGCAATTCTAGTAAGGAATGTAACACATTTTGCTTTGTATTAAGTCATCATAGTCAGTATGCTTGCCTTGTCTTCCATAGACTATGAGAAACTTCAGAAAAGGGACCATACATTATTTATCTTTGTGTTTCCCACTATGCTTAGCACTTGCTGGCTGCTTAATGAATATTCATTATATTGAATATATGCAGCCTATGAGTTAAAAGATAAAAATGTGAGATAAAATTTGATGCTTATGAAACTTCAGCTCATGTATCATTATCTTTTGAATAATATGGTTAGTAAACAGATCTGAAGATAGTATTTTACTAACCACATACGTAAGGATGATTAAAAAAATAATGCAGTCTCATCAACAGAAAGCAGGCATAGTCTTTCTAGGAAATAGCTGTAATATCATTCACTGCTTTTGGCTTTTTTTCCTCTCTTAAACTTCACAGTAGGGATAATGGATTTGGTCAAAATAAACTTTCTCATTGTTATGAGATAGAATAGCACATCACAGCATTCAGTAGCTATGGCACTTGACATGAGACTGCGTTTCCTCATGTTCCTAGAGATTCTCTTAGATGTACATGATTGCTCTACTTCTGCGCTGTCTTCATTCAGCAGCTGTCATCCATCTGCTCCACAAAGCCAATTCAACAGAGCATGACCCCTGAGCACATTACTTCAATGTGTGCAAAAGTGCCTTGCTTTTGAGGGTTGCTGCTGACATGCTGCCCTGCTCTTTTGTTCCAAGTGTGGTAATAAAGCTGCCATCTAGGATACTCATACCCAAGCCACAGCATGAGTTGCAGGTCTCCCAAACCCCTGACATCTCAATCTCCTCCAGGGCCCTGGAAGGTGAGGGGAAAGAGATCACCGTACAGGGCTTTGGGTAGTTTATTGTTGCCACTGTGACCACTGAACCACAAGAAATCATAGCAAAATTCTGTGTGTCCTCTGAGAGACACAAAATGAGCTTACAGTGGCCTACAGCATCACTGAATGGAAGAACAAACATGAAATCCAGTGAATATGCTTAAAAGTAACTTACCAACTGCTGATGGGAGGGTATCTAGAATTCTTTTTTTTTTTTTTTTTAAATTTATTTATTATTCTTAATATCAAGTAATTGAAGAAATAAAGGGCTGTGTGAGGGAAGGAAAAACAGTATCTACAGAGTAAGAAAAAAGGTGGAGGAGGCCGAGGTAGGTGGATCACCTGAGGTCAGGAGTTCCAGACCAGCCCGGCCAACATGGCAAAACCTCTCTCTACTAAAAATACAAAAAACAGCCGAGCATGGTGGCAGGCACCTATAATCCCAGATACTTGGGAGGCTGAGACAGCAGAATTGCCTGAACCTGGGAGGCGGAGGTTGCAGTGAGCTGAGATCGCGCCATTGCACTCCAGCCTGGGCGACAAGAGCAAAACTCCGTTTCAAAGAAAAGGAAAAAAGGTGGATTCGAGCACAGCGAAGAGAAGAAAGCCTCTGATTTTGTAAGAATAATACCATGAAAATAACAAATCTGAAAAGATTGCAGGAGGTTACTTCAGTGTTGCCAAAGAATATCATTATTTGTGGCCGGGAGTGGTGGCTCACGCCTGTAATCCCAGCACTTTGGGAGGCCGAGGCGGGTGGAGCACAAGGTCAGGAGATCGAGACCATCCTGGCTAACACGGTGAAACCCCGTCTCTACTAAAAATACAAAAAATCAGCCGGACGTGGTGGTGGGTGCGTGTAGTCCCAGCTACTCGGGAGGCTGAGGCAGAAGAATGGCGTGAACCTGGGAGGCGGAGCTTGCAGTGAGCTGAGATTGCGCCACTGCACTCCAGCCTGGGCAACAGAGTGAGACTCTGTGTCAAAAAAAATTAAAAAAATAAAAAATTATATAATTATTTGTATGACTAAGTTATAAGCTGTCAGTATTGCTCTCATGTAGCTATATAGCTGGAAAAATTCCAAGTTCATGTAAGTGAAGAGGTAAGACATCAGGGCAGCCAGGTGTTTACTTCCACTTAGTAAGTTAATCTTGGCTACATCTACAACACAGAAATTCTCCAGAGGATAAAGTGGCTCCCTTGAGAATTAACTTACATACTTTTGAAGAATTCCCTTTCTCTGGAATTTAAAATTCCAGTAGAGAGAAATACATCAACAACACATCAAAACAGTAACATTGTCTCTTCTGCAAAGAAGGGGACATTGTATATGCCCAACTATATACCTAATTTGTAATAAAAGTTAAGCCGGGCGCGTTGGCTCATGCCTGTAATCCCAGCCCTTTGGGAGGCCGAGGTGGGTGGATCATGAGGTCAGGAGATCAAGACCATCCTGGCTAACACAGTGAAACCACGTCTCTACTAAAAAATACAAAAAATTAGCCGGGTGTGGTGGCGGGCGCCTGTAGTCCCAGCTACTCGAGAGGCTGAGGCAGGAGAATGGCGTGAACCTGGGAGGCAGAGCTTGCAGTGAGCCGAGATCGCACCACTGCACTCCAGCCTGGGCTACAGAGCAAGACTCTGTCTCAAACAAACAAACAAAACAAAGCAAAACAAAACAAAAACACAAAACAAAACAGGTAATTAAGTCAATGTTTCTTCAGAAAATAAACAACTAATCAAAATACATGTTTCTATACTACCAAATAAAGATAACATATGAAGCTGAAAAAGAAAATCCACTAACCTCAGATGCTGCTATTTCAGTGAAGGTATTTAATGCTTGTTCAACGTTAGATTTCTGTTTGGTAGCCATTAAGCAATAGTTTTCCATTATGCAAAGCTGTACGTGACCCTGAACAGTCTGAGGTTTTAGTTCCTTAAGAAGTTTTTCTGCTGTTCTTACTGCCAATTGCACAGATTCTTGCTTCTCAGTTGAATTACTGTATATAATTAAAAATAAATCACTTATGTCTCTTACTCATGATACAGTTCATTGAGATTAGAATTGGCTTTTGTACAAAAAAGCTCTGGGCATTCTTTTATACTTTTTGTCATTCATTTAAAAGTAATCTTTTGTGAAGAATGTCACTCATTCTCTTCTAATACAAACTGAAGCACAGTTATAATGCATTTTAAACAAAATTAATAGGGACTCAATAAAACACCATTAAGCATTAATTTCCTCTAGAATGAAGACAAAAGTTGGACAATATCTACATGTTGTAAATGTGTGCATTCCAGCAAATATAAAACTGTAAGTAGAACAATAAAATTAACATATATCTATTCAAAAAGTGAAAGGAAAGAAAAGGAGGAGGAAAAAGTGACAAATACTGTATTATTTCATTCTATGTTTAATCCATTTTACACACAGGAAAACTGAGGCTCAAATAGGTAATTTGCTAAAGGTCATGCAGCTAATAAGTGGTAAACCTAGGACCTGAATCTAAGTTTATCAGACATATAAAATCTACTCTGTTCTCCTCACCACATTGCCTATCAGACTCTCAGAAATTATGTGTGTCAAAAGGTAATTTCAAGTGCAATTTGAATATTTAATAGCAATTTTCTTGTTTTATACACACAAACACACACATATACACAAATCAATTAATAAAAGGAAATTAAACACTCAAAGTCCAATCACTAAAGCCACTGGTCTTCTTCTCAGACCTTAGGCTTATCTTACCTAAAACATGTCACGCTGTTTACTACCATTTTCAAAGTTCTTCTTCCTTGGCTTCTGTAACACTACATGGCTTTAGTTCTCTTTCTACCATGTTGATTGCCCTTTTCTGACCTTCCTTCCTCCTCCAGATCCCTTAAATGTTAACAAACTTAACATTTAGTTCTCAGATTTTTGTTACTTCATTCTACCACTTTCAAAGAGGCCATTCATGGAGTTCCAACTATGCACTCTGCAGATGTCTCCCAAATCTCTATCCCTAGCTGTGACCTCTCTTCAGAGTTTTAGTTTTGTATTTTGAATTGCCTGCAGAAGACTTCCACTTGGATAGCTTATAGTTCCGTAACAGCAATGTTACCTCAACCTTCCTAAAACAACCATAAACATGCCACTTCCTAGCTCTAATTGATCTCTGTAATCCAAGCATTAAAACCTGTCATTGAAATCTCTTGGCAATCTAGTGTTAATTTTTTCCTGCTCCTCCATGCATCTTCCCCTGAATACCTCATGCACTGCTATGATTCCTATGAACTCTGACAATACTTAATATCCATGTAAATCCATTTATGTTTAGCTGCAGATTGAAAGGTTTCAGGTATTGTCTTGCCTCTTAAGTAAATTACACACTCCTGAAGGCAGGAACTACCTCATATTCCCTTTATGTCCTAATACATTCCCCACATGCCTTGCCCGAGTCTAAAGAGAGGACAGGCTACTAATGCAGGTTGATAAATAACCATTGACTAGCAGTATACCACACTAGCAGCAGTCAGGACTCAGTCTAAATCTTGCCTCCATCATTACTATCACATTAAACAAGTTGACTCAGCTTATTTTGCAATACTGTTGTAGAAAACAAACGAGATAGTGCATAGAAAGTATAGAGGACAGGGTCTGGAAAATACCTACCATTTGTTAAGTAGTTACTATTATTGTGTGGATAATTTTTGCCATAGTTGTCAAATTTTACAATTAGGGGAGTGTCTTCATAACATGTCTATTATTATTTAGGAAACCTAAAAACATTTTATGCCTGTTTCAGAGAATAGTTATGTTAGCAATAACTAACCTATTGAATAACTATTCAATTTGCTAAAATAACTATTCTCTGAAACAGGCAATGAAATGCCTATTTATTTTATTCATCTGCCCTTTCATTATTGCTATCCTAGAATTTAGTTCTTTTGTATAGTATCTTGTTTATTATCTCCAACAAGTGTTTTTTAAAAAAGGATAATATGTCAAATAACTCACCCCAGGTCTCCATCCAGGTTTTCAAATACTTCACCTCCAATAGTTTCATTATCTGGATTCAAACAGATTTCTATCATATTATAAAGGGCATTTTGGCCCCAGTCACGATCTTTCCGAGCTTTATTAAAATGTCGAAGGGCATCATTTGGTTCTCCAGTGTACCTTGTTAGATGTTTAAAAGAATTATTTATTTCAATCACTGACTACAAAACTTATATTAGTTTATAATCTGTCTGGTAAATAAAACTGATGAACTATTTTGAAACGTACATTTTTTTTACTACAAAGAAAAGCTTATTCTACTTGATTTACAATGAGAAAAAAAAATTATGTAGCATTTATTTGTCAATAGATTTACCAAAGATATAGTCCTTTACAATACTGAAATCCTGGCTCCAACTTTGCTCTGGAGTTACGTTTCTCAGCCATTGAGAAAAATCGTGGGACATCCTCTAGTTTTCCACATCTTCTTAGGAGATCAATCAAACGAGATAATGTCATATAATTATCTGGAAACAAATAATACTTCAGATATGGGCAACATTTTATATTGTTTCTTTTGTTGGTTATAATTCTACTTCATTAGTGTAAAATTTACTTATATAAAGTACATTTTAAATATAAGTAAAAAATGCCTCAGGGTATAAGTCCCTAAAGATGCTGTATGGCCAACTAGATGATCTACTAAATGACATAGTTTGGGCTGGGTTGGTCACATCTACATACGCAAATCTGGAAAAATGAATATTTCTTGTAACTTTTCTACTGTTTGGGGGACCACAACCTTAGAGAAACAGCCTCTACCTAGGTAATCTAGACTTTCAACTGTGTAGTTCAGGGATACCAATTTAATTGGACAGGGCAAGTTCACTGTAGGTCTCTGAGAACCCCTCTCCTTTACTCGTGCTAGGAAGGACGTGGGAACAGTACAATTGACAAATAATGTATGGGGTGGGCAATAAGAAATTTTTCTCCAGTCTCTCTTTGATATGTACATATAGCTAACATACCATATGCTAACTTACCATACTAGAACTTTAGCATATTAGTTCCCATATTTTAATCCTGTTTCACCTTCTTCCAAAAAAAATTAATTCATTCATTCATTCCTTTGATCTCAACTATAATTTCCTGGCAGGTTCCTAGAAAGCCTTTTCCCAATTTTATCTAATTCTCTCTTATCACTAACAAACTAAGTTTGAGAATAATTTAATAAATCTTTTTTAGGATTGTAAAAATAATGTATAGACACTACAGAAAATAAGGAAAACATATAAAAAGTATAAAGAAGAAAAATCAGCATATTTCCAGCTAGAGATTAGCACATTTTGGTGTGCTTTCTTTATATATTTGAAAACTAACCAATATATAAACATAAGCAAAGATATGTTATTTCTTTGTTTACATTCATACAAAATCGATGTTTATTTACATATATACAAAACTGGAGTCACATTTGGGGTGTTGATTTTGATTGGTTTCGATTAGTTTTAATGTTGATTTTGATGAACATTCAACAGTAAACATTTCCCAATTGTCATTAAAGAATCTTCCAAAACATGATTTTTAATGGTTGCATAAGGGCCTACTTACTGATGATTCACATTATTTATTTCTTTATAGTGGTATCTTAGATGTTTGGGTGCTCAAGTTTCAGTTAGCACAGGACTAGGGATATGTAGGGGAATTGCAAAAACCCTTAGGCTATTCTCAACATGTTCTTAGGTTGAATTTCTAGAATTAAAACATAAAAACAAAAAAGCTTGTTTTAAAGCTATTTATCCTTGACTCTATTTTGCTATTTGAAAAGAGATGACATCATGTAAATCCAGTAATTTTCCTGAGTACATAGCCAAAAGATTAAAAGCAGAGACTCAAACAGGTATTTGTACACCAATGTTCACAGCAACAACCTTCACAATAGACAGAAAAAGTGGAAAGAGCCCAAATGTCCATTGCAGTTGAATAGATAATCAAAATGTAGCACGTACATATAAAGGAATATTGTATATTGTATGTCAGTCATAAAAAATAAGAAAATTTTGACATACACTACAACATGGATGAATTGTGAAGACATTATACCAAGTGAAATAAGTCAGACACAAAAGGGATACCGATTTAATTGGACAGGGCAAGTTCACTGTAGGTCTCTGAGAACCCCTCAGAGTTATCTGAGTGATACAGCTTACATGAGGTGCCTAGAATAGTTAAATTCATAAACACAGAAAGTAGAATGATGGTTGCTAGGGGCTCCGGGAAGAGGAATGAAGAACTGGTGTACCGACTTACAGTTTGGAACGGTAAAAAAGTTTTGGAGATGGGTAACGGTGATGACTTACAAAACAATGTGAATGCATTTCATGCCACTGAACGATACACTTAAAAATGGTTAAGATGATGAATTTCGTGTTATATATGTTTCACCACAATACAAAATATTCTTTAAAAAAAGAACTTCTGGAAACACTGTATCTACTCAATTACGGGATGTTAAACCAATACAGGTTGATAGTATCGTTTGTCCCCTTGACACACAATCTTGAGTCCAGAGATTTTGTTCATCACACCTTTTAGCATCACTAAAAAGGGCATAATAAGAATATGATTTCAGAAAAAGACAACTCAAATATTGGTCTTGTCGTTTAGCTATGTCAATTCAAACAAATTTCTCAAATTCTTTGAGTCTAATCCACTTATTTTCTTAAAATAGGATTATAATATTGACTGTAGGAGTGCTGCTATATAAAGCCACGAAAAATATTTATAAATTACAAATGTTATTAATAATATTTATACTTCCAAAAATTTTGATAAGAAATAGAATACCCCATAATAAAGCCACAGCATCTGGAAGCTGTACTGGATTAAGCAAGAACTAAAGGTTAAAATTTCTGGTGAAATTTTTTTTGCATGATACTGCTAGTATTGTCAACATTGGGAAGGCAATTTCTAGAATATTTCTTATATACTATTGAAATGTATTCATTATTAGTTCAAGTTATAATTACCAGTGACAGATTAAATTACATTCACTTGTCTTTTGGTTAACCCATGACATTTGCAAATTTCTGCACTTAAGAAATCCATTAAAAACTAAAATGTGTATTACCCTCTAAAAAACTTAGCTGGTCCATCTTTATTGATGGATAGTAAGAAGATATCAAAATAGTTATAGGGTGATGAGATGTGGGAAGCATACAATGCCATGGTATGGTATTACAAAGCACAGGATTCCGAACTTTGCCCGGAGGAGTTGGGAAATTTCACATAGGAGTTGACCTTTGAGCAGCCTCAAGGATAGGAGGAAGATCTTACTAGACAGACTGGATGTGTTGGCAAGCTATCAAGCAAACAGAACTGAGGAGACACCTTAACCGATTGGTATGAAGGAAGGGGAAAGCTCAAGGCGATCTGGAGATTCTGACAGAGAAAAGGGGCAATCTGTCATGACAGCAGTAATTTTTTTTTACTACTTAAATTAAGTCAAATTTGTATGGTACATTTCTGAAATAAGCTAAAATAGGGCCTTAATCTAAAGTACAAGATGAGTTACTGAGGATAAACAATAATGTACACATAAAATGAAGAGAATTTTTCAACTACTTAATTAAATCAAATTTGTATGTTGTTTAAAGGACAAGCTAAACAGAGGCCTTAATCCCAAGGTGCAGGAGCCAGGTTTGCTGAGGATGAAGGTGTTGCATAAGGCGGTGTGAGTAAGGTGTGGACTTTGGGGGTAGTTTCCAACCAAGTAGATCTGTGAGATACGTGTGCAAGGTACTAGTAAGAACAAGGCATACAACACAGATTAAAAACTCTTAAGATTAAAAATATCCACATAGACAATAAAATTTACACAAGATGAGTTACTGAGGATAAACAATAATGTACACATAAAATGAATGTAGATACGTATGTTTTAGAATAATTCCAACAAAATAGATCTGTGGATAAGTGTGCAAGGTACTAGTAAGAACAAGGCATACAACACAAGATTAAAAACTCTTAAGATTAAAAATATCACATAGACAATAAAAATTTACTGAAAATTTTGTGGTTGTTTTTGAGACCGAGTCTCACTCTGTCATCAAGGCTGGAGTGCAGTGGCGTGATCTTGGCTCACTGCAACCTCCACCTCCCAGGTTCAAGCGATTCTCCTGCTGTATTTTTAATTGACTTGGTGTTTTACAGTCATTCACTGATCCATTCAACCAATAAACATCTATGTTGCTACATCCATGTGCATGGCATTTTGTCTGATATTGGGAATATAAGATAAATATGGTGAGTTCCCTGAACTTGAGGAGTCTACAGTCTAATAAACAACACAAATATGTACATAAATATTTTTAGTAAAATACTATAAGTAATAAATAGGTATGGACAAAGTAACCGAGGATTAGGGTTACCAACTCATCCCAGTTTGCCTGAGACTTTATGTTAGCATGGGAAATCCCGCATTCAGGAAAACCCTTCGCTCCGAGGCAAATCTAGGATGGTGGGTCATGCTACCCAGCATCATGTAAGACATTTTTTAATGTAGGTGGTGGTAGTGGGATGCAGATTTACTTTTGTATTTTCCCCCAAGAGGGATATATTTTAGATTATGTGTTTGGAAAGAGAAAAGAGATAAGGAAGCTAAAGTTCATTTTAGGCAAAAGGAAAAAACCCAAGCAAAGACTTGGAAGCGTGGTTGTATGTCATTTGGTGTTGCTGGAATACAAGATCCTTATATTGCATTTATAAAAAATTGCTTTTATATTTGTTTACCAACAGTCCAAAGCAGTCAGTCTACTCAGCCAATTTTTTTGGGAAAAAGGCTGCTGCCAACTAACAGAAACTTAAGTGAAACAAAACCCACAAGACACATGAAGGCTTCTTCAAATCTTAGAAAACTATAATGTGTGAGATTCTTCAAATCTTAGAAAACTGTAATACTTTTAATGACTTAAAAATATTCACAACAGAAGAAGTCTGCTTTTTTAAGAAATAAAGTTAGATCATTGTCTCAAAGGGAAAGACTGTGAAATGGGAACCGCTTGAGATAGAATGAAAATATTATATATATTACTTTCAAATGGTAGTTTAGAGAAGAGGAATAAGAGAAAACAGTGTGGAACACAAGGTAGAAATGGCAGGGAAAAAAACGACACAAGCCTGAAGAAAATAAAAGTAGGTTTGGGCAATGTGGGTGGCAAGATGAGCCCATATTTTGGACCCAGGGTGAGTGGAAGAGGTGAGATGGTCAAGTAATTCACAGCATTCTTTTAAGTAACATCTAAGTATACTCTGGAAAAGACAAGGCAAAAAACAAACGAAACGGCCTCTGGTAGTCCCAAGGTAGAAAAAAAATTACATAGTAAAAATAATAAAGAGAAAGTGTTGATACTACTGTAAAAAATAGACCATATTTTTTCCTTTCAATTTTTGTGCTAACTGAGGATATTTTATTTCTAAGTATGAACTGATGTTCTCTAAATTCAAACGTCTTTTTATTAAAAGCATTAGTAGAGGTAGCCTATAGAGCATATCTAGTTCTTTGAGTTGCCCTGCTTGAAGGATTGCCACCTCTGTGTCTCTGTGGCTCTAACCAGGCAGCTCTGACTGGGGTTTAGAAGAACTGAAACACAGCTGTAGGACTTTCTCTGCCATTTCAAACTCTTTTTAGTAACACAGGTAGTAACATACAGTCATCTATTAGTCAAACAGTTCCCACCTCTCTTTCTTCTTTTCCTCTTTCTTCTCCTCCCTCCGTCCCTGCTTCCCTTTCTTCCTTTTCTCCCTCACTCTTCTTCCCATCCAGTATTTGTCGAGTACTAACTAGGCCAGGTATCCTTCTCAATTCTGGAAACACAGCAGTGAAGGGCAACGTTTCTGGTCACTTGATGCTTCTGTTCTATGATTTATAGTTTTTTTGGTTTTGTTTCACAAGGGCTACACAAAACCCAAAAATCCTTAAAAAAAAAAAAAAAAAAGCCAAACCCCAAAAACCCAACTGAACAGAAAACAGGATAAAGGGATGGAGAGCAAGAAGTGGTGCTACTTGATGTAGGCCAGTGAGGGAAAGGCATTCTAAGGAAGAAGCAGCACCGGAGCAAAGGCCCAAAAGAAAATGAGGCAGCAGCCAGATGGACCTTTGGGAGGAGCACATTCCGGGAAGCAGAAATAGCAAACAAAAAGGCTCAAGGCTGTAACTGGCTTGGGCTTTTGCCTACCTAGTTTCTGTTATCCCTTTCTTCTTTACTATCAGAATTCTGATTTTATTCTACAGGGTATTAGATGCAGCTAAAAGATAACGTTTCCCACCTTCTTTTGCAGCCATGGAGTTGATACTACTAAGGGTTGGGTTTTATTTTTTTGCTGGTTGGGAAGCCCTTTTTTCCAGCTCTGCACCCACCTTCCCCATCTGGGCCCTGGAACATCAATGCCCAGCACTGCAGTGGTCATCTTGAGGTGATGCTCAGGCAAGTCAGAGTAACAATATAGAACAAAAAGGGAAAAGGCTCTGGTTTCCTGAAGATACCGTGGAACTGCCATACCAATCCCTACACAGTGTACTTTTAGATTTATTTTACAGACAGAAAATTAAAAGCCGTGCTTTTTTAGCCTAGAATTTTCAGGGGCATCTCTGCCATTTTCAATGAAAGCATTTCTAAAGTCTTTGTAGGCTAGGGATGGAAAAAGAGATGACTTATGACAATGTTGCAATAATCTACGTGGAAGATGGCAATGGCTTAGACCAGGGTGGCAGTAACAGAGGTGGTAAAAAGTGACGGCATTCTAGGTATACTTTGAATGTAGCACTAACAAGGATTTGCTGATAGACTGGAGGTGATATATGAGAGAAAGATGAGACAAAGATTAACTGTGAGGTCTGGGCTGGCATAACAGTGAGCAGTGATGCCACTCACTGAGGTGAGAGGTGGGGGTGAAGCAAACTTAGAGGGGAGGGAAAGATCAGGTGTTCTATTTTGGACATGTTAAGCTTGAGATACTCCTAGACATCTGAGTGGGAATGCAAAGAGGCAGAGGTGTACATGAGTAAGGGCTGCAGATAAATGTTTAGGACACATCAGTACATACATGGGATATAAAGCCATGCAGCTGGACAAAGTCACCTAGGGGGTGAATATATAAAAAGAAAGGAGGTTCAGGAACTGAAGCTAAGAGTGTTCTGATATTTAAAGGTCATACAGAGAAGAGAACTCCAACAAAGGAGAATGAAACAGCGGGCAATGGGGCAAAAGAAGAACCGAGTGAGTTTAGGATCTCAGAGACAAATGAAGAAAGTCTTTCATTGTGGAGGGGGATAAACTGTGCCAAATACGATGACAGGTCAAGTCAGCAGAGAACTGAGAACTGAATCTGATCTGGCAGTATGGGGGTCACCGACCACATTGCAGAAGCGACTTCCCTGGAGTGCAGCAGTGGATGAGACAAAGTGAACACAGCATGTTTGAAAATCCTTCAGAGAAAAATTTGTTGTCAAGAAGAACTGAAGAAGGGCACAGTAATTGGGAGGGGATGAGAGTTAAGAGTTGATTTTTATTGACTGATTTATTTAGAGCAGGAAGATGTCACAGCACAGTTATATGTTGATTAGCAAAATTGATAATTCAAGAGAGAGAACTGTAAGAGTAAAGCCCTTTGGTAGGTGAGAAGCTGGACACAGGCGGGATCACAGGCCTGGGGAGGACAAAGGCTGAGGAGTGGGTAAATTTAGTGACAAAGACCGGAGAAGTTCTCTTCCAGGTGCAAGTATTCTCTTAGTGAAGTAGGTGGCAAGGCTTTTAACTGTGGGCAAGAAATGGGGCAAGGGTGTTGGAGGTTTGTGTTGCAGGAAGTCAGGGATCCCAAACACAGGGACTGGCTGAAGCCGTGGCAGAAGAACATAAACTGCGAAGATTTCATGGCCTTTTATTAGGTTCCCAAATTAACACTTTTATAATTTCTTACGCCTGTCTTTACTGCAATCTCTGAACATAAACTGTGAAGATTTCATGGACATTTATCACTTCCTCAATCAATACTCTTATAATTTCCTGTGCCTGTCCTTAATCTCTTAATCCCATCATCTTCATAAGCTGAGGATGTATGTCACCTCAGGACCCTGTGATGATTGTATAAATTGTTTGTAAAACATGTGTGTTTGAACAATATGAAATCTGGGCACCCTGAAAAGGAACAGGATAACAGTGATTTTCAGGGAACAAGGGAGATACCATAAGGTCTGCCTGCCTGCAGGGCTGGGCAGAACAGATTCATATTTCTCTTCTTACAGAAAGCAAATAGGAGAAATATCGCTGAATTCTTTTCCCAGTAAGGAATAACCCTGGGAAAGGAATGCATTCCCAGGGGTGGGTCTATGGATGGCTGCTCTGGGAGTGTCTGTCTTATGCGATTGAAGATAAGGGATGAAATACGCTCTGGTCTCCGGCAGTGCCCTCAGGCTTGCTAGGATTAGGAAATTCCAGCCTGGCGAATTCTAGTCAGACTAGTTGTCTGCTCTCGAACGCTGTTTCCTGTTAAGATGTTTATCAACGACAATGCGTGCCCAGCAGGGCATGGAACCTCATCAGTAATTCTAATTTCACCCTGGACTTCTTATCTTGCTCTGCCTCTCTGCCCTTGTGATCTTTTATTACCCTTTGAAGCATGTGATCTTTGTGACTTACTCCCTGTTCATATCCCTCTCCCCTTTTGAAATCCCTAATAAAAACTTGCTGGTTTTGCGACTCAGTGAGCATCATGGAACCTACCAACAGGTGATGTCACCCCCGGAGGCCCAGTTGTAAAATTTCTCTCTTTTATACTCTTTCTCTTTATTTCTCAGACCAGCTGACACGTAGGGAAAATAGAAAAGAAAGTACGTTGAAATATTGGGGGCTGGCTCTCCCGATAGTTTTTAGGAGACAAGAGAAAATGGGAAAAAATCGTTAGAATCAATGAATTCATTCTTGGAATACAGTAGGATTGCCAGGTTTGTGCTCATAATTTAAAGTGAGACCAGTCAACAGTGTTGCATTTTCCTTATGGCCATTTCAGCTATTCAAGCCCAGGTGTGGAACAAGTAGACAGTCTGATTCAACTAGGGATGGAGTTTGCCCGAGGGCAAAAACACTAAACAGAAGAAAAAGGAGTAAGGGAGGGGTGACTGAACTCAAAAAATACTATCAGTGGGTATTTACCTGGCTTACGTTCTAAAAGCTGCTGTAAATGAAACACTGCTTGTTCATAGTCTTGTTTTCTGAACATGAGATCAGCCATCATCTATAAAGATAAAAGTTGGTTCTAAAAATATTGCCATGTATTTTACACAACATATTCTTCCAATCAAGATTTAACACTAGAAAAATATAGATAATAAACATGAGGAGGGGGTAGCATTTTATAAAAAGGAGGAATTTAAGGTTCAAGCCCACCTTGAGCAGAATAACTTGGAGATCAGTGTAACAGAAGATAATCAAGGATGTGAAACAGATTGCCCTGCTTGCAAAATTGTATTTTTAGCAAAAAATATGTTCCTAGCAGTTGTTTTAAAAACAGAAATTTGAAAGGAATTGCACACTGTATGTGCTATTGTAGAAAAGATAACTCACTGAAACTGACTAAAATAACAATAAGAAGATTCAAAAACAAAACAAAATTTAAATCATAACTATTTTGAAAAATTAAAAATGAGCAAGACCTACTGAGATTTTTCTTATTATGTGCTTTAAAATGCAGATTTCATATATTTCTTTTTAACCACAATAACTTTAAATAAACCTCACAAAATGTCATCCACGTAGCTGTCTGCACAGCTAACAAATATTTTAGTCCACATAAAAATAAGAAAAAAAACCAACCAAAATTCTATTCAAAATAGAACATCTTAGACTGATATATGAAGTTGTTTTTTTCCCCTGTAACTCCAAAAATTCCACCCAAACTCTTAAATGTGTCCACCATTCCTAAGTACTTAAAAGTTAGTTCTTAGCAAATTAGTGTTACCACATGAACTCCACCTAACCAAGCATCCCCTTAGGCATAAATAAAAAAGTAACTAGACCCAAAAGGGCATGTAAAAACCTGACCTAGGTTTATCTTTCTTATAAATAAAATCCTAATGATTCTGGGTCTTTATTGGTAAAATGTAGTAATGTAAGAAAAATGTTATTTCTTCCAAAAGCCAACGTGAGCCATGTCTCATCATCTAGTAGTAGTTCCATGGGGTAAAATTTAAAACTTATAAAACACAACTGCTTTTATTGTACCGAAGTTCCTTGGACTGACCATGGTAGCAGCTTCATTATCCTGGTCACTCTGAAGCAGTAAAGCACACTGCCGCAGGCAGGAATCAGGGTCATCTTGTGCCAGGTATAATCGTGCCAGTTCCAACATAATCTGTAGAGCAAAAGGCTAGATTCATCAGACACTGTATAGAATGAAAAGTGAATGAGGAAAATATGTGGACACAGATTAAACTTTAGTTGACCGAAAGTCATTGCAATAAAAATGCCAAGTATAATAGACAAAAAAAAAAAAACATAAAAAACTGTATGTATGCCATCTCTATTTTCTCTTACACTAGAGAAAAAAACAAAGCAAACAAACAAACAAACAAAAAACAGAGAAATAGGTAGTAACTCACTTCAAAAGTAGAGCGACATAATGCATTGTGAAAAGAACACTGGTCTTAAAACCAGGAGATTGGATTCTAGTCCCAGCTCCTCCATGACAGGGCTAAGTCAGGTCTCTTCTGCCTCTCTTAATCTGCTTTCTCATTTGTAAAATAAAAAGCTTCAAGCAAATAATCTCTAAGGTATGCCTCAGATTTAAAAGTAGGATTCCAACTCCTTTAGCCACCACTGAAAAAGGTATCTGTTTGATTATGCCTTGCTAAAGGTTGTTTTTGCCCTTTATCTAAAAAAATTATATTAATAAAAATGTTCAAACTAGTCATTAAATTCTAGAGGATAGTTGTCTTTTGTACATGATCACTTACTTAAGTGTTTAGCCATTAATTATTTTCAAAAATTAATAATCTCTCCAGATCTTCTCAGATCTTGACAGAGAAAAAACATTTTAGTTTTTACATAACCAGTCATATATGTAAGTGTACTACACCAAAATTATCTTTACATTTATTCTCCCACTGTGCCATATGAGGTCATAGATTCAGCCTAGCCATTTTTGCATCCTTAGTACTAAACACCAGTTGAAATAGAGTGTACAACAGCTGTTTAGTAAAAGGAACTGAATTATCTAAATCCATGTATTTGTGATTGAGAAATTATTTAAATTATTTTAAAATTATTTTTTGATAAATTAAATTGATAAAATAAACTAATTTGAAAATTATTTAAGCTATTTTGATAATTAAAAACATAAATATTAAAACAATTTGCAGGTTGCTTTATTTTACTTGTTCCATTACAGTTTTTAAACTGTAATGTTCTTTTTTTTTTTTTTTTTTTTTGAGACAGGGTATTGCTTTGTTACCTAGGCTGCAGTACAATGGCATCATCATGATTAACTGCAGCCTTGACCTTCTGGGCTCAGGTGATCCTCCTGCCTCAGCACCCTGAGGAGCTGGGACTACAGGTACATGCTACCATGTCTGGCTAATTTTTGTACTTTTTAGTAGATGGGGGTTTTGCCATGCTGCCTAGGCTGGTCTTGAACTCCTGGACTCAAGTGATCTGCCTGTCTTGGCCTCTCAAAGTGCTAGGATTATAGGCATGAGCCTCTGCATCCGGCCTTAAACTCTAATATTCTTAATGTAAGGCATCATGTAAGATATTGAAAGTTTTCGAGGAAGAATATTAATCTTTTAATTTGTATTTTTGTTATATTTCTTTGTAAATCTTCTTTTTTTCTATTTTATTTTATTTTTTGAGATAGAGTCTCGCTCTGTTGCCCAGGCTGGAGTGCAGTGGCGCGATCTTGGGTCACTGCAACCTCCACCTCCCAGGTTCAAGTGATTCTTCTGTCTCAGCCTCCCAAGTAGCTGGGATTACAGGAGGTGCCCCCCCACCACGCTGGCTAATTTTTGTATTTTCAGTACAGACAAGGTTTCCCCATGTTGGTCAGGCTGGTCTCAAACTCCTAACCTCAGATGATCCACACGCCTCGGACTCCCAAAGTGCTAGGATTACAGGCAAGAGCCACTGCATCCTGCCTACATCTTCTCTTAAAACAAGCTGGTAAAAGTTTTACATCTGAGGAAATTAGAAGACATCTGGAATAAAAGGTTCTTAAAATTTTATAAAGGTACTGACCTTATTATCTGTTTCACAGTGAACCAGAGCCTCTCTATAAAACTTAATTGCTTTTTCATAGTCTCGCTGAGCAACAGAATGTTTTGCAATCTCTGCACAAATTTCAGCTGCTAAATGTTTCTGTGCAGGAACTGCATCTGGCTGTTCCATCTGAACACGTTTTAGTACCCGAGCTTGTAATTCTCGAGCCTAGAAAAAATCAGGATAAAAGGAATAAAAAAAATAAAGAAAGGAAATTAAATTCTCTATAACTCACACACAGCATAATTTTACAGATTTATTTAAACATTATGAACCCTTGATCTAACAAATCCTGATCCAAAGAAAATGTATTCCTGAGATCTCAAGCATGTTCTTGTTTGCAAATGAGCCAGCATGCATGTATCTTTCCAACAAAACACTTAACGGAATTACTGAGTCTTTTCCCACTGTTACAAGCATGTGTATAGGAAGTTCACTAAGGAGGAAATACAACCTTGAAACAAATACAAAGAGGTGGGGCCTTCCTCAGGGTAAGAATGTAGAGTAGATTGTTAAATTGGAAGAATATCAGCCTTTCCACCCATCCATCTGGTTTCTGGAACATTGAGATGTTCCTTCGATGGTAAGAACTCCCATGTTTTAGGTCTTCAAAAATAAAATTCACGTTTCAGCTATACATAATGATTCACTAATGAATGCATTCATTTAACAAATAGTAAATGCCTACCACATGCAATATATTATGCTACACACAGGGCACCCTTCTTGGGAGTCTTGTCAAAATGTTAGCAAACAATTGCTTTGAAACAGGTTTTCTTTTTTTTTATCCTCTCAAGCCAGAGGTTTAGAGAGTCATAACAGCATTCTTTTGCAAATGAAATGAAAATATAAGTGTATATAGCATGTGGTTAACATTAAAACTGTTTCATGAAATTTTTATTTTGGTTATATTAATATGTGTTTAAGTATGTCAGTATATGTACCTTTGTGTGCTTTGGATTATACATATACATACATGTTCATGTTTTTACATAGCTATACACATATACACACACTCATGCATGTGCTCCTAGTAAAAAACCTGAAAACAATTGGTTTCGATAGGACGATCTCTGTCTTGCAGGAAGGCATCCTTGCATCCCTGAATTCTTGTACCTCTACATATCAAGATGTCCTCCTCTGACATCACTTAGCCAATAGGAAAGTAGAAAACAGGGTAAGACCCCGGGGCCCATTCCTAGCACCTCAGGGGTAAGGGTATCATCCCAAGGACACAAGTTTCCAGGTAGCAACCTCCAAGAATTTTGTTAGAGATGTCCCATCACTTATGGCCCTCTACTGTTTTACATCTGGACTCTGAATTGCAAGTGTAAGAAAGAAAGTAAAAATTAAAGAGAAAGTGGAACAAATATTGGTGACAGAGGCCCCTGGCAAACTGCCCCCAGAGGACAGTTGTCCCTTTTCCAACAAGATAAGCGGAAAATGCTGTTGCCATGGAGTACATAATAGAAAACCTAACTCAGTCTTGGAAGTCAGGTAAGAATTAAAAGAATGGCTAGTAGTTACACCCTGGTGAGTTGGGGAAAAAGAGATGGCATGAAGAGATGGAACGGTTCATAGGCATTAGGAATCACATGTGAAGGAAAGAGAATAAGGGATACACTGTTTGATAAAATAATTAGAAGAAAAAATGGCTGGAAAGATACACAGAATATACAACAGGTAAGCCTGTTAAATAATCTACATTTTATCCTAGAGGCCATGGGAAGCTACCACGCCATGTTTATAAGCATGGGCATGACAGGATCAGGTTGCCTTTGGGAACCATCACCCTGGTGGCACTGTGAAGAACTGACTAGAGGGAAACGAGACTGGAAGAGGATGGGATCAATCAGGAGGATACTTCAGGACTGTAAGCAAGAAATAATGATGGAGTCAGCTAAAAGATGACAGAGAGGGCTACAGAAATGCAGAGTTATTGAAAAAGTCTGAAATGTTTAGGAAGCAAAATTCCAAAGACTTGAGATTTCCCTAAATTTACCATTTCTGTCACTGCCAAAAATGTTTAGCAACTTTGCAAAAACACTATGACAGAACCCCTAAGTTACATCATGTGAAAAATTAAGCTCAATAAATGGTCGCTGAATAAATGAACAGAAAATATCAAAAACTTTGACTCCACTTACAGGTTTCTGTTTGAATTGCATCTTCAGATTTGTCTCTTTGTCATTCAGAATATACAGCATTGTCATCATTGGGAAGAATGTTATAGTTCCTCAAACCTTATCAAAGATGAATAATCCCTGGGCTCTAACATATAAACTCAACAGTTTGGGGTGCTGGTATTGCCTAGCCATGGCATGTTGTTTTTTGATGTTGCTTCATATGTCTGCTTTTATAACACAGGGCCTCATACGACTATGGTGACTGGGACTAATGATATTCATAAAGGAGTGAACTAAGCTAAATTTATTTCTAAAATGTTTTAAAAGTCTACATTTACCAAAGATTACACTTTCCTTCTAGCTTCTGATAGCTAACCTATTGCTGGGTACAATTCTCTATCATGTGATTCAGAAAATAAGAGCTAAAATGTACCAACCATTAAGGATAAGACATTAATATTGTTTAAGATTACATACTTTAATGATATCATAAACTTACATGGATATCACAGAATCTAATAATCCAAGCTCAATTCATTCACAGCTAGGACAAAAAAATTTTGGGACTTTCTACTGAAACTTGGGTAAGCACCCACACTCATGCACACACACGTGCACACACACATATACACGCCCCTGTCGGTTAAATCTCAAAACCAAAACACTATAAATTATTTGCAGAATGCAGAACTCTTCTGGGTACACGGGAATCAAGTCGAAAGGTGACTAGTACAGTATTCTGGAAAGCACAAAGGGTTACGACTGAGGCATCTGCATTCCACTTCAAACTCTTCTGGTAACCAGCTGTATAATCTTGGACAAATACTCTCTGTGGGAAAATGAGCACAGTAATACATAAACCGCTTGCTTACCTCAGAGACCTGTTGCTTCCAACATATCACAGGAGCTCACAGACACAGGATAAATAGAATGAGATAAAAATGGTCTTTTTTAAAAAAATCAAGTATGAAGAAGGCAAGTGATGATTTCACAACTAGACAACTGCTAAACAAACCAATATTATGGATCCTGTCTGGGGAACGGTAAAGTGCCTCCAGGGAACTTGGGAAGTAAGATTATCTCTCTCAGAAGTAAGCTGCAAAATCAACACACAATAGATAGAGCAGATAGGCAAAATCGCTTAAATGAGATGGAGAACCTAGAAGATTTACTTAAAAATCTTCCAGTATCTGATACTGAAATAAAATATATCACGTTGTGTTCCCTATAAAACAAGTTTCAAACAACTAATTTAAAATGCCTGACAACAATAATGGAAAAGGCAAAAGTAGAATAACAGAATTTGAATAAGAAGAAATGTGTGTTGTAATGTAGCTAACACTGAAAAATAATAAAAGGAGGTATAAATAACACAATAATAGAGGGGAAAGTGGAATAAGAATAATTTAACTCATAAAAGTCAAGAAAATTCAGAAAAAAATAAATTATAAGATGGCAAATCCAAATCCAAATATAATTCATAATTATATTAAATGTTAAAAAATTATAATAGATTAAGATTGTCAAGAAAAAAATTATATGCTGACAGATCTTCAATAAAAGGACACGGAAAATTGAAAGTAAAAGAATGCAGGAGATATACCACGCTAAAAGGAAGCTGGACTTAGCCATATAAACACAAAACAAAGGAGATTTTAAAGCAAGAAGCATTACTAGAAATGAAGAAGGCCATTTTATTATTTTAAAGAACTTAATTCATCATATTGTAATTCTAAATCTGGATCATTCAATAATGTATCTTCTAAATAAATGAAGCAAAAATACATACAACTAAATGGAAAAAGAGAAATCCACAATCACACTGAAAGACTTTAACATCCCTCTCATACAAACAGACCAAAACCAAGCAAACAAATAACAACCAAACCCTAAGAACAGGGAAGATGTAGAGAAATCAATCAACAAATTTGACCTAATTGACATATGGTTGAACTAAGTATTTATTAGATTGGTGCAAAAATAATTATGGTTACAGCAATGCTAGAAACACATTATTTCAAGTTCACAAGGAACCTTTACCAAAATTGATTATAACGTGAGATGTAAAGCAAGCTTCAACAAATTGCAAAGGATTGAATCATTCAAAGCATGCCTTGGCACAGCAGAAGTGTACTAGAAATCAGTATCAAAAAGATAACAAGCAAATCAGAACTCCATAAAAATTGAATGCTACACTTTTAAATAACCCACTGGTCAAAGAACCAGTCAAAGTGAAAATGAGGAAATGTTTTATAATAATAATAATAAATATAATAATAATAATAAAATAATAATAAACTTGTGGAATGCTGATAAACCAGTGTTGAGGGAGAAATTTATTGCTTCAAATGAATAAGAAAAGAACAAAAGCTTGATATCCATTACCTAACATACTATTTCAAGAGGCTAAAAACTAAAATAAAATAAAAATTAGTAAACCAAACCCAAAGAGTGTAGAAGAAATTATGAGGTTGAAAGAAAACATTTCATGAAGCCAGAAAAGGCAAACATTGACCCTTCGAAAATATTAATAAGATAATGAACCCCTAGCATAATTGATTATCAAAGAAGAAAAATAAAATTACTAATATCAGGTTTGTAAAAGGGGATCTTTTTCACTGCATTTGTAGACATTCAAAAGAAAAGATACAATAAATAAGTTTATGTTAATACATTTAACGATAAACTGACTACTTAAAAAAATCCAAATTGATATAAGAAGCAATTTGAAAATGATCAGTCTGAAGTCTATTAAAACCTTTCCTTCAAAGAGTTGGGTCTCAAGGTCTGGAACACTGAATTGTTCCAAACATCAAAGAATTAGCAGCCAGGTGCGGTGGCTCACACCTGTAATCCTAGCACTTTGGAAGGCCAAGGCAGGTGGATCACCTGAGGTCAGGAGTTTGAGACCAGCCCAACCAACATGGTGAAACCCCGTCTCTGCTAAAAATACGAAAACTACAAAAATTAGCTGGGCATGGTGGTGAGTGTCTATAATCCCAGCAACTCGGGAGGCTGAGGCAATAGAATTGCTTCAACCTGGGAGGCAGAGGTTGCAGTGAGCTGAGATCACGCCATTATACTCCAGCCTGGGCAACAAGAGTGAAACTGTCTCAAAAACAAAACAAAACAAAAAAAGAAAAAAGAAAAAAAGAATTAGCATCAATTTGTTGAACACACAGATGTAGAAATCCTGAACAAAGTATTGTAAAACATCTTTACATTCCAGCAAACCTTTTAAAAAATTGTATCAAAGTAACATTTATTTCAGTGATATAAGTGTGGTTTAACATTTGAAAATAAATCAATTTAATATACCACATTTGAAAAGAAAAACGGGAGGAAAGACATATGATCATCTTGACAGATGCAGAGAGTATATTTGATAATAATTTAAGTGACTTATAAAGAAGTTGTTAGCAAACCAGAAACTGAATCATCACAAAAAAAACATCAATCACTTGGGAACATACCTAAGGAAATCTGTGTAAAACCTCTATGTTGAGAACCACAAAATATTAAGAGAAAAAAGAACATCTAAATAAATGGAAGAAGAAAGCACTAAGTTCAAATCCTGATTATGACACTAGTCATATGACTTCATACAAGTTATTCAACCAAGTCTCCTCAGCTATAAAACAGGATTTAAAAATTCCAATCTTTCCTAATTGTTATAATAGTAGTAATAATATATTTAAAATGTATAATCCATAAGCATTCAATAAGTATTTCGATTTTGACATATTTTCTGCAGCTGTTTGGCCAAAAGAGATTGCTTTCCTCTTATACATGGCATATTTCCTTCTGCATCCATCTCCTACCTCATGACCACACTCACAGACAAATGTGTTTACCTGTTGTAATGCAATGATCGCATCACCAGGTCTTTCCATTTTACTATAAACTTTTGCTAGAAGAACTTGACAACGTCCATCCTCCATGAGAGCTGACAGTTCATTTACTATGAAAGAATGGAATGTAATGGAAAAAATTATTCATCTTAAATAAATACTCATATTTTTCCAGAATTTTAAAAACTGGGCTCTAGAAAAAATGATTTTGAAAAATACTGAATACAGTTAAAATTTTCTCAGTTACCTGAAGAATGGTCAAATTCAAAAAAAAAAAAAGAAAGAAAAGAAAAGATTTAAGATAAAAACTGGCTGGATGAAAAGTTAAAGAACTGGTTAACAACTAGAGGCTTTTCTTAGACATATATTAAGAGATAATAATTTAACACCACAATAATTTCCAGTTTTACCCTTAAGTGTATAAAAATTTGTTTACAGAAGTCATTAAAAGAAGATACGGTAGTTTCTTTATGCAGTTAAGAAGATAATTGCTCTTTTAAAAATCAAAGATACTTGATAAGCAATAAAGTACAGTTATTAAGAGCACTGACTTTGATGTTGAACAGTCTGGTTTCAAATCTAGGCTTTACCACTTACTAGCCCTTTAATTTTGAGCATGGTACTTAACCATTCTGTAATTCCCTCTCATCTGTAAAATAGGAAAAATGATAGCACTTACCTCACAGGGTGGATGTAAGATTTTAAAAGCTAATAAGTTACTAAATAAGTTAAAATATGCCAAGTAATGAAAACAAACTCTGGTACATGGTAAGTGCTTTTTAAATATTTGGTTAATGCCAAATACTTTATAAAAAATTTTATAAAAAATAGGGTTATATAAAAAAATAACCCTAGATAATTAATAATAATGTTTCCTCCACCATCTGTCAAGTGCACAGTTCATGACACACCATGCCATTATGCCAACTAGGTAGTTTTGAACGTATCAATAAAACTGAGTTTCAGATTGCTAAATTTAAAATGGGTATGATTATATCTGCCTCAAAGATGAATATGAGTCCTGAGGAGATAATGTATGAAATGTATATGAAGGCATCTGCGTATGTCATGGGCATGCTCAGCAAATATTAAATGAAAGAATTTATGTTACATGAATATAATATACCCACTGTAACTAAAACAGATGATACTTGAATCTCTCTCCCCGTACAAACTTTTCGAAATGTATATCCACATTTAGGCCTTTCAAGTGTTTCAAAAGAAGATCTGATAAATCCATGCATATATTTTTATGGAACTAATAATACTTCATACAATAAATACGTTTATAATTAGAAGAATTTAAGCACCAATGTCATCAAAGTTAAACTAAAAGATCATTTTGAAAATATCAGAAAACTTACAATCGGCTTCTCTCATCATGTGTTCAAATGTATTTTAAGGCTCCACTAAACATGTTGTTGGCAAAAGAAAAGGAACATACACAATGGAATAAAATAAAGATTCCTATCATCAGAGTAATGTATATGAAGGAGTTTATTATAAAATAAAGGAGGCAGTTCCATACATGGCATGAAAATAAAATTGGCTATACACTTTGGAAACTATATACTAAAACTTGTATATGGAATAAAGTACATGGATTAAAGTTCTCAATATAAAAATTAAAACAATATAAATGACAAAAATATATGGAAGTACTTTCATAATGTTAGGATTAGGGAAGAACGACAAGAAATTTTAGAGAATGACAAGAAATTCAGAAACAAAAAAAAGACATGAAAAGCAGATATATGATCATTAAATATTCTACTTGATCAAAGATACAATAAACAAATCTGATAAAGAAAAGACAGCCTGGGAGGAAGTATCTACAACATGAATATTAGGTAAAAGATTAAAGACAAAGAATATAATTAAAAATTCCTAGAAGAAAATAAGATATATAAACAAACTACCTAACCTTATCACTCATCAAAGAAATGCAAATTAAAATAAGTTTATTTTTCATGACTAATACGACATAATGTCAGGAAGTTTTTAGCCTTAAGAAAGAACAATGGGGCCAGATTCAATTCTAGAAAGTACAGAGAGGTATATGTATATAAAGAAGGATTTTATCTCAGTACTGCTTCCAACTATTCCCCAAGCTAAATGTGTATTCCAGTATGAGACTCATCAAGTCAATTATGATATTAACATACAGTGGAATACTCTACATATGCTAAAAAATAAAGAAGAACTATATTTCTAACAAGGAAAGGAGTTATTAAAGGAAAAATGCATACTGCAGAATTATAGGTACACTATAATCTATTTAGAAAGACAAAAGTGGTAGGTGTAATAATTGTGTATATATGAGACAGGTAAAGATGGGGGCAGGGAGACTGATTATCATGATATACAAGTTGTTAAATATGGTTTCCTCTGGAGAGTGGGAGAGCACACAACTTTTACTCACTTCTGTAATCTTTAAATTCTCGCAATGGGTAATCACTAGATTTTATTGAAAAATAAAGATCTTTAAAAAGCAAATTTTCACAAACTTGAAAGAAGGTAACTTGATAGTATCCAAACAAATTTTAAATGTACAAAATCTTCAACTCAGCACCCTACTCTAAAAAATACATGCAAATGTACACTAAGGAATGATACAATGATATTTGTTGTAACACAGATTATAATATCAAAATAATGGAAAACAAACTAAACATCCAATAATTTCAAGAAAATTAAGTAATTTATTGGCATTATGGAACATTATGATGCCTGTAGATAGAATAATATGAATAAAAATTCCTAGAAGAAAATAAGACACATAAACAAAATAATACCTAACTTTATCACTCATCAAAGAAATGCAAATTAAATGCATGATGTACTGACATCAAACTAACTGGGACATGTATGTGGAAAAAATTGCAGAAAAGCAAGAATAACAGTTTTGCGCAGGAAAATCACATTACATTTATATATACACAAACATATACAGAATATTAAATTACAAGCTACTAGGGAGGTAATTTGAGAACAAGGCAAATGGAATTCATAGGAGAAACAGATGACTTATGCATTATATTCTTTTATAGAGCTGAATTTTAAAAAAGAAACATGCTACTTTTGTAAAAAGTAAAGATTACAAAAATGTTAATGTGCTTAAATATGAGGTAGTTGTAATTTAAAGATAACTTACTTTATATTATTTTGGGAAGTAAGCTATATTTCTATAACACAATTAACTGTTTCATAAGTCTGCTACTAGGTTTTAAAATATCACATTTTAGTAGAGTGGCATTCTGATAAAGGAAAAAATACGCATGTATTTATATAACCAACCACATATAAAATATTGAGAATACAAATACATATTTATGCAATATAAAAATAAAATGGATCAGACTTATGAGACTTTTTTCAAACCAGAAAGACTTTCATACCAGGTTCATGAGCCAGAGCATGTTGAAGAACTTTTTCTGCTTTGTCATACCATTTCAATTTTAATAAGAGCTCAGCCAGGTCATAGCAAAGATAATTCTTTTGTCCACTTTTCAGAGCAGTTTCATAGTAAGTGATGGCCTAAACAAAATTCATTTCATTTAAGGGAACAAGACAATGAGAATGGCATTCAAGCACAGCTATTTAACACATTACAGACTTAAAGCATAGGTATAACTAGAAATAACCAGGAAGAATTGTAGGCATATGCCTGCCTGTCAATTAGGTATGCCATTCTTCTCAGAGAACAGATCATCACACGAAACAACTAACATTTCCTTTTCTTTTACTTTTTTTTTTTTTTTTTTTTGAGACAGAGTCTCACTCTGTCACCCAGGCTAGAGTGCAGTGGCACAATCTCAGCTCACTGCAACCTCTGCCTCCCAAGTTCAAGCAATTCTCCTGCCTCAGCCTCCCAAGTAGCTGGGATTACAGGAGCTCACCACCATGCCCAGTTTTTTTTGTTTGTTTGTTTTTTTGTATTTTTTTTTTTTTTGTAGAGATGGGGTTTCACCATGTTGGCAAGGCTGGCTTCAAGTGCCTGAACTCAAGTGATCTACCCGTCTTGGCCTTCCAAAGTGTTAGGATTATAGGTGTGAGCCACCACACCTGGCCAACAACTAACATTTCTTACGATAAGTAACTAAAGAATGGTACTTGGCAAATAATTTTGTTACAGGTTTTATGAGGCCAGGGAACCTTATCAAAGGCATACATTTTGCTAGCTATTGTACATATGGTCAACAATTACCAGGAATAGGGCAAGAATATAACAGTTAAAGAAAAATCTGTTTCCCCTACTGGAAAAAAAAAAAAAAAAAATGAACTCAAAACACATAGCTTGCAAAAACTGGTGCAACGGAAAGAACATTTATCATGTTTTGTTACATAATGAAAGAGATATAAAAATAGCAACTTTACAGTAATTGATTTGATAGCAAGGATTCTAGCTGCAAGATGAAGCAAGCTCTAGGGTCCAAATAATCATCACAAAATGAAGCAATGAAGAATCTGAGATACTTTAACACAAATCCCAGTTCATAAATACAAATTTGGAGTTCACAACCATTAAAGATGCAAATGGTGCTTGCTGAAGCTTCTCGAGAATAGGGTGTGATAAATTTGATGCAACAGACACATTTCCAACAATAAAGTACTTACCATTGAGTAGTTATGAGTTTTGATAAGTGCTTTGCCCATTTTACTTGCCAATGTCCCATCTTTCGGGTTCTGATTTAATGCTTGCTCGTATGCTACTATGGCTTCTTCAGGCTAATATTGCCAGACACAAAAAATAAGCAATAAAAAATAGCATAACTGGGTCCCATTAAAGGGCAACATTTCTATAATTAAGCTCTACATTTGGAAGATTACATAGGACTAAGCATATATTAAAGCACAGGAACTTTAACAATTTCAAAAAGGTGATAAATGACAAGCGCAGGTATGGGTAGGTATAATTTATTAGTATAATTCTACCCATATTAATTGGGCTCTTGTCTATATAAATAACAGTATGTGAACTAAGAGACACCATGTTGACTTTTCATTTCCAGAAGTCATTATAAGTGCCAGTTATAGAGGTCTGGAGGATTGGTTCCCTTTGAAGAAACCACCATCTTAGTCTGTAGCTCCCTTTATCCTTTGGTAAAAAGAAGAAGATTCCTAACATACTTCTGGTATCACCTCTACTTTTTTTTTTTGAGATGGAGTTTTGCTCTGTCGCCCAGGATGGAGTGCATGGTGCAATCTTGGCTCATGGCAACCTCCACTTCCCAGGTTCAAGCAATTCTCCTGCCTCAGCCTTCTCAATAGCTGGGACTACAGGCACAGCTAATTTTTTGTATTTTTAGTAGAGATGGGGTTTCACCATGTTGGCCAGCTGGTCTTGAACTCCTGACCTCAAGTGATACGCCCAACTTGGCCTCCCAAAGTGCTGGGATTACAGGCATGAACCACCGCACCCAGTCTCATCTCTATTTCAAATAACAATAATGCTGAATTTCTGCATCAACTCAAAAGAGAAAAATCAATTTTTAAAAATTGTAATGGATATCTCCCTTTTATTGTGATGACCGGATCTTCAAATATTAAACATTATTTTAAAAAACATCCTTTTAATAGGAAGTTGTACTCATCACAAATAATTTTTTAAAAATTGCAGTTCAGTAACATCAGAAATTTTACCTCTAGAATATTCATATATGCATCACCGAGGAGAAGAAAAGACCGAGGGTTAGCCATTCTTTCAGCAATTTCTCTGGAAATCAGACCAACACTACTTAGTATATTGAATACAGATACCTTCTTCCAAAAATAAAATAAAATAAAAAATAAGCTCACTTATTTCAGTTAGCCAGTAGCCTTCAGAGTATCTCTATATATCCAACAGTGTAATATTATAAAAACCTCATGCATACCCACACCCAAATTGTTTATGCTAGATCAGTTATTTCTGTCACTGAATCTTTCCCTTTCCTGAAATGCAGGTAACCGAGTACAGATAGATAGTAAATATTTAAGTTCTCCTTGTCTGGACCTATACATTTTGCTATGCTTACTTCTGAAATGATGTGGGAGTGAAGGTACCAAAAAAACAATGGGAGAATAAAATTTTACTGTCCTCCTATGCATCTTGAGCTCTGATACTCATGGCATAAATTATATGCTGAAATAAGTTACCTTAAGAAAATACAAAGTCTTTTATTTCAGTATTTGTTGCTTACATTTGACCTGAAAATGTAGACTACTAAAGGTCATATTACCAAAGTTATTGAAATAACAACGTGGTGTTAAGTCTTTAACATAGAGTATTTCATCTAATTGGTCTAAAAATTCTTGAGAATTATCTCGGTTTTACAGATGATGTTAAGAGTTGCAGCTGATGTGTCAGATCTTCCTGAAACAAAATCTATGCTTTTAACTACTACATTATGCTACATCAAAAATAAGTCAACCCTATTTTGAATTATTTTCGTATCATTAGAGATGACAGTGATGACCTTTTGGAAATACCTTAGAAAATACAATCTAGGAACTCCGGTCCATCCATCTAAACATGCAGTGCTGCTCAGTTTCTTTGAATCACTCAGCACTTCAAAGAATCTGAGCAACTTTTTGAGTTTGATATAATATAGGTGAACCAATACTGAATTACTTCATCAACAGTTTACTATGACCTCAAGAGCTAATAACGTTAATGTTCTCTTACATAGAGTGTATGCTTCTATGTTTACCCTTCTGTTTGGGGAGAAGAGGAAGAGCAATCTCTCTCTCTCTCCGTGTGTGTGTGTGTATATGCGTGTGTGTGTTATGTATCCCTATAACTCATAAGGGCATCAGTGTGACATACTTTTAAGATCATGTTCTTTCACCAAGAAATATCTGTAACCCACATCTTAGCATGGTACATACTAATTTTTTTTCTACAACTACTATAATAAATATGCTTGCCTGTCCCCTGGATTACTGTTACATTACATGATGCTGTTAAGTTATTAGAATACAGGGTACACTTTCCCTTCTCAAACAGGAAGATCTAGGGTCTAAAAATAATATTTGATAAGGAGAGCTGAGAAACTACAGTAAGCCAGTTTGAAGGAATCAGAATTATGTTTTAGGGAGAGCAAACAACTTGGTTAGAGTGATTGTGGTTGGTGGCAGAAGGAATCAAGACCACATTCAGAAAACGATCTGTAAAGTATTTGCAAAGCAGTTGAAGAAAGTAAAAAAAAAAAAAAATTGGGAATCAATATTAGTGGCTAAATGTGTCAAAATATAATGGGTTGAGACAATTACTTACCTAAAACAAGTGATATATAACATTTTATCTTTTCTGTGCTTCAGATAAATATCTGCCATTTTTTCTCTGGCCTCTATAAAATAAGGCTGTTCGGCTGTAACATTTTGAAGGATGCTTAAAGCCCGTTCAATATCTCCTTGGGCTAGAGCTAGGTCTGCATTAGCAATGGTAACCCGCACTTCTTCAGATGTTCCAGAAAATTCATGGATGGCATCTTGTAAAACTTTGGCTGCCTCATGCTGTAAAGATGAAATTAAAATATCATTCTTCCAAAATAGTGAACAAATAACACTAGAAAGAGAGATTTTCTCATAACACAGAATAAATGCTAGTACATTTATAATATTTATGAAATAAATTAATAGAATTTTCTGAAACCTCAAAAATTTAAAACTAAACCCATGACCAAAATCAGATGAGGCTGTAAATACTGTTAGCTAGATAAATGTTTTCACACCTAGGACAACAGCAGCTGCTACAGAGGGTCACTGCTATATTATAATATACTATATTAATGAGCACTTACTTAGCACCCAGCATTGTATAATGAAGAGCTGTACACACTGGGTCTTCATTAAGTGGCAGATTACTTTATTCCCTCCACCAGAACAACATTGTTACTACACTTTAGGTGAATATTCTACCTTATTTCCAAATGTGTACCTTGATGAATCGAAAATGTCATTTAAGAGTCATCTCAACTTCATAGATTACAAGAATTCCAGAAATGTTAAAATGTAATTTAAGTGTACCTTAGAATCAACTATATAGGGCATAATTGGCCTTACTTGTTAAATGTACTTTAAGTTAATTAGTAAAACAGAAATTCTCTCACACCTGTAATTCCAGCACTTTGGGAGGCTGAGCTGGGTGGATCACTTGAGCCCAGGAGTTTGAGACCATCCTGCATAACGCAGGGAGACCCTCTACAAAATATTTTAAAAACTAGCTGGGCATGGCCCAGCTACTTGAGAGGCTGAGATGGGAAAATCCCTTGGGCCCAGGAGGTTGCAGTGAGCTATGATTGTATCACTGCATGCCAGCAAGGAGACAGAGTGAGACCTTATCACTAAAAAATACAATAAACAAATGGAAATTCTTTGTGATCTGGCAAATATTTAGAAATATAGCCTTCTTAATTTTCATTAAAATATGAAAAATAAGTGATTAGCAAGTGCTGCAACCTAAAACTGATACAAATGACTTTGAGTTCCTCATTTTCTACCAAGTTTAATTCTCCCAGAATTACTATCTTATCTGTATATATTATTATTTTTTTAAATATCTGACTTTATAATATTCCTATGAGTATTCATTCAAGTATTTATTTTGTTTCCTCATCTACTAGAATTTCAGGTTGGTACTTTCTTTTTAATTCAGTAGTTCTAGAGTGTGCATAAATATGTGTTTGTGTATATGTGTGTAAGTCTTTTTAGGGATTCATAGGATTATAACTGCATTATATTATTACATTCACAGTAACCAAGAGAGTTGTACATCATGTTATTATGTTCCATTGTAGTCATCATGAGCACACTGATACTTTAGGTCACCCAGGAGCAAATTATGTTCAACTTTCAGGGGCTTACAGGAAGTTTATGTTTTAGTACAAGGTAATGAAAAATAAATTTTTCTAAAGTTTACCACTTGGTCAAGGCAATACATTTAGCTTTTCATTTCTTTTCTTTTTTGAGATGGAGTCTTGTTCTGTCACCCAGGCTGGAGTGCAGTGGCATGATCTCGGCTCGCTGCAACCTCTGCCTCCTAGGTTCAAGCGATTCTCTTGCCTCACTCAGCTTCCCAAGCAGCTGGAACTACAGGCACGTACTACCACGTCCAGCTAATTTTTGTGTATTTTTAGTAGAGACAGGGTTTCACCATATTGGCCAGGCTGGTCTCAAACTCCTGACCTCAGATGATCCACCCGACTTGGCCTCCCAAAGTGCTGGGATTACAGGTGTGAGCCACCGTGCCCAGCCAGCTTTTCATTTTCTACTAATATATATGTTAGAATAGGAAAGTTCACATCTGAGCCCTTAAATTGAAACTTGACCTACCTGCTCTCCATTTAAGCGGTGAAGCTCTATCAATTCGAGAAAGATCGATAAACGATGGCTTGTATCAACTTCAGTTTTTCTGTCTTTTGATTTTGTGGAAGCTCCAATTCTTTTCATTCCTGGTAAACTCATTGCCATATGCAGTGTTTTAATTGCATCTGCTATTTCTCCCATTTTCTTTTGTGACTGAGCTTTTATCAAATGATATAAAGGATATTCTCTCACCTGAAAAATAATATTTAATAGTATTTCCTTTGAGTGCCTACAATATCAACACATAATTTACAATCCCTCAAACATTAAAATAATGAGATCACTGAGAACAGTCCATCTTTGATTGTATGCATGAAGTCTATCTCTGCCCTCTTATTAATCCTCTGATTATTTATCATATTAAATTGGATTCAGGAAAATTGCTTCTCCCTGCATCCTTTGAGATGACAAAGAGGTTGATTACATATTTCTCCTGTGACAGAAGAGAAAGTGTAAACAAGGTTTATAAGGCTAGCAAATACATTCTAAGCGATTATTTGAATTTTCAGGAAAGGAATTTCTTTATGAGGCACTTTTAGGACTGATACAAAGTTATCAGATTTCTAGAAACACTGTTTTTCCCCTTTTTTAAATTTGAAGATTAAAAGTTTCAGGACATTTTAATGAAGCATTGACCTTCCCCTTTGACACTACTCCTAAATATGCAGTTCTAAAGCTTCCATCTTTACGTTGGCTATAAACAGTATATACAGAAAACATAAGACAATGATAAAATGAGTTAGGAAAAAGAAGTAAAAGGGAAGGACAGGACTCAGAATGAGGTGACATGGCAGTCACCTAGCGATTAGGAAGTCTATAGTCCTTCTGATGCTGAAGTTCTCAACCTTAGGCAGCCTGGACATTTGCTTACAGAGCTTCGTGTGAGACTCACACTCGTGCTCCTCCCTCAGAGAATTTGACTCAGTAGAGGTGTGGCACCAGCACTGGGTCTCTGACATACCACTAGTCTTGAAAACCACTATCCTAAGAAGCAAGTGATATTTTCTACAAATCTTAATTAGGATTCTCTAATTCACTGAAGGGTTCTCCCTTAACAGGGTTCATGACCCTGTGAAGCAAAGCAAAAGCAATAAGAGCTCCTCCATGACTCGAGGTAATACAGGAAGCAACTGAACCTAGGATTTTCCCTAACGTTGAGGGGATACTGGATGTAACACATAATATCTTGGATAGAAATGTACTGTGTTTATATCCTCAAACCACAAGATTACTTTCAAAATGACAAGATGTTCTTTCACAATGAATCCAAAAAGAAGTTATTAAAAACTAAGGCCCAAGAAATAAACAATTATTATCTTTATACATAAAAATATTTGACATAAGGATCTAGAGTTTATCATCATTTTTATATACCTTCATTATTGCATTTAATTCTCATTGTAACAGCAAAGTATTAGTAAGTGAGTTTTACAGAAAAGAAAACTGAGGCTCAGAGAGAAGTGAAAGACCAGATATTAACCTCAGGACGTTTGTCACCAAGTCCACATAGTTTTTTATCCATATCTGTGTTGCCTCAATTTTTCCTCCTACTGCTTGTGAGTTCAATTTTTTTTTCCATTAAGAATGCAACTGTTAGCAAAATACTACAGGCTAAAACACAAAATACTTGAATATGTAAGCTTTCAAGGAGAGTGACATGTCTTATCCACTTCAGTCTGGAATACTTACCTTAAAATCATAGCTCAGACAAAGTTCAAGAGACTGAGAACACAATTTGACTTTTTCTTGAGACAAGTAAACCTGAGCTAGCAGCAGATGAGCATCGGCATAAGAGGGATTGTGTTCTAAGCAATGCTGAAGGTTATTAAAAGCTGCTTCAATATCACCTAATAAGAAAAACAATGCATTGTTATAATTCAAATGATTAAGAAATGGAGATCTGAGAGGCAAGAGGAAGAAGACCGTTTAGTTCACGGAGAGTCCTAGTGTTTGTAAACTTAAAGTTTGCTGTTCATAGGCCATGGTTTAATTCCATCTGCACTAGTCAGCTTCCTTCTAGTCCACATGAAAGACTACACCTGCAAGTCAGGCAAGCCCTTGATCCTAACGAGCAAGCCAGGGAAAGCAGGAAAGGATGAGAGCCAGGCACTGGCGTTACTGAGAGGCCAATAAACCGACCTTTATTTTCCTTGTCAAAAAAAAAAGGTTTTATTTATAATTTCATTAAAATAAATTATGCATAACAAAGACATTTCATTTAAATAGCTAGAATTTTGTAGTGTCACTTATGTTAACAAAGAGCATATTAGTCTAGTAATCATTCTTGGTCAAAAATTCTATTACTACTACACATAAAATAACAAAAAAGGCCTAAGGATATACTTCTGAGATTCAGAAATACGAGTTATAGATTTAAAATACCTTTAAATACCAACTGAAATAATGCCAGTTACATATCTGGGAGTCTTAAAATAGAAGGAAATAATCAAGATTAAAGTGACAGGAATCGAGGAATTGACCTTGGGCTGATAGACATGGTAAGAAGAGGCTCTTCAGAGGAAAACATTGCATTGATCCTAAGTCTTAGAAGTTTCTCATGATGTAACCCACACTGATCTGCACTTAGTCACCTCATAAATGGGCCTTAAGAAGATGTAAATAGAACAACTCCCCATTCAACCTTGCTAGGAGAATGGGGGAAGAAGACAGCCTAAATGATTTTCTGTTGAATTATGCCCCTCAACCTCACCTGATGTCAGCAAAATAAGGCTGAACTTACTGGTCATAGAAATGCACTGAGACTGAAAATGTTCTTCTCAGAGACGGAGGATTAACAGAAAACTAACTGGCTGAGAGAGCATAATAACTTACTAAACATAGCATCAAAGTTTAGCAATCAAACGTCAAGCATAATTAATGATGCTAGATTCTTTATTTATTGTGATACAATCCAACACTCAAAACTGCACAGGTAAAAAAAGGAAAAGTTAGGAATAATAAATTTGTGTGAAAATTATCTTAGGAAGGAGAAGGCTTAAGGCCATAATTTGAAGAAAGAGGTTGTACTAACAGGAGAAAGTGCATAGAGAATTAGGGTTTGCAAGTAAGAGACTGAAGAAAATGAGTACTGTATGAGTAACAGAAATGAGAATCTTTGTTTCTTTTAAGGGTGAGGAGATGGATATGTAGGGTAGGAAACTAAATATTTAAAATATTTAGAAGGATACTAAATATTTAAAAATGAGAAGTGGGTCATTACTGTTGAGGAAAATAGACCACGTCACCAGAGATCAACACCAACATCACATTCTTTCTAAGAGCAGTCCAATTTCCCTTGAGTGAAACTGAAAGACATTTCAGTCCTGTGTATCTGTCTTTGTCAGAGTTCTGTGTAATAAAGCATTTGGCTGGCATTTGTCTTGGGTTCCTGGAAGGAGTCTCTAACTCGTGGAATTTCCTTCATCTTAGGGATGTCTGTGTTACTCTTTATGGACCCTGATAGTTTATCCTAATGAGGAGACTCATGGTATGCCCCTAGATAGTTTATGCTAAAGATAAGACTTGAAATGGGGGCTGGCTGTGCCAGAAAGACCAAGCCTGTGATTAGCAGGTTGGGGCTTAGAGCCACATTATCAGTCGGTGGGGACTGGAGATTGAATTCAATCATATGGCCAATGATTTAATCCATGTCTACTTAATGAAATCCCAATAAAAGCTATGGACACCAAACCTTGGTGAGCTTCCCTGGCTGCTAATACTCTGATTGTCACACATCGACATGTCAGGAAGTGATATCTCCTGACTCCATGGGGAGAGGACAACGGAAGCTTCAGACCTCACCCTGTGCATCTTTCCCTGTTGCTGATTTGGGTTAGTATCCTGTTGCTATAATAAAACTGTAATTTTAAGCCTAGTGCTTTCTTGAGTTCTGTAATTCTAGTAAATGAATGAAACCGAGGGACCTCCAAATTTGCAGCTAGTCAAAAGCACAGGAGGCTCTAGGAATGCCCAAATCTATGGCTGGTGTCTGAAGTGAGGGCAGTTTTATGGAAGACTGTGCCCTTAACCTGTGATGTTTGGCCCAACTCCAACTAGTTGGTGTCAGAAGTCATTTCAGTTGGCAATTTAGCAAAAATACTACTATTTAGACACATGCTAGCAGTATTTCACATGATTTAAGGGTGCTCTTCCTTTTTTTAACTTTTGGTTACTAGAAATTTTATTTTTTATTTCAATAGGTTTTTGGGGAACAGGCAGTATTTGGTTACATGAATAAGTTATTTAGTGGTGATTTCTGAAATTCTGGTGCACTCATCACCCAGTCACTGTATCCAATGTATATAGTCTTTTATCCTTCCCTCACTCTCTTCCTGCCCTTTCCCCTAAGTCCCCAAAGTCCATTGCATCATTCTTATGTAAGACTGTTCTTCTTAAAAATGGGATTAATATAAGACATTTTCATGACTAGAGACTTTAACAATTAAGTATTACTAGATTGTAACTTATTCATATAAATTTTCACATTATAAAATAAACACTTAATAAATTATAGAAATCAAAGTCCCAGTCTAATTATATAGTGCGTGATACCCCTTCCAATTAGGAGAAAAGCTGAAATATCCTGTGGTTTAATGGTACAATTCAATCAGAAGGTATTAGTATCACTTCTTACAACTGAAATATTTTAGAGGTAAAACCACCCTCTGACATCATCTAAATGTTTTTAACAGCTAAAACAGAAGTCTGTAATTTCTACAATCTATAAGGAATCCAAACAAATCATCAAGAAAAAAATAATCCCATTAAAAAGTGGGCAAATGACATGAATAGACATTTCCCAGAAGAAGATACACAGATGGCCAACAAACATTTAAAAAAATGCTCAACATTGCTGATCATCAGGGAAATGTAAATTAAAACTATAGTTAGGGACCACCTTACCACAGCCAGAATAGCCATTATAACAAAGGCAAAAAAAAAAAAAAAAAAAAAAAAAAAAAAAAAGATGTTGGCATGGCATGGATGTTGTCAAAGGGAACAGTTATACATTGCTGGTGTGAATGTAAATTAGTAAAACCTCTTTGGAGAATAGTATGAAGATTTCTCAAAGAACTAAAAGTAGATTTACCATTCAATCCAGCAATCCCACTACTGGATATCTACTCAAAGGAAAAGAAGTCATCATATCAAAAAGTCACCTGCACGTGTATGTTTATTGCAGTACAATTCATAACTGCAAAGATATAGAACCAACATAAGTGCCCATCAACCAATGAGTGGATAAAGAAAATGTGGTATATATGGGTGGATAAAGAAAATGTGGTATGTATACACCATAGAATACTACTTAGCTGCAAAAAAAAAAGAAAAAAAGAAATAACATGTTTTATAGCAACCTGGATGGAACTGGAGGCCATTACTCTAAATAAAGTAACTGAGGAATGGAAAACCAAATACCGGTATGTTCTCACTTATTAGTAGCAGCTAAGCTATGGGTAAAAAGGCAAACAGAGTGACATAGTGGACTTTGGAGACTTAGAAGAGGCAGGATGGGAAGAGGGTGTGAGATAGCTTCATATTGGGTACAATGTACACTACTTGTGTGATGAGTGCACTAAAATTCCAGACTTCAGCACTATACAATTCATCCATGTAACCAAAAACTATTTGTACCCAACACAAATAAAAAATTGAAATAAAAAATTAAAAAATGAAAACAGAGGTCCAAAGAAACAGTAAAGGCAATCTCATTACTCCATTATATAACAGGAAATAACTTTATGAAAAAACCTTTTAAGCTGGTTTCTGCTCTTTCAGTTTTACAAACTTTATTTACTTTTATAGCAGGCAGTTGGCAAAGGTACATATAGACAAGCATGATATGATGGAATTTTGGTTTTTTATTTTTATTTTTTTGAGATGGAGTCTTGTTCTATCGCCCAGGCTGGAGTGCAGCCATGCCATCTCGGCTCACTGCAAGCTCCGCCTCCTGGGTTCAGGCCATTCTCCTGCCTCAGCCTCCTGAGTAGCTGGGACTATAGGTGCCCGCCACTATGCCTCGCTAATTTTTTGTAGTTTCAGTAGAGACGGGGTTTCACCACGTTAGCCAGATGGTCTCGATCTCCTGACCTCGTCCTCGTGATTTGCCCACCTCTGCCTCCCAAAGTGTTGGGATTACAGGCGTGAGCCACTGCGCCAGGCTCGGTCTTTTTTTTTGGAGACAGGGTCTCACTCCCCTCACCCACACTGGAGTGCAGTGGCGTGATCCTGGCTCACTGCAGCCTCAACCTCTCTGGGCTCAGGTGATCCTCTCACTTCAGCCTTCTGAGTAGCTGGGACTACAGGCACGTGCCACCAAGCCCAGCTAATTTTTGTATTTTTTTGTAGAGATGAGGTTTCACCATGTTGCCCAGGCTGGTCTTGAACTCCCAGGCTCAAGTAATCTGCTCACTTTGGCCTCCCAAAGTGCTGGGATTACAGGTGTGAGCCACCGTGCCCAGCCATCATGGTCTATTTCTACGTGTAAAGTCATGTATTTGTCTGTGCCTTAGAAAACTAAGGTTATAACTGAGTCATTTTTATTTTAAGCTATCCATAACTATTTACAGAAACTAAACAAGAATTACTTGGTACTTTTCATTAGGGCCTGAAATCTGGCAAATGTTGCATTTGGTTATACCAGTAAAAACACAACCATGGATTAATGACTGTAAATTCTTATTGCTAGTCTCCAGTAATTTCTGACAGACTTTTTTTAAAGTGGTACAACTGCATTTTCCCAGCAATTTGCTTAAGCCACACAAGTTTATAGTAATTTTTAAAGAATTAAATAGTAAGTTATGCAATTCTATTTTGGATTAAAATTACTTATCTATGCATATACAAAATGTACATTTTATGTGACTATTCTCTATATACACAGAGTGCTTAATTTATTCACACTTGTTTTTATCAACATCAGAATAAAAACGTTAAAAGTTTTTAAGGTATACTCTACCTGACAAATATTTCACTTTTGCTATTAGGAAGACAGTTTGCAGAAGACCTGGAACAGTTCTTACTACAGTCTCCAGGACTGAGACACAACGCCTGAGAAGTGGACAAAGAGGTTGCCCAGGACTTGCAGGCTAAACAAAACAAATCAGCAGATCATTTTATAAGTGTAAAATTATATTTAGCTAAAAATAAACATATATTAATTTTAGTATAACCAAACTATACATATTTTTCTAAAATTTATTTGATTTCATTTATTTCATAATATCTTTACTATGACTTAACTAATACTAATTTATTTCCCTGGGATCTATGAACAGACAATACAAATAATGGCTCTTATTCAGCAAAATAATTATGAAACTATTATACAATTACTAAATGGATAACATATCAAGTGAGTATATCTGTTCAAAAGTTTTATCAGATAAATATATCTGTTATTAAAGGAAAGATAACTGAGAGGTAGAGTTTCTTACTAGAATTGACACAGTCAAGGCAGTAAGTGTTCAAATTCTAGATATGCCTTGTGATTTGCTCAATTCAATTACTCTCATTACCCCCTAGAGTACTGTGAAGCCAGTTTTTAAAGAATTCAGATTTCCCCCACTGGTAAACAGAAGGTAGAACACTCACTATATTAAACTAAAAGTCTCATACTTTTACATTCCCCACTCTTCAGCCTGGCATGTTTTAGACCCTCAAAGTTTTCCTTTCAATTAATAATGAGTATGATAATTAAAGTGATACTAGAACACTGCTTTATTCTTTTCACTGTTTCTTATTCTTATAATGGCTGTCTACCCAATCAACCTTTATCCAATGGTCATCCAATCACAAGTTTAGTACTGTGATATCAGAATTTAAATATAAAATGTTCATCCCTCCTGCTTTGCCTTACTACGGCTGTTTCTTTATATGAGGCTGATCCTCTCCACCCCACGCCCCCTGACACATAAAGATCTCTAACTGGACTGTGCCTTCTTATGGAAAATCACTCCTATAATGAGCCATTATTACTAACAAGAAAGTGCTACAACTTACACACACACAATGTATCACTCAAAAAGATAATCAGAGTATGACTACTATTGCCTAGAATACTTCAATTTCTTTAAATTCTTCACATATAATCTATATAATAAAATTTAACACTCTATAATACCTATACAGTTCTACTGGTAGTTTCTTATTTAGTTTTGCTTCTTTTATAGGCCTAAGGTTTTTATGTGTCTTGAAGATAAGATTTTTATGCTTCTTTGCACAATAATAGATACACAGCAAATAGTTTAAAAATATATATTTTTTTCAGCCAAAGTAAAAATAGTGAAAGTGTAAGTGATGGTGAGGTTCTGATAATGTTCTTTGTCACCTGCTAAGAATGAGTTATTGAGAACCATCATTTTACTGCAAACAATTTCAATGTGCAATTATAGAAAAAAGTTATGCAGACAATCTTTAAGATATCATTTGTTCAACTAAAATTCTAAACAAAACTATGTCTATAAAAGGGTCAAAGAAGTAGGAACAGAGCTAAAGAGACAATTCTGCTTTTCTCATATTTCCCTATGAAAATAGAATCACATACGCTGATTACTTTCTATCATGCTGGTAAAGGAAAACAGAATTTCCTGGTAAAGGAAAATAGGATGTCTAGTTGAACTAGAGACCCAACTACCACTTAATGCATTATTTCTTGTTCTATTACAGTTTATTCTCAGCACATCTGATAGAGAAATCCATGAAAACACTGGGTTAAAGTGTTGACTTGCATCATGCTGGAAGTCTTTTGGTGACTCCCCATTGTATCCCATTGTACTCAGAATTAAAGCCAAAGGAGTTATAAGAACTGCTATGGCCCTACTTGGGCTCGTCTCCTTGGGATAACCTCATCTCTGACTACTCTACTCCTCCTCACCCTGCCTCAGCCACATTTGTCTCCTCGTGTCCCTTTGGGCTTCTGTACCAGCTGCTCCCATTGTCTGAAACACTCTACCATATTTTCACATGTTCTGTGATGGTTAATACTGTCAACTTGATTTTACTGCAGGACGCAAAGTCTTGATTTTGGGTGTGTCTGTGAGGATGTTGCCAAAGGAGATTAACATTTGAGCCAACAGGCTGAGAAAGGCAGACCCACCCTCATTTGGGTGGGCACTGTCTAATCAGCTGCCAGCATGGCCAGAATATAAAGCAGGGAGAAAAACATGAAAAGACTAGACAGGCTTAGCCTCCAAGTCTACATCTTTCTCTCATGCTGGATGCTTCCTGCCCTTGAACATCAGACTCCAGGTTCTTCAGCTTTGGGACTTGGACTGGCTTCTTTGCTCCTCAGCTTACAGACAGCCTACTGTGGGACAATGTGATCATGTGAGTTAATACTCCTTAATAAACTCCCATATGTATATAAGGACTATATATATAAACTCCCATATATATACACACACATACTATTAGTTATATACACTATTCATTTTATATATACATATCTTATTAGTTATATATATATACACACACACACACACACACTCACACACACCCTATTTTTAAGTCTTTGGTCAGATCTTACCCTCTTCATGAGGCCTATCCTGACCACTGTATCTAAAATCACCATCACCCCACCATGCTCTATTATTTTCTCCTGTCATTTTCTAAACATAATATACAATTGACTTCATTATATTATCTGTCTCCTCCCGTTGGAATACATGCCTCAGGGGAAAGGAATGTAGTTTGTTTTACATGGGTATTTCCCCAGCTCCAAGTAGAGTGCTAGGTACTCTATAAACATTCGTAGAATGAATCCTGAATACTAGATTAATACTGAAAAAAACATATTCCAACTTCCAAGCAAGTGAAATGGATTATGACTGGGGAGTCTGAGGTCAATCCCAGGTACAATTCTCTGAGGGTTTAAGTTTAAAAAATAAATAGCAATGAAAGCCTAGAAAAGGACATGATAATCGAAAAGGCTGAATGGGTTCCCTTAGGGTTCCCTAAGGGAAGGTCATTTTCCTTATTTCCCATGTTAACACAGTTACCAAAGCTGTAGATCAGGGAGAATGCTAAGAAGTTTGCTTTCAGCAATGGAATGCTTGATAGTGCCTGCCCTGATATCCCTGTGTTGAATGTGAGCTGAATACAGTAAAGTTAGGATGTCTGTATCTGCTTACTATCTGTAATAAGAGTGCTGACTAATAAATCCACATCAATTTGGAAAGAACTCTCTGGTAGTACAACATAGGGTTTTATCTTCAGGTCTACTCAAAACTGTTAATACTTGGAAGAGAACATTATAGTAACAGTTATCTCAGAGCTAGATAAAGCAGATGACAGATGACAATAAAGATCCATTTAAAATAGGTGACAATCATGATCCACAAGGAATATGATAACATGAAATGGATATGATAACATGGAATGGATATGATAACATGGAATGGATATAGCATGGAATGAATCTGAATTCATTTCATGAGATGAATCTGAAAAGATAAAATTTCACAGAATAAATGTAGAGTCCTACATTTGAGTCCAAAGGTACAACAAGAGACTGAAAGTTTTTAATTAACTGTTAATTCAATAGAGGTAATTAATGTAATGTGAATTATAAAAAGAAAGTTGGATGGACTTCCAGAATAAGGGAGGAAAAGGTCTATTCTAGTTCTTGCAGGTCAAATCCACATCTGGAATAGTGAGCTTAATGAGAGGAACAGACAAAATAAAGAATATCATCAGATTCACAAACAGAATTCTCAAAACTATTTCATATAAAAAATAAATGGCTGGAAACCTGGAGTTGTTTAGTGGAACATGAAAACTAATTGCCAATATCTGAAGGTCTGTTTAATGAATGAGGAATGATCCTTGCTCTAAGCAACTGGACTTGCTCTATGTCAATCCAAGGAGCAGAAGGAAGACCAGTAAATGGTCCTTTTTTTTTTTTTTTTTTTTTTAAACCAAAAGCAGAGTTTGACTTAACACAGGAAATACAGGCTAACAATCATAGTTATATGATAAGAACTTCATTTCTAAGTATGTCCAGATGTGGGATAGGCACTTGACAGTGATGTTACAGACTGGATGCAAATATAATGTAGGTGTCTGAATTAGATGACTTTTAATATTTCTTTAAACTGAAGATTTTAAGATTTTATGAAATACAAATGAATATCTGCAAACCAATACTTTCAGTAGTTGACAGCAGTCATTACTAAAAACAGTCTGATTAAAAGCGATTTCAACTAACATAGATACAAATACTACCATTTTAAGATGCCGATATAGTCTAATGCATCAAAGAAAACTTTTAAGTTCTTTCATAAAACATCATGTAAATGCATCCTTGAAAGTAAGTCCCATAATTACTTACCTGCATTGGACAGAAGCTCAGATATTCTGTAACAATTTCTAACAAGAAATCAGGATTTAGCTTTTCAAAATACTGTATGCCAAGAGGCAAACCTTCAATTTGTGAAAAATGAGTGTCCAGGACATCATTTAACAAATTAATAACTTCTTCTTGTCGTTTATTTTTCTTCATGGCAAGAACTGCATGTAAATAGATTAATTCCTAGAAAATAAGTAGTTTTCATAAATTATTCCATTTAGCTATAAAGCCATTTATTTCTACTCAGATTTCAAATGCATATAATGTGCTACTGATACGCAATTATTTGTTCAAACTCAAGTATTAGCTTGAATAGACTTTTAGAATCATTCAGAAGAATAAAGTTTCATTTTGCATGGAGGTAAATTAATAAATGCAATTACATATTAAAATTAGTGTACACTAGTGCTTTCCAGCCATTACAAAACAATAAGACTGATTTATAATTTCATATTTTATAAACAGCTAGCATCGACCACCTGATAAAATAAAATACTGTACCGCAGATTTTCCAATGGACTGCTGAATTTCATTTAAAAATTCTAGCTGCTGATCTGCATCCTGTAATTGCCCTTCTATCAGCTGACATTGGATAAATCCTAAAATCAAACAGGAGAAAGACAGTCAAAGTTCACACCAATTCAGGCATGCACTCTTCAAGCTAACATGACAACATTAATAAAACACGTTTTCCCCCATCACGATACTTTAACATTTTAGATTAAAAACAACAGAAAGAAAGAAAATGAAAACAGTGAAAAAAAAAATAAAATGGGTAGCCTTGGACCTTATAAAATCATTTACTGAAGAATTCATAATTTATAGGAACCACCTTATATAAATCTGTTCTCTCAAGATATTATTTGTGAATTAAAAATTTTATTTTTAAAGACATGACCTTTTCGAATCTGGGCAGTAGAGAACAATTTAAGTTTAGAAAACCACAAAATACTTGTGTTCTTCTCTAATGGCAAGTTAAAAGCAATTGCTACTTGTATCTGTATTATAAATATTTATGAAAACAGTTGTCATACCAACTAGGGCAGACACACTAGTCTCATCAAGTGTCATGGCGGTCTTATACCACTTCAGTGCCTCTTTAACTCTTCCTTGTAAAATCATTTGGTATCCAAGTTCTGTAGCAAATTCTGATTGCTGAGGGTTTAAACTAAAAGCTCTCTCAAGTAACGTTTGAATTTTTTGAAGAATGAGTTGACTACGTCCACACTAAAAAGAAAAAAAGATTATGTAAGAGTTCAAAGTCAAACATTTCTACCAAGACTGAAGGATTATTTTTTCTAAATATATATATTATTTGTACTTCACAGCAGTGATGAAAAAGAAAAAAAATAATAATTAAGGAAAAATAAAACTTTCCTATTATCTACACAATGCATCAAGAGTTTATATTCTATCAGAACTTATATATCCTAATGAACATAATGCTTTTACAAAATAACTAGTATGAAAAGTACACTTCTAATGATGTCACTACACAAACATATTTTTTTGAACTCCTTTTCCAAGCTGTCTCATGACTGTTTTATAAACAAAAAAACCATTATTTTATGGTTACATGTGTATGTGTGTGTGTGTGTGTATAATATACGTATGTTTTTTCTTATTGAATAAAAAACTAGGACTAGGATCTGTTTTCCCCCTAAACACTAGCTATGCCACCAGTGAGAATATTTTAAAAGATCATGTCTTAGAATCTTCTTGAAAAAAATTTCAAGAAATAGCAGTGTTGTTAGAATAAGTACATAACTTTTCAAGACAACAATCTTTAATAGTAAAATACTTATTCAAATGTTTGAACCAACTTATATAATTTTTATAAGCTTAGTAAAAAAGTAATTGAAATAATGTGCCTAGGACTATGGTAAGCGAAAAAGGTAAATACCTCCTTAATTCAAACTTTCGTTATAGCACGGAGTTTTCTTCCTCTAAAGTTTACACAATCTGATATCTTTGTTTTTAAATAAGAAAATTCAGTATAGTCATGTCATTTAACAATTAATATCCTTTATTTTTTTCTTTCAACTTTATGCTTGCTAATTATTTTAACCTTCTTAGTTTAATGAACTTTTCAATATTGTCATTCCTTGTATTGATTTCGAGATTCTACTGTATATTTCTATTTCATTCTTGATTACCTTCTTTTTACTGGGAGCTTATAATAAAAACATTTCTTTCCTATTGTTTTTAAAAAAATAAGCTACCAACCATTTCCTCCACCAAAATGGTCTTTTATACACTTTAAAACTTTTTAAAAATAGTTTTAAAAAACAAAAGCTAAGAGCAATCCTGGTTATAAATCTATGCTCTGATGAAAATAAACCACCTTCTATTTCCTTTGCCTGGAAGGCACTTGGCTATGCTTAAAAGATCAATAAGTGGCATTTCCTCCACGAAGCCTCCATCAGGGCTTCTTATAGCTGGAAACCACATCTCCTCTAAACTGCCTTTCTTAGGAGTATGTCATATATTTAAACACATATTTGCACTCTAGGCCATATGCTCTTCCCTGCTTCCACCTTTTCCACTTATTTTATGCCCTCTACTATAGATAACAGAGCTCTGGTACATGGTAGGCACTCTCACAGTTCTGCTGAAGGCGAGTGTAATGTTATAGAAAAGTTGAGCATTCTGTGGTTCCATGGCATCCAATGCATTTCCCAAGTTTTCCAGCTTGGTGGAAGCCTAAAACAAAAGCAACTGGTATTAACTTTAAAATACACTAAGTAAAAACAACATAATATATGCACATATATGCTAACAAAGCATAACCCGACTAGTATTTTAAAAGACCTTTGCTTTTATATATTCCTCCTCCTCCAATGGATGATTATATGTTATAAAACATATTTAAGGTTCAAACAAACTCAGTAATTATAAATGTGTTTTAGAATGTGTTTCTTTAATACTTGTTATTGAATGGAAACCTTTGGATAGGCAAAGACACCCATAATATTTCATTAACTGTACATGCCCAGCTCCCCCTCCAACAGTTAATTCATGACAGAAATGAAATACAAATGATAATGTATTTACAAATTATATGAGATCAGCCCTTCAACTGCCTCTATAGACTGGTTTATAATCAAAATATTTTCTAGAATAGAAAAAATTATTACAGTACTTAGTACAAGTAATTTCAATGCCTAGAAAATTTACCCCTACTAAGATACTCCTAGTATTTACTGAAGTATCTATCAGGCACTGTCACATTAATCAATTTAACCACACTAAACACAATGCAAATCTACTACATGTTATACTAATACTATTTCCTTCAGATTAGAGTTTGGCACTCCATGATCCAATCTATAGTCAATGTGTTCACTACTACAGAAACAGATATACTTTATTATAAGGTACAATGGGATTTTATCCTAAGCCCATTTAATTTTTGCAGATTCCGTTAAATTGTAAATATACTATAAATTACATTTTGCATACATATTTTTTCATATCTAGTATCACTGGTTACATTAATCATACACAGGAGTTTCATACAGAAAGCCATATACACTATAATTAATGATTTAAGGGATTTTCAAGGGTAATGTTAATCATATAATATTTTTGCTTTACTAATAGATTTCAGAAGCTGACTTCTTTGTTAAGGTATAGTCTCATAATCAACTAAAAACTACCATGACATATAGTCTAAAAGAGAACTTCAAGGCTTTAATGTATATGCACATGCACACACGTATGTGTGTGTATGTGGGTGTGTATGTGTAATTAAATATATTTTTTAATATAGCAAACTTAAATAATACAATGCCACTTACCTTCTCTATATCCCCCTCCCTACACACATAGTAGAGTGCCTGCATTCTCAGTGCTTCCACATTTTGGCTATCTTGGAGCAGCAACCTGCAGGAAAACAATTTAGTTAATGTCAAAATCAATTTATATATTTTCTTTTATTTGAGGGCATGAAAAGTTGGTTTGCTTGCCTCACTATTCCACTGATCAAAATAAGTAATTTTCATTAGCAAAATGATATCTACTTTGTGAAACTTACCAACTTTATTATTTAAACAAATAAAAGTTTCTGGAATTTAATTTTTAATATGTTTTTAAGAGATATGAATAGATTATACTAGTCTCATTAAATCTTGTGGCAATCCTAAATAAAGTATTAGCTAACTATATACAACAGCATAGTAAAAGAATAATTCACTTTAACCAGGCTGATTTATTACAGGAATTCCAGGAATGCAAAGCTGGGTCAAACATTACAATACCTACTAATGTTATTCACAACAACAGATTCCTATGTGATAAAAACAAATGAGAAAATATTACATTAAAAAACCCTATTAATAAATGGAACAAAAAGCAAAAAGAAAAAAATAACAAGCATAAACTTAAGAAACATGGAAAAGCTATAAAATTCCTATGAAACTGTACTCAGGGACATTTTTCAAAAGAACTGAACCAAAAAGGTAACACCCTAGACTTCTCTTATCATAGATGATGTGGTACACATCACAATTACTGGTTCCAGTTTTTTAACCCTCCCTGAGTACGTGTCTTCTGCCATGTAACTAACTACAAAAGTTGGAGTGTACCCTACTGCTTCTTGACTAGGGACTTGGACATTTTTCTTATATTGGCCAATGGAATGTGGGCAGGAATAGCAGTGTACCAGGCTAAATTTTAGAGGCACTGCATATTTCTGTTTGTTCTCTTGCACCTGCTATCAGTATAGGAAGAATTCCCTCTGAGTAGTGGCTGCCACTTGTTGTGAGTCCAGGGAAAAACACTCTTGGAGGTGACAAGAGTCCAAACTGCAATGATGTGCCACATGCACCCAGCTGGATCTGAACTGAAGCAGGGCCCCAGCCAAGCCCTGCCTGAGATCAGCAGACCCTTGATGACCCACAAAAATGTGAGGAAAGAATACTTCTTATTATATGTTCTGACATTTGTGGTTGTTTGCTATATACCAATAGCAGCCTGATATAATAACGCTCATTTTTGGTTAAGAAAAATTTTTTTCCCACAAATGACTACAAATTTAATGCAATTCAAACCAAAATCTTCTATGGTTTCTTTTTTATTATTTTGTAAATTGATTATAACAGTCAAGAGCAAAAAAAAGAGACAACAAAACTGTTATAAGAGAAACATGGTGAAACCCTGTCTCTACTAAAAATACAAAAAAATTAGCAGGACGTGGCGATGGGTGGCTGTAATCCCAGATACTCGGGAGGCTGAGGCATGAGAATCGCTTGAACCCAGGAGGCCGAGCTTGCAGTGAGCCAAGATTGCGCCATTGAACTCCAGTCTGGGCAACAGAGCAAGATTCTATCTCAAAAAAAAAAAAAAACCATGATGGAGAACTTGCGATAAAAATTATCAGAGTCCATCAAAAAGGAGAGAATAGGCTCACTTAAAAAAAAAAAAAAAAAAGCATATTTAGAACCAGTTATATACCAAAGAAAAGACCTTTTAGCATATGAAAAGTTGCTCAATCTCAACACAATAAAATAAATGAAAATAAAAATAAGACACCTCTGTTTCAGATGGCTTGGAAAACAAAACAAAAAAACACACACACTGAAAATGGCCAGAATTGGTGAGGATAAGGTAAGGGAACATTCAATAGACTACTGGTAGGAGTGTAAATTAGTACGATTTCCTAGAAGAGCAATGTGGCAGTGCCTATCAAAATTTTAAATTTATATACTTGAGGCAGAGACTACAATTTGTCTCCTCAAATCCATTCTCTCCTGGCATGTGGCCAGTCAACACTTCCTAGACATCTTTGCATTTAGAGGTGGTCAACGTGAAATAAAATAATACATTCCATTTTGGGGCCTGGGCTTTTATAAAAAGTGGAATGACTTCTCTACATTATCTTTCCCTTTCTGCCAGCTGTTATGAGGTCTTGGGAGATGGCAGGATTGCAAGATGGAAGGAGTCTAGGTCTGTTAAAAACAGTGTGGAGCAAAGCTGCCTGATCACTTCTAACATTTACCCAAAACAGTTACATATGAGAAAACATTCTTCTATTATACTGAATCATTATATGTTTAGATCTATTTTTGTAGCAGCTTAGCCCACCCTAACAAATACAGTATCTTGGATTCAACAATCTCTCCTTTGGGAAACTTCTCTGCATATATAGTCCTACCTGGGTTCAAAGAGGTATGTGTGTATGCGTGTGTGCACACCGCACTATACTGAACAGTGAAAAATTGGAAACAGCTTAGGTGCATACCAGTGGGGAGAGATTAAATAAATTATTTGTGTTTCCAATTCACAGATTGCTACGCAGTTTTAAAATGATTAGGGAAAGGAAGAAATAAATAGATGTTCACAGATGACATGAACATCTATGTAGAAAATCTAAAAGAATCAATTTAAAAAACTCTTGGAATCAACAAGTGATTATAGCAAGATTGTAGGCTATGAGGTTAATATATAACATCAACTGCTTTCCTATGTGCTAGCAATGAACAAGTGGTATATGAAATTAAAAACACAGTAACATTTACATTAGCACTTCTTAAAGTAAAATACTTAGGTACATACAAATCTAACAAAATATGTGCAAGATGTCTATGAGGAAAATTTTTAAATTCTGACAAAAGAAATCAAAGAAAAACCAAATAAAGGGAGAGAGATTTCATGTCATGGATGCACAGACAATATAAGATGTTAGTTCTTCCCAATTTGATCTATAAACTCATTCAATGCAATCCCAATCAAAATCCCAGCAAGTTATTTTGTGGATATTGACAAACTGATCCTAAAGTTTATACAGAGTGGCAAAAAAAACCCAGAACAGCAACATACTATTGAAGGAAAAGAGCAAATTTAGAAGTCTGACATTAGTTGACCTCAAAACTTACTATAAAGCTTCAGTAATCAAGACAGTAGTGTGGTATTGTTGAAAGAACAAACAGGTCAATGGAACAGGGTAGAAATCACAGAAATAGACCCATATAGATAGTAAACTGATCTTTGACAAAAGAGCAAGGACAATGCAATGGAGAAAAGACGCTCTTTTCAATAAATGGCACTGGAAAAACTGGACATCCACATAGAAAAAATGAATATAGATACAGACCTCACCTTCTTCACAAAAATCCATCTGAAATAGATCACAGAGCTAAATGTAAAACATAAAACTATAAAATCTCTAGAAGATAATACAGGAGAAAATCTGATGGCCTATGGTTTGATGATGACATTTTAGATACAACACAAAAGGCATAGTTCATGAAAGAAAGAGGTGATAAGCTGCACTTCATTAAAATTAAAAATTTCTGCTCTGTGAAAGACAAGCCACAGACTGGAAGAAAATATTTATCAGATAAAGATATACCTGATAAAGAATGGTTTTCCAAAATATACAGAGAATTCTTTAATCCAAAGAATAAGAAAACAAACAACCAATTAAAAGATGGGCCAAAGACCTTAACAGACACCTAACCAAACAAGATACACAGACTGCAAATAAGCATATTTAAAAATGCTCCACGTCGTATCACCAGGGAAATGCAAATTAAAATTAAAATAACAATGAGATACCTCTAGAAACCCATTAGAATGGCCAAAATCCAGAACACTGGCAACATCAAATGCTGATGAAGATGTTTTAAAGCAAGAGAAACTCTCATTCATTGCTGGTGGGAATATAATATGGTATAACATCTTTGGAAGATAGTTTGGCAGTTTCTTACAAAACTAAATATGCTCCTACCATATGATTCAGCAATTATGTTCCTTGGTATTTGATTCAAAGGAGTTGAAAACTGATGTCCATACAAAAACCTGCACAAGGTTATAGTAGCTTTATTCATAAATGCCACAATTTGGAAGCAATCAGGATGTCCTTCAATGGATAAACTGTGGTACATCCAAACAATGAAATATTATTCAGTACTAAAAAGAAATGAGTTATCAAGTCATGAAAAGACATGGAAGAAAGTTAAATGCATAATACTAAATGAAAGAAGTCAATCTGAAAAGGCTACATATTGCATTATTCTATATTATAGACACTCTGGAAGAGGCAAAACTATAAAGGCAGTAAAAAGAGCAGTGATTGCAAGGAGTTGGGGAGATGGAGGGATATACAGTGGATACACAATAAAGATAATTTTTAGGGAAGTAGAAATATTCTGTATCATACTATAATGGTGGATACATGTGATTACACATTTGTCCAAACCACTAGAATGTACAACACCAAAAGTGAACTGTAATATAAATGATGGGACTTTAGGTGACTATGGTGTAAGTTCATCCACTGTAACAAATGTACCACTCTGGTGGGAGATGTTGATAATTAGGCAGACTATCTATGTGTGGAGGCAGGAACGTATGGGAAATCTCTGTACCTTCTGTTTAATTTTGCTGTGAGTATAAAAGTACCCTAAAAATACTGTTTATTAAAAAACAATTTGGTGTATCTATGTGAATAGGTATAAAGTGATATCTATGGAACACTTTCTTAAAGAGAAAAACAATTTTAAAAGTACTTTATGAGTCTATTTCTTATTTTTAAAACACCCTCAAAATATAAACATATTTTAAAAATATATAGAAACCACACACACACACACACACACACACAGCACCTAGAAAAAAAAATCTTGACAGATACATACATCAAAAAATTACTAGTGCCCAAACTGTGGCCTTCAAATATCATTTCACACTAAAAGAGATTAGATTGCCCTGGACAAATGACTGATACCTACTTGGGGAAGTAATATACAAAATGAGCCTGGACAGCTTGTCATACCAAATAGCAAAGTAACTATCAAAGACTACTAGGATCACGTCAAAAGGACTTAAGAATAACTTGAAGAAGCTCCTAATAGTCAGAGATAAGACTGCATAATTATAATGACTGAAATGTCCAGAAGCACTCATCTAAATCCATGGCATGTAAAACAAACAAACCTAAGCCACTAATCAATTACCAATGAAGGATGCTAAGGAATTCTTGGCATTTTTTTTTTAAACCTGGAAATAAAGGAAAAGACTCAAGCACCTTATCCTATTTTTCTTATATGAACTACACCACTCAGTAACTAACCAGGAGATGAGAAGTTTTTCTTTATAGGTATTCTAGCTAAGAAACAAAGAAAGACAGAATTCAAATGTAATCCTACTATAATCCCTAAGAATCAAGCACTTAGGTATTGAGCATGAATAACTGCTGATACCACAAAAAGAGAGAGACAAGCAGACATTCTGTCACTGTGATGAAACACAACAGTATCACTCATGAAGTAATTGCCAAAACAACAAAACTGAAAGTGAATTTAACCAAACCTCTAGATCCAACTACCAACTACAAAGGATAAAGCAACAAGTTGTACTACACCATGGCAGACAAACAACAAAATCCAGATCATGGAAAATGCTACAGGACAAAACACTGGTTTCTTTACCTTAAAAAGAAGGCAAGAAGAAAAAGAGAAGGGAAATAGGGAAATAGGAAGGCAGGAAGAAGGAGGGAGGGAGAGGGAAGAGGGGAAGGAGAGAGATAGGAAGGGAGAGAGAAAGAAAGAGTGAGAAAGAACTTACAGAGACTGGGAGAGAGCCTAGAGACTTTAAAGACATAAACCAATCACAATATGTAGACTTATTTGGATCCTGATTAAAAAGTAATTTATTTAAAAAACACAATATTTGAGACTATTGGTAATTTGAACACTGGATATTTGATATTAAAAAACTATTTTTAATTTTTTATATGTGATAATAACATTGTCATGTTGTAGAGGGAAAATAATTATCCTATTTTTTCAATGCATCTTGTGATATTTACAAATGAAATGATGCAGAGTTTTGAATTTGCTTCAAACTGAAAATTAAACCCAGGAAGCAAACGGGGGTTTAGTCATGTGGTGATGGTAGCTGGGGGCAGGAAACAGATAAGAGTACCTCATGATGCTATTCTGTCTGCTTTTACATAAATCTGAAATTCTTCATAATAAATGATAGATGATCTTAGCAAAGATGTTATTAAGATGTTCGGTCCTGAGATAGCCATTAATATTCTGTCAGATATGGATGAAAGTTAGACATGCTTGCAAGTCACTTATTCTGAAGATTCTAAGACTATAAACCTTGATCTACACTGAGGTAAAGGTGACTTTCTATGCAATTTATACTTCATTTGTATCTTGAAAGGATCTTGCCTATTGTTTGCATGAGAAGTTCTATTAAGACATTCTGATTTTAAAGGTATATTTGTATTACCTATGAAATTTACTTTTCTGTGATTTCAGTATTAAGTGACATGAATTCATCCATTAGAAAGTATTGATTTGTGCCTCAAATACATTTATATTCTTGATCTCATGCCTTTAAATCACATCTATGTGTCAGTGACTTCAAAATATTAGCTATAGCCTAGGCCTCTCTTGAGAACTCCAGATTCAGACATACAGCTGCCTGCCCATACATCCATCTCTACTTTGACTTCTCATAGGCATTTCAAAATTACAATGTTGAAGGCTAAACTCCTTCCCTGCCCTGAAACCTTCTTTTTCCATAATCATCCTGTGCAGCTGAAGCAAACTCCATCCTCTAGTACAAGTAGTGGGTAAGAGCACAGAGTCTGGGACTAGAGTGCTCTGGATTTGAATCCTGACTCCACCACTAAGTAACTGTGTGCCTTTGGAGAAACTTCTCAACCTCTTTGTACCTTAGTCTATTCAGTTGTAAAACAGAAATACTAATAGTACCTTCCTCTTAGGGTTACCCTGGGAATAAATAGATAGCACTTCCTATGAGCCAGGCACTCTGAACACTTTACAACAGTTCATTATCGTCGTTATTGTTATTCTGGTAGTTCAGGCCACAAACCTTGGAATCACCTTAAACTATTCTTTCTCTTACTCCTAAACAAAATTGCTACAGGCCCAGATTCCAATCACTTCTCAAAGCACTTGCACCACAACTATACTGCGCCAGCCCCCACCATTTCTCAATGATGGCAACAGCTTTCAAAAGGTTCTCCCTGCTTCTGCCTTTGCCTGCTCGCCCAGTCTGTTTTGCACATGGCAGAGTGATTCTTTTAAAACAGAATTTAGATGATGGCACTCCTCTACTCAAAACCCTCCAATAACCTCATGCTTCAGAAGAAAACCCCAAATCCTTATATGGCTGACAAGACCCTTCATCATCTAGCACGGGCTCACTCCCACCCTTTGTCTCAGACCTCACACCCTACTCACCTCTCTTACTCCTTCCCACTCCTCAAACATATGACATGTGCTCCCACCTCAGGGACTCCGCATTTGCTTTTCCTTCTTTCTGCAAAGTCTTCCCTCAAATATCTGCATGGCTTACTCCCTTACCTTTTTTAGAAGATGGCTCAAAAGTCTCAGCCGTCCATGACCATCCCATAAGACCAAACTCCTCAACACTCCCCATCTCTTTCTTGGTTTATCCTTCCCCCGTAGCACTTATACTTTCTAACACATACTACAGAATATACTTATTTGGTACGCTTAGTATATGGTTCCTCTCGCTTGAATATAAGCTTCCTGACCACAGGGATATTGGTCTGTTTGCCTAAAGAGAGTGTCTGTCTTAAAACAGGAATCATATATTTATGTAAATCAATAAATTCAATGTTTAAAAGCAGTGTGACTTTAAGTATTTCCTCGGTTCCACACTGTTTGAAAACAATCAAATTTAAAAACTCTTATGAAAAAAATTCACATAGATTTCGCTTTTTCTCAAAATTATAACCAAATCCAAAGAGACTTGTGTCAATTTTTATTACTTAACCGTTGTGCTGTCTCAACCATTTGGTCCCAATCCTGCAAGGCTAGTTGTAATTTCATTTTCTTAACAAAAGCAGGAAGGAAGCTTGGAAAGTTCACGATTATCTGGTTCACAGTCTCCAGGGCACCTGAATAATTCTGGCGCATCTCAAGGCATTGTGCCTAATGGAAGAGAAAAAAAGGTGCAGAGCAGGCAGAGTATGAACATTTAATACTTACTGACTTTTCTGTGAGGAGCAGTTACCACTTTTAACGAGAGAAACTGTTAAGTTTTTGTCAAAACAAAATTTTAAAACATCACAGAATAATACAAACACATTATATAAGCTATTGTGTTTTAAAATTTACTTTTAAATGGCTGAAAAACATGATTAAAGGATAAAATTTTTTAAAATGTTCTCGGAAATACCATAAAAATAATGTTTCCATTTAGAACAGGAAAATTGTCTTTTTAGATTAAAATGTTTCCAGGAAATGTTCAAGTAGTATCTAAAATTTTAAGAAATTTTAGAAATTTTGCATCTTTTTTAAGAAATTATTTTCAGGTTAAAGAATATACGATTTTAAAGAACAAGCAAAATAAAGTTCAAACAAATCCCTCTACTTCAACATTTTCACTTCTATGAATTATCTGAAGAAAATAATTGGAAAAGACCACAATGAAGTATATAGATGATATTTATGGCAGAATTGTTTATATATAAAATAATCCCAAATGTACCTAGAGGAGAAAATTATAGTATATCTATTTAATAAAATGTTAAGTAATCATTAAAAATGATGACCTAAATTTGTAGATGTATATTTACTGATGTGAAGAGATATCATATATAATGCTTTGGTTATTTCCAATGGTGATGTTCATTTTGTCATTCAGATGTTACTGTATTTTCTAAAAAACGTTTTATTATGTTCATTTATTACTTTCATAGTCAGAAAAAATAAAGCTATAAATATAGTTAGTACATTAAAAAGAGATGATGAGGCAAATTTTTATCAAATAGCTTTTCTTTAAGAGAAGAAAAATGATCAAGACAAGTGTATGGCCAATTTCTACAGCAGGGCCATTAGGTAAAACTTGAGGGTAACGGGCCTGAAAAAGATGTCCCACGGCCTTACTGTCCACACAAAGTGACAGGAAAAGTGATGTGGAGACATTAACAAAAGTCAACACATGAATCCTCTCCCCTTTCTTTTTTATCCCTCCAAATCACTGCTTATCTAATAGACTGTTGTTTCCAACAAATAATTTCTTTTGGCTGAGTCAAAAAAAAAAATTAAGGCATTTAGAAAGCATCAATGGGGACTGAAGAAAGTGTCCTAATTAAATATTTCTACCCCTCAATGAGTTCTAATGACTCATCCCTCAAAATGTATGTCCAATCATGTTATTTCTCTGTTCAAAACTTTGTATTGGCTGCCTGTCTCTCTAATTGAAGGTAGAAGCCAAAGGCCTCACAGAACAGGCCCACCACTCCTCCTCATCCCCATCCCACCTTTCTTCCTCAGGCCTTGACTTCTGTTCTCTTTACTCAATCCACTTTGGCCTCCTTGCTAACCCTGAATACGCCTTAAGGTACCTGAACTCATCATCTCCTCTATTTGAAATACTTTCCCCAAGATGCTTGGAGGGCTTTAACCGTCACCTCCTTAAATGCCTTTGCTCAAATGTCACTTTCTCTGACCACTTCATGTAAAATTGGAAGTTCATGCCCCAGCTTTTCCAGCTGTATTTTCCATTGTACTTATCACCTTCTAATATATTATATAACTTACTTACTTATTTTGTTTATTGTCTGCCTCCATCAGTAGAATATAAGCTCCATAAAAACAGGAGGTTTTCTCTTGCTTAGGGTTTCTAGTATATAGAGGGACGCCTCATATACATAAGACACATAATAAATGCTGAGGAAAGAATGTCTGAACCAAAATAACAACAACAATAACAGTTACAGCTGATCCAGGATTCAGGAACTTTGGCAGGGAATACATTTCTCTAGTGTATTGCTCATCGTCTTATACAAATGCCAGTCCACCTTACAGCTGTGAGCTGACAACAGCATCATGAAAATTATCAACTTTTTTGAGCTACTTGGTTTTGTCAGGTTTCAAATATATTATGAACACATTTTGAAACATGATTTATTTACCCTAACTCCAACTCACCTTACCCAGCAGAGCAAAAGTATCATTCCCATCTTGGAGTCCCTCTTCAAAATACTTCAGTGCTTTTTTAGTGTAAGGGTCTTTTCCTCTTGTAATATCAAGCCATGCTTTCAAAACGTGTCCCTGTAAAATGAATAATTCTATTTTTACTTCTTTGGAAATGAAAAGAAATAAATGTTAATGAAAGAGCCTACTGTCATTTTTCTGGCAATTAATAACAAAAAGGACTCTAACAAATATGTTATGAACAATAAAATTCTGTTAGTGAAATCACTTTTGAACCCTTGCCAGCCTAGTGTCATGGGAACTATATTACAAATTTCAGCCTTTAACATTACTATTGAGCTCAATATTAAAATTAAGAAGCTTATCAAATATTCCATTAGTGTTAAAACCATTATTTTCTCTGAGACTTTGCTAGTAATTGATGAATAATAACACTTAAACATGTAATTCAATATATAGATGAGAATTTGTAGTCTCTTTTTGAGCAAACAGTCTAAATGAACTAAGATGAAATAACAGAAGATGTCTTGCTTCACATATCCTAAACATTCAGATGATCTGGCAACTATCTTCTTAACTTCTTTGATTAGTCCATTGAATTTCAAATGACAGGTGAACGGCCTGAAACATTAGAAACTGAAGAACTCATGGATATTTATCTTTACACAAGTCAGTGGGCCAATGGGTTGTAAGACATACAGGATTGAAAAGAAGACAAAAACTGGTTATTTTTCTGTTTAAGGTCAAATAAAAAACTGTGAAATATGCTCTTCTATTTAAAAAATCTAGGTTAACTGACAAATTTATAAACGTTTAACCAAGACTATATTCACCTCCCTGTATTTCACCTGAAAATACAGATCAGAACCTTAACCAATGCTATGCACTAAATCAGTGCCATTATTTGAATGGTTTTAACTATTGTCTCTGTGTAGATGATTCCCAACCTACATTTCTAGCCCAAAACCTCTTCTAAATTTTTATTTTTCCAGAAATTCATCTGCTATCTCCATCTTACTGTTCTACCAGAACCAGAAATACAGCATGTCTTAAGTCAGATCACTTCCCTTTAAGATTAGTTTCTTACGCCAATGTATTTTCTATTTATGCTAACTGGTCTCTAATTTATTTAGGCTGAAAGCCTCAAAGACATCCTAATACGTGACAACTTGTTATCTTTCCCAACTATTTATCATCAGTTCACAGGTCCTGTGGGTATTTAAAAATTCTGAACTTTGTACTCACTGTACAATATTTTAGTGTCATGCCTCAAAACCTTCTGCAAGAAAGTACTATCTTTTTCATTTTTGCTGCATTTCAGTTTATCCTCAAGCCACTTCGTCCAAGAAACCATTGCTAAATTAATCTTCCGGATTTGCACTCTAATAAAATCACTACCATAATTAAAAGTCTTCAGTAGCCTCTCAATGCATGTCAAATCAGACACAAATATTTCTAACTAGCAGTCAAGATCCTTCAATTTGTCTCAGTCTACTTCTCCAAGCTTTTCTTCCCTTCTCACTACCAACGTATCCTATGTTCCACCAAATATGAGTATCTCAGTGTACACTGAAGTAACATGCCTCATTTCCATCTATTATTTCTCACCTTGGGAGTATCTACTTCCCTTTTCCATAATCTTTGCCTGTTGAAATTGCATCCTTCTTTCAGGTTTTAGTTCAAATGCTAGTTCCTTCAAAAAAATTCTTTTACATTCTCTTAACACTTATGCACGTGATCTCTCCTTAATTTAAAACAGTGCCTAGCACAAAGTAAGCAAGCAATAAATGTTAGCTATTATTTTCTTGCATACTTTAATCACATGTCTCTCATATCATCTATCATTTTTCTCACAATATTAGCTGGGGATGTGCTCTATGCCACTACTGAGTTATTCATTCATGAAAGTGAAGTTTATGTATTATTTTCCTTTACATTATTAACACTACAAATAATGGTGCCTTGTATCTACAGCTGTTCAATAAGGAGAGAGGGAGAAAAGGAAAGAACAAAATATGGAGGGAAGGAAAAAAAAAGGGAGAGAAAAAGAAAGAGAAAAACAGAGGGAAGGAACCAGGCAGGGATAGTTGAAGAGTTAGTAGCATAAAACTAACCTTAGAGAATCCCTATTCTACAATACACTATTAACCATATTGATAACCATAAATGGGTTAAAATAAAGCTGTCATTTACAAAGTGGCAATAGAGTGGACAATAATAAAGAACTAAACCACAGATACTACTGGATAGATCAATAACGTAAGCATTTTTAATGTTATGATTTTAAAATCAGAAAAATAGCTACCTGCTTACTACCATCTGACATTTTGATCATTCTGTCAATATATTCTCTTGCTTTATCATGGCGACCAATGTGCCATAAAAATAAGCCTGCATGGTATAAGGCTTTCTCTCCAGCTCCTTTACGTTGTTCCTTCATTCTGGCATCTGATTCCAGAATAGCTTCTCTATCTGGGAGGGGAAAATGATATCAAATAAAAATTAAATTCTGGATCAGGTATTTATAAAAGGTCACATAATTAACAAGGCAAAAAATTTACTTCTCTCTATAGTGGTACTGTCTAATAGAAATAAAGTGCAAGCCATATATATAACTTAAAATTTTCTAGTAGCCCTATCAAAGAAATAGAAAGCAACAATTAAAATTAATCTTAATGTTTTATTTAACCCAATATATCTAAGATATAATTTCAATGCATCATCGATAGAAAAATTAATGAGATATTTTGCATGCTTTTTTCTTACTGTGAAATGTGGTATTTCATACTAACAGCACATCACAATTAAGATGCTAAATTTTGGCTGGGTGTGGTGGCTCATGCCTGTAATCCCAGCACTTTGGGAGGCTGAGGCGGGTGGATCACGAGGTCAGGAGATCGAGACCATCCTGGCTAACACGGTGAAACCCTGTCTCTACTAAAAATGCAAAAAAAAAAAAAAAATTAGCCAGGTACGGTAGCATGCACCTGTAGTCCCAGTTGCTGGGGAGGCTGAGGCAGGAGAATGGCATGAACCCGGGAGGCAGAGCTTGCAGTGAGCCGAGACCGTGCCACTGCCCTCCAGCCTGGGTGACAGAGCAAGACTCTGACTCAAAAAAAAAAAAGCTACATTTTATTTAAAAATACTTGATTTGTAGTTTTCATAAAACTTATGGCTGAAAAGCAGATTTTTAGACTCAAGTTATTGAGAAATAAGTTTTCTAATAACTGAATCAAGTATCATTTTTAAATTTAAAAAGTAAATTAATTAGAATTAAATCAAATTTTAAATTCAGTTCCTCAAACTTACTAAAAAAGCTGTATATGGCCGGGCATGGTGGCTCACACCTGTAATCCCAGCACTTTGGGAGGCTGAGGTGGGTGGATCACCTGAGGTCACAAGTTTGAGACCAGCCTGGCCAACATGGTGAAACCCCATTTGAAAAAAAAAAAAAAAATAGGTGGGTGTGGTGGTGGGTGCCTGTAATCCCAGCTACTTGGGAGGCTGAGACAGGGAGAATTGCTTGAACCTGGGAGGCAGAGGTTGCAGTGAGCCTGGATCGCACCACTGCACTCCAGTCTGGGCAACAGAGGAGGTATATGGTCAAGGATCACTGCAATGCACAATACAGCTATAGAGTTTACATCATTTCCAAAATAGAAAGGCTGTATAGGCTAATATTTTTTAATAATAAGACTTATAAAAATGTATAATGGTTCTAACCACAATTATTAGGAACAGGTCCACTACTGGTACTCAAAGTATTAATACTTCTTAAATACAATTCAAAAATACATAAACATGCCAGTTACTGTTACAGGTCAGTAAAAAGATTGCATAATTGCTGATATAGTTTAATACTGATTGCTCCCTTAAATAGATAACTCTATTCACTTACGTTAAATCTATATACTCTCTCTCTCTCCCACTTTCTTTCTTTCTCTCTCTCTCTCTCTCTCTATACCAGTATCTGCTTAGGACACAGAAGTCAATTATACCCAAACCCTGGATGGTATCAGAATCAGAATCAGCCATGCAATAAGGAAGAAGAAATGTAAGTTGAGGCCCGTGATTCCAACAGTTCTATCTTCCTGGAATGGCTACCAAGGAGAAAGGTATGTGACTCTTCCTTACAACTCTAATGATATAAATTTAAATGTGAAATTAACAAGGTACAATCTAACGAGTTAAGGAAACAAAACTGTTTCTATAAGTCTACAGATTGCTTAGCAAGAAGACCCTTTTCTCCTCTCCCCACTCCCCATCCCTACAACCCCTTCAGAAGTGTTCATTAAACAGCCATGATACAGAAATAGAAAAAGAGAAAACAAAAACAAAAACAAAACAAAACAAAAAAACCTCACCAGGCAGGAGCAGGCATTGTACAGGAAATCTTTCCTACTCAGCTTTCCATCACGTCCCTAATGAGGTATCAATTAGCTCTAACGCTGTCTGCACAAAGCTGTTGCCAGATCTCAGCTTTTTTATAAGCAGGGTTTACACAGGCATCCTGGAAGAACGTATACTAACAATCTAGGACTTTCCTAGGTGGTATTTACAGACATCTGGGCCCCTACTAGAGCTCGAGTCCATTTAGCATCATCCTTGGTGCAAAGTAGAGTTAGCACTCAGGTTCCTCTAAACAGTATTTCTGATTCCATCATTTCAGTGTCCTGCAAATCAGTTTCCAACAGAATCAACACTGGTAAGAATAACCAATTAAATAAAAACTTGATTCTAAAAAGAAATTTTTTTTTACTAATTTATTTTATTTATACTTACTACAGCTCTCCCATGAAAATTCTCTGCTCTAGCTAAACACACTCCCACTGGAGTATGGAGAAAGGGGATCCACAGAAGAGCCTAAACCTGAACCACTTCCAAGTATTTGCCCATCCATTTCTCCTCTCTGGCCAATACTCTTCATATTCAAATTCTACCAGTCCTTCAAAGATCAGATTAAGGTGCAAACTTTCAAAAGCCTTCTCAGCCTACTCTTTCAAATTAATAGTGTATATCAACTTCAATGAATTATAAACTCATTTGTTTCATTTTGTATTAGAAACACTGGAATTTAATGTTTGTGGTTTTTACATTTTGTTTTTTCCACTAGATTACCAACTTGATGGCATGAACTAATTATTACAATTCTTTTGTAGCTTCTCACTGTATTAGGCACAGTTTCTTGGATAAATTAAGCACATATTTACATGTTTTAAATAACTTTGTATTGCTTTGCGTATGTGTGAAGGAGGTATGCCATACTTGACTTTAGAAAAAAGTCTCGTCTAATATTCAAGGAACTAGTCTACAACCTTTGTTTATTAACTAATTTTTTGAAACACAATCTATATTTACAATCCTATTAAATGTTACTGGATATATATGGAAGAATATAACACTACTTCTTCTTTATTACATATAATTGGGAAACTCTTCTGCCTTCGCCATTAAGTTAACTATACATTAAGACAGTTCACATAACTTTATTTTTTATTTTCTGTTTTTTTAGAGATGGGGGTCTAACTATGTTGCCCAGGCTGGCCTCGAACTCCTGGGCTCAAGTAATCCTTCACCTCAGCCTCCCAAGTTCCTGGGATTACTGCTTTGAGCCACTTAGCCTGGCAGTTTACACAACTTTAATTGCTGGTTTATGTATAAATTTCCTTCTATAATCTAGTCATAATCTAGTCAACCTGCTATTGCATAAAAATTTGCTGAGTATCTCCCAAGATATAGCCCTCATAAAGGGTTTTAAGGCTCTCAAGAAGCTTAATATACAGAAATAAACTGCACTGGCTGTATATTTGCACATAAGTTGTAAACTCGGCTGCTGCAGAGCAATTTATGTATATACAGTATCTGTTTTTTTGTATAACAATTACTAATATACATTCCCCTTCAAGTTGTCTAAAAAAAATCCCTATGTACTAATGAAATCTCTGCCGTAGGATATAAAGAACACGAAAGTAGTAGAAGACACATTTCTTGTGCCTGAATTTATACCCTTATCAGGAAGATAAATATATGTATAAATTGTATCTATAGAAAATACATAATATAGTGTGATCAGACTGAATGATTCGATAACTGAGAAAAATCAAAATAAACTGAATAGGAAAAATTGTCCTAAGCATTGTATTTAAATACCATACCTGGATTAGGACTCATTTTATGGGCATATATCAGTGCAATTAGAGAACAAAGTGATACATCTTGTTTATTTTTACAAGCCTCAAATTCTCGAAGAGCTTCTTGAGTTTTACCTGAAAATCAAGATTATGATATGAAAAACTGTTCTTAGTACAAAGCAAGAATTTAAAACTGATGGAACATGTTTAATGATTAACACGTACCTTCCATTAATGTGCCATAGGCATGATAAAACCTGAAGACTGGATCACTTCCATACCTCTTAATTCCTTCACTGGCAACCAGTAACACATGATGGAAATATCTCTCTTGACAATAGTAATTAATCAAAGTCTAAATGGAAATAATGAAAAAATGTTATAAAGGAATTCTGGTGCTCTGAAATACTCTTAAGAAGCAGATATTAATCTAACATCTAGAAAAATGTAAAATTTAGGCAATGTGACTTTTTTCTTCCAAGTTTCTTAAAATACTGTTAATGGCTAGAACTCAATGCTAAGAATTTCAGAACTGAATGATCATAAAATTACTGAAATAATTCAATGTTTTCTAATAATTTAAATCCTTTTTCCTAAAGTTTTTGTTAACAGCATCGAAATGAGGCTGCTTTCGCCATTTTTCCTTTGCCCACATTTTCTTGAACGTTTTAGAAAACAGAAAGGCAGACAATAAACATGAACTAAAAAAATAAAAATTAAAAAAAAAAAAAAAGACAAAAGGCTTCCATTGCCAGACCATAGGCTTCTTTAAAAAAAAAAGCCTTCTTTTTAAAATATCCAGTATTTTATTACAGCATTACAAAGTAATGACAAATTAAATTCTTCAATGTATCATCAAATGTTATCTTACTTGGCTTTGAGTTCTGTGACAAATAAATTGTCAGTTAAAAATAAATAAACTATTTCTCAATGAAAATGGTTGTCTTTAAGCTTTTTCCAAAATTATATTATTTCCATATACAAGACAAAACTATCAGGACCTACTAACTTCTGAATAAAAATGGGCCTGTGCTGTCTACCATTTTTCTTAGGATTATGTCTAAGGCTTGGTTGCTAACCTAATCAAAGACAGAAACCACACTTTCCCGCCATCACTACGATACACCTGATTCACCAGAAAGCAGTTTGGGCCACCCCATACCTCCTACCTACCTGTACTCTACAGCTGGTTCAGTAGCAATGAGAAATACAGTGACTAAGTGACCCGACTGAAATCTAAGGGTGTCTAGACAGCTCTGGTTTCTTGGTTTGTTTGTTTTGTTTTGTTTGAGATTCTGTCACTCAGGCTGGAGTGGCGCAATTTCTGCTCACTGCAATCTCTGCCTCCTAGGTTTAAGCGATTCTCCTGCCTCAGCCTCCTGAGCTGGGACTACAGGCACGCACCACCATGCCTGGCTAATTTTTGTATTTTTAAGTAGAGATGGGGCTCCCCATGTTGGCCAGACTGGTCTTGAACTCCTGACCACAAGTGATCCGCCCACCTGGGCCTCCCAAAGTGCTGAGATTACAGGCGTGAGCCACCACGCCCGTCCGACAGCTCTGTTGTATATCATCTCTTGCTTTTGGAGGGCTATAGTCCATGTACTTCTCTAGATCAGTTAGGCGACTGTTCTCTATAATTTTACTCTGCGTCCCTCCTTGTGATCACTGCTCCCTACTCTCCTTTTTAGCCACGTTTCTTAAAAGTGTGATCCACACCCCATCTCCAGACTCCCACAACACACTTCAGTGAAGTGCAGTTTTCCTTCAGTGCTCTATTCCCTAAAGTTGCAAAATGACCTCTTACTTTGCCACAACTAAGGACACATTTAATACGTTACTTGACTTCTGCACACTATCACTAAGCATCTATAATCCTCCTGAAAGGCAGTGGCATAGAACCATAAAAAGAACAGGAATTTAAAGGCAAAAAGACCTGGCTTCAAATCTCTAGTCCTTCTTACAATGCCTCAGTCTGCTCATTTATAAAATGCTGTTAGTAATGCAAATATACAGGTCACTGTGAGAATTAATTAAGATATCATAGTATAAGAGTTCTATTCTGAAAAAAATAAATTCCTCTGATCCCATATGTTAATAGAATAAAAAAAAAAAAAATGTGTCCTGCCAAGACCTCTTGTCTATGTTCCAGATTCGTATTTCCATTTTCCACCTGCTACCCAAGTCAGGTACTCTGTTACTCATGAATCCTCCCTTCCTATTTGCCCAGTCTCTCTAAGTCGAACCACTCAGTAGGTTCTTCTATTTCTCTAGTCTAACTCCCACTAAACATACCTAGTGCCACTGCCTTGGTTCAGGTTAGATTGTTCAATCCAAAACATTTACTGACTGCCTACTAGTACCCAGGCACTGGGCTAGGTACTATGAATAGAAAGATGAGTAAGACACGGTTCCTGTCCCCCCAAAAAACTTATATTTTTCAGATGAGACTGTAATCTGAAGACTAACTGAAATACAATGTAGTAAATGTAAGAAAAGAACTTATAAACTGCTTTGGGCATGTGGGATAGTAACATTTGGACAGCTTTGAAAACTGAATGTGGTGTGAGGGGAGGATGGATGACTAAAATCAAGGGAAAGATTATTGGGGAGGATTTCAGAGCTGACTCTTGAATTGCAAACCCCTCACTCTCCCTCCACACACATACACACTCTATTTCCTTTTCATGATTCTTGAGGAAGGTATAGGAGTTAGGAAGAGGAACTGCAATAACACAGATAAGAAATCATCAATGGTACATTGGGATGGTAGTGGTGATGAAGATGAGTAAAAGCCACTCCATACTCTAGAGCAGGGTTTGGCAAACCACAGTCTGTGGGCCATATCTGGCTGGTTGGCTGTACAGCCAGTGAACTAAGAATGGTTTTTATATTTTCCAGCTGTCAAGAAAAAAAAAAAGAAAAGAAAAATATTTCATAACGTGAAAATTCATGAAAGTCAAATTTCAGTGTTCATAAATAAAGTTTTATTGAAACACAGCCATGCTCATTTAAGTATTGTCTATGGCTGTTTTGAATGACAATGGCCAAATAGATGTGATAGACCATATGGTACATAAAGTCTAAAATGTGTACTATTTGGCCCTTTGTTGAGAAAGTTTGCCATTCCCTGCTCTGGAGGCTTAAGTAAGACAGAGAGTATTGGATGATGAGGTTGGAGAGGAAGGTGGGGTGAAGAGCCTCACATTAAGTACTTGGGCTTGATCCTCAAGTCTAAGTGATGAGGAACCCCATTTTTACATTAAAGTGTTTTTATTAGAAAGTTCATTTGGGTGGCAGTGCAAAGAATACATTTAAGGGAATGAAAAAATTTAAGGATATAGGGGGATAGCTAGAACAGAGGATAATGTAAAACTTCAGGCAGAAAAACAAGACATTTCAGCATTACCTAACCTCCCGCACCGCCAAATTGTCCTCCATCCACTTATCACCATCTCACAGGATACACATCTTATTTACCTATTTGTCGTCTGACTCCTCCTACTCAAATGTAAGCTCCAAGATTGGAAGAGTTTTTCTTGGTTTTATTATTTCAGTGCGTAGAACAGTGCTAGACACATAGGAGGCATTCGACAAATACCTGTTGAGTCAACTGAATTCAGGTTTTTCCCCAGCATTAATTAGCCTGTAAAATCTGAGAAGGCAGAAACTGTTCAGTTTCGCTCACTGCCATCTCCAGCTTCTAATGGACATACAGTAAACCCTTCATAAATATTTGCTGAACGAGAGATTCAGTGAACAAATGAATAGGGAAGACCAACATCCGAAGTTACTTTATTTTCAAGCCTCGTGTCTTTAACTGTTTTATATCAGCCTTTCTTAAGTTGACCGTCATTGCTGAATGGATGAGTCAGTGATAAACAGATTAGACCATCACCCTAAAATAACGACTCCTCCACTTTTAAGTCTCACGTCTTTAATGGGTTTCCTATAATATATCTTTCTGGGCTCTTTTTACTGTCCAGTGTGGGAGCTGACACTAGTTTGCCTTAAGACCTTAAAAATCGCACCTGGAGGCGCAGAGTCATAGGTAACCCAAGCTTTCCTAGTAAACATGATGCAAAAGTAAACACAACCAACAGCATGGGGACTAGCAGCAATTCAGAAACAGCGCGCGGGCGGGCTGCCCAGACCTGGGTTTCCCCAGCAGGGCCCGCGGAGACCCGCCGTAGGCAGAGGCTGCAGGCCCACCCAGCAACCCGAGCGGCCGGGGCATCGCAGAGAAACAGCGGCCTAGCGAAGCCACCCGAGCTCCCTCCGCGCCCCTGGGCCAACAGGCCGCAAAGGAACTCCGCCCGCCCGCCCGGTCACCTTCAATTCCTGCGAGTCCATGGCTGCCCCGAGGCTGGGCCGCGAGGCTGGGGGGCGTTGTATCGCCGCAGCCCAAAAGAAGATGCAGAAAGAATTGAGTGTCCCCCGCCTCCCGCAGCCAGCTAACTCCCCGGAACCCGGCAGGAGGGGCGGGGTCGCGCCGCCATTGGCTGTCGGAGGGAGGGGCTGGCCTGTGTGGCGGGGATCGTGCTGTAGTGGAGAAGGCGGGGCGGGGACCGGGAGGGAAAGCTGCGAGGGCGACCCGGGAGGATTGGGGCTGGGAAAAGGGCCTCCGTGGGATAGTGCAGCTGCAAAAGGAGGTCACACTGGGAAACGGCTGTCTGATGACAGTGGGTGGGCGGGCCGAGGAAATTGATTTAAGGAATAAAGGAAACTGAGTAGGAAGAAGGGGAAGTCTGTTTCCTGTCACTGGTTGTAAAGGAAGACACCATTTTCTGCACGTTTGTCTGGAGGCCGATTCCCGCAGTGCGGCTCTCGGCAAGGCTCTGCCGGCGCGGGAAAAAGCGGTCAACTTTCACGTGGGCAAGTTGTTTTATGGCCACAAGGTGGCGCAGAAAAATCACCCGTTTTTAACAGAAATGCGATGAGCTTGGGCCCGTCTTTGCAGGCGTTGCTGCAATCTTTGTTAGAATGCATGTTCAATTAGCCCGTTTTTACCAGCCCCGATAATAAGAGGGACAAATAAGTTAAACTTCCAGAAAATTAATGTCTGTGTTTTAAATGATACTGTTGATTTTAAACTGAGAATAAAATGAATCCCAATGCAAATTTTTATGTTTGCACCCAGTAGGCAACTCAATCAGTTACATAGATTTCTTAAGTCCAGGAAATTAAATGGAAATATAATAGACTAAAAGATTTTCTATTTCTGCTTAAATAAATATTTAAAATAGTGCTTAAGGTCTGAGATTGAAGTGATCTTCGCAGAATCTTTCACGTGGATTCCAAATTTTGATCCTAGTGTTAATTATCTTACGTTAGTTGACATGATACGTAGTTGTCTTTTTCAGATTTTAAGTTTCTTAAGGAGTTTATAAACTGACTTTTTCCCCATGCCAATAGGTTATGTAAGGACAGTCTTGAGGAAAAAAGGTAGCTACTATCCTAGGCTTTAAGGTGAAGCAGTATTTCTCACTGGTTTCTTTTTAAAGGAATTCACCACATATTTTCATGAGCATTTTTTTCCCTTTCCAATATTCGTAGTCCAGCTAAATGTCTGTGGTGATGAACAACTGGTGATATCTGTTTGTCTGATTTTCAAAGCTGCGGATTAATCCGCACTTGGTATACAGCAAAGAATGCCACAAGGCCAGGGTGCTCAATGAAGTGTATAATCTTGAGCTGTAAAACCTTTGGTTATAAGAGAAAAGTTCATCTGTAAGGAAATATCTCAGGATCATGGTTAACAGAACAGATGATCAACCTACCTTTTGGAGCTCTTTAAAGTCATATTAATTTAGCCTCGTATTCTCTTCACTGAATTTTGTTCTAAGGTTGAATTATTTAGCATGAAACACCAAGCCTGATGTTTCATAAATGTCTGTTGGAATAAAAGTACTCTGAGATTTGCTTTGACACTCACAGTGACTTGGTGTGCCCTGTGCCCTGATTAGATCTCATGTAAGAAATTTATTTTGGATCTCAGGCCAGGAAAAACTCTTGTCTTCCCTGAAAAATCGATGTGTTCCTTAGCAGTCACATTTTTATCGGCTCACTTTTACTAGCTACAAACTTTTGAGTCTGATATCCAAGACCCTTCACCTCATTGTCTTTTCAAGCCTTATCTTCTACCTCCCCTTCAAGGAGCCTTTATTCCGGCTCAGTGGGACAAATATTCCTTCTTCTGGGAATGCTTTCTCCTACTTTGTTTTGAGCTCTTTCTTCACCTGAGAAAATCTCTTTCTTCTGAGTTATTTTCAAATTTCATGAAGTCTTTAAGGATCACCATAACTGGATGGGTATAAAAATATCACAGTGTAGTGGCAAGAATACCCGCTCCTGCATCTGAGGTGGAGCTCCTATTATGCTATCTACTTTTGTGACTTGGGGAAGTAATTTCCCTAAGCCTCATTTTCCTTATTTACTAAAGAAACTGAATGTCTTACAGACATATTAAAAGTTCCTGACACGTAATAGGCATTGTATAACCAATAGTTTCCATTAAACATGTAGTGCTCTATAGCAGCGGTCCCCAACCATTTTGGCACCAGGGACCAATTTGGTGGAAGACAATTCACAGAAGATAAATTTTCCATGGATAGGGGTAGGGGGGATGGTTTCAGGATGAAACTACTGCACCTCAGATCATCAGATTCTTATCTAAGGAGCATGCCGCCTAGATCCCTTGCATGCACAGTTTATAACGGGGTTTGCATTCCTACGAGAATCTAATGCCTCGCTCATCTAACAGCAAGTGGAGCTTGGGGTAACGCTTCCTTTCCTGCCCTGCAGCTCACCTCCTGCTGTGTACCCCATCCTGCTGCGTACCCCATCCTGCTGTGTAGTACTGGTTGGCAGCCCTCAGATTGGGGATCACTGCTCTATAAGACTTATTACACTTGCATAGTCCTTGTATTATAGTTATAGCGTATTTTTTTGTTTGTTTGTTTAATGTTCTCTACCAGATGATGAGCACTATAAAGCTAGATAATATAATGTAGCAGTTAACAGCTTGGTCTCCAGAAATAGGTCATTGGCGTTCAGACCTTAATATTACTATTCACTAGCTATTCAGTTGGAAAAGTTACTTACTGCTCTGGGTACTTCAGCTGCAATATCAGATTAACACCTCAGAAAATTGTTAAGAAGACTAAATAAGTTAATATTTAAAGCACAGAGCAGTATTAGGGGTATGGTAAGTACTGAATTACTGTTACCTATAATCACTTATACTCCCAACTACTCCAGACAGAGTACAGTATTAATCACAGAAGTATTGAGAAAGTTTTATAGCACTGATAGTTTATTTTAATCATGTCTGTGTTTGATTTTCTCCTCCTCCAATTCTTATGCTGATCCACTTGTAGCTGTATTATTTTATATATTCAAATTAAAGAAAAACACTTAGGAAAACGAGGGAGTTTTGGTAACAAACAACGTAAAAGTAGATACACTAAAAATAAAACGGAGGTAAGTATATGTCATCATTAAATTTGGGAGGTGAAAATAACGTTAGCAGCTTGAACAATTTTATTTTACAAAAGAGTAACATGAAGCCCAAAGCTAAGACCAGTAGTTTTCCACCGTCCAATCTAGCCTGCACAACAATTGTGAATAAAAAGAAGAGTGTTTGCCTTTTCTTTCTTTTGAAGGCTTATTAAATTAAATTAAATTTGGCCTAAAGAAACCTTCATACACACTGTACCGTAATCTGTACGTAAACAAACTGAAATGTAACTAAAAGTGTATTTTTTAAACAACCAAGTTTTGGCCAATCATATCAGCCAATCAAAAGTGGCAAACTGCTCAGACATGTTCTAATAAGGCAAATACCAAACTATAACCAATCAGGCTGTTTCTGTATGTTCCTTCCTTTTTCTGTCTGTAGATACTACCTAAAGAAGTTGCTGTGTAGACCTCTCTGAACCTTGACTGGTTCCAAGTGCTGCCCAATTCATGAATCATTTTTTTTGCTCAAATAAACTCTGCTAAATTTGTCTCAAAATGGTTTTTTTAAACATTATTACTATAAAATTGAAATGATATATAGAAGTTAAAAAGGTATGAAATCCACACAAACTAGCACATAAGTCAGTCTCAGAGGCAACATCATGGAACAGTTAGAAGGTTAACTGAAATCAGAATTGCTGAGTTGTTAGAGTTCTGTCCCTCAATAACTTTGCAACTTTGGGTAAGTCATAAACTTTTTTAAAAGAAATTATTTATTTTAGGTTGGATGCAGTGACTCATGCCTGTAATCTCAGCACTTTGGGAGGGTGAGGTGGGCAGATCACTTGAGGTCAGGAGTTCAAGACCAGCATGGCCAACATGGTGAAACCCCATCTCTACTAAAAACACAAAATTTACTGGGCATGGTGGCAGGTGCATGTAATCCCGGCTGCTGAGGCGGAGGCAGAAGAATCGCTTGAACTGGGAGGTGGAGGTTGCAGTGAGCTGAAATCACACCACTGCACTTCAGCCTGGGCAACAGAGTGAGACTCTGTCTAAAAAAAAAAAAAAAAAAAAAAAAAGTATTTTATTGATGCATGATAGATATTTATTATTTCAGTTACATGAGATAATATAGATTCATACTTCATAAAGATCTAATCAGTGTGCTTGAGAGCTCATCACTTTAATTATATGTCCTTTATTTATGCTAGAACCATTCTAATTATTCTAACTATTTTGAAAAGCACAATTGAATGTTGTAAACTTTACTCACCCTACTCATCTGTCTCACACTAGGTCTTATTTCTTCTGTCAACTATATATTTGTACACATTAATCAATTTATCTTCTTTCTGCTCCTTCCATACCCTTCATGTCCTCTGGTAACCACCAATCTACTCCCTATTTTCATGAGATTGATTTTTTAGCTCCGACAGGTCAGTGAGAACACACAATATTTGTCTTTCTGTGCTTGACTTATTTCCCTTTAATATCTGACGTCCAAATCCATCCATGTTGCTGTAAATGACAAGACTTCATTGTTGTGGCTGAACAATATCACATTGTGTATATATACCAGATTTTCTTTATCCATTCATTCATTGATGGGCACTTAGGTTGATTCCATATTTTGGCTCTTGTGAATAGTGTTGCAATAAATATGGAAGTGCAGATCTTTTTCAGTATACTGATTTTCTTTCTCTTGAATATATACTCATTGGAATTGGTGGATCATATGGTAGTTCTATTTTTAGTTTCTTGAGGAAACTCCATCCTGTTATCCATAATGGCTGTACTAATTTATATTTCCACCAACAGTGTATGAGTGTTCCCTTCTCCACATCCTCACCAGCATCTGTTATTGCCTGTCTTGTTGATCAAAAGCCATTTTAACTGGTGTGAGATGATATTTCATTGTAGTTTTGATTTTTATTTCTCTGATTATTAGTGATGAGCAATTTTTCATATCCCTGTTAGGCATGTGTATGTCTTCTTTTGAGAAAAGTCTGTTGAGATCTTTTGTTCATTTTTAAATCAGATTTTTTTT